TTCTCGATCGCTCGAAATAAAGTCCTTAATCTTGTCCATCAATAAAAATACATCGTCATCACGGGCCTGAAGGGTGGCTTTAGCAAATAATGGGATATAGAAACCTTTATCATCTTGGCTGGTGATGCGCTGCCGCTTGAGCTGACGTAGACTCTTCTCAACATCAGGTTTCTTCTGAACACGATCGAGCAATGATGGGGATGCGGGCGGGGGTAAAGTAACAATGATTGGATATTGGCAAGGCGGCTCGTTCATACAAACTCTGTAAAGCTCTTGCTTACGGATGTCGCCATCATCAGCCAGTTCTAAGAGTACTTCCTCAGCAGCTTAAGGATATTATAAAAAATTAATCAACCATTAAAAAAAAAAAATAAAAAAAAAAATAAAAAATTAAATGATTAAAAGGAATAGCAAGAATACAAAGACTAACTTAATCCAGCTTACCTTGTAAATTATTAGTAGAATGCGATGAAAGTTTTTTGAGAATGATGAGTATCCATTGTTTGATGTGTGCATGGCTACCCCAGTCTGAGTCATTTTTGTAAATCTCGCCCAAGAATGAGACTGCATCTTGTCGTGTATCCATAGCCCAATGTAGATTAGCCGCGATTTGTCCTAAGCGCTGACATAGGCCCCATTGAAATGCCGGGTCCAGCCGACAGGGCACCTCACATACGAAATCTTTGAACTTTGTAAGTTCGCCTGTCTGCAGAAATGCATCCGCCATTCGTAGCGCTGGATACCATGCGGTCTTGCGAGCAAAACTTAAGCCTTCCTTCATGCATTCCATGAATGTTGATCCGCTTCCTACCAGTGATGTCGTACCATCATAAATAAGTTTACTCAGGTTCACAATATCAACCAATGAAGGTAGCTGGGTTTGAACCTTCTCTAGCTCATTTATTAGTGTATTGATATCAAGACCCTTGACTGCGCTCACGACCCCGAATACACCTCGCAGAACCGCTGATGTGCGCCGCAGAAAAGTCTGCATGGTTGGTTCATCGTCAGGGATATATTGTAGTGCTTGAAAAGCATAGGCGGCATAGTAAACCAGGTAAGGATCCGAGCTATTTTTCAGCTCACTCAAGTACGCCGATAATGGCTCATGGAGTTGTTCACGCTTGAGACCTGTGACTTGGTTGCCAACCATGGTGTCAAGGACATGGGAAACTGTGACAGTCAATCGATAGATGTGATCGCTCGACTGGAAATGAGTGTCCTGTAGGCGGGAGCTGAGGATATTCAAAAGCGTGACAAGGTCATCGGATTCAAGGTGTTTGGGGTGACCATGCTGCATCGCCTGAGCCAGCCCTTCAAGCAGATGTGTATCGAGCATGATATTTTGGTTGATACCATTGGCGAGCGTCATTAGTAACTTTCTGAAGTGAACTTGTTCAAGGACTGGAGCTAAGGAAACAACCTCTGTGACAGTGGCCTCAGCCTTGACCCCGTCGTTGATGAACATATAAAGCAGATCCACCGCTAGGTTGTGTAACCGCTCTTTTTCATCTGTGTCATTTGCTCTAGTTAGAGACCATTCCCGCTCAGGCTCTGTGAGATCACTCAGTTGGATAGGAGTGTTTGGTAGTAGGCTGAGACAGTACACAAGCTGGTTGACGTTATTGAGTGGTTCGTCAGCGTTTGGCAAGCTGTATTTAGCGACAATTGGAGGCATATCCTTGTCAAAGATATCAGCAGGGATCGTGGCTATGTTGCGAGCTGGGACATTAGCTGAACTGACGTTCTTATTACTACCGTTGAAACCCCATTTTTCGGCTTTCCTGTAGCTCCTCTGAGCTTCTTCTGGATGGCCCAATCTTTGAAACATTTGTCCATGCTCATAGTAAGCAGCAGCAATGCCTTCACGCAGCGACGCCGTGGCTTTATCGGCAAAAGAGGTAGAGTTGAGAAGAGCCCTTTTCGCAGACCTGGGAATCCTTGAAAGCGCTCTGTCTGCATCCATGCAAAATTCCAAGACAAGGGCTGGTTGACCTGTATTCCTACGGGCGGTTTCCATATACGAGTTGGCGAGAGCCAATGCGATAGATGGCGATAAGTCACTACGTGAATCGCCAAACATGGTTTTGATCTTACACTCTATTTATTATTTTAATGAAGTAGATTATAAAGATAAAATGTATTTAGCGATCAGGAGCTGCGTGCAGCAGCGAGCGAGTTGTTGGGACAATGTTTAAAAAAAAAAAAAAAAAAAAAAACATACGTTGATACGTTGGAAATTTACTTATAAATCGTGAGAAGAAAGGTTAGTGAATGATATATTATGATGGATAGGATAAGAAAAGGCGAGAGGTAGAATGGGGTCGAAAACTAAGAGAAAAAGAATGATAAGAGTGTGGCTGGTGTGTACAAAAACTTAAAGTGTAATAAAGTGGGCTCACAAGTTCAACATAACAAACAGGGGGAGGCAAAGTAAAACAAATGGCCTTGCAGTTTAATTAATTGTTTTGTAAGTACAGCAGTGCAATGTTTTGAGGCGAAACATAGATGGCACATTACTTCTGCTGTTCAACCTCGATATTTTTTTAACATCAAGTTGCCATATTATTATATCTTTATCATTGCAAGTAATATATAGTCATTGAGGTGCATACTATCTTACCATTGTTACCATTCAAGAATCCATCAAGGCCATCGACCATGCTACTGACGGTATCACTCAGTTGTTGAACACCTACTGACGACTTGAAGATCTTCTGAAGGATCAAGCGCAATCCAAAGAGAGTACTGTTCCAGAAGGAAGAATAGCATTAGCAGACATAAAAGGGACAAACTACTTCCGAAGGACGACGCACTCGCCGCTTCGCTATAGTCTATAGCGCAAGGAATCGCTTCAATCTCCCTAAGGAAAGGCTCAAACCTATCTTTGCGAGCAGGCCCATGCGAAGTGACAATCATGTAATACAGGTATATCCCTAATCTGGGAAATCAGGGTAAGAGTGCGCGGTTTTAGATTGGGGTGGCTGCCGGGGTACAGGGTTGTAATGGGTCTTGCAACGAGTCTGACAATCAGCACTATCGAAAACAAAAGTATAAATAGTATATCTAATGCTCTTGACAGAGGGGTATGTCCTTGGCATGGTTTCGGCCAATATAACAATGACGACCGATCATTTCCATACAGATATTCAAAAGAGATTTGTATTCTGGTACATTTGGGGCCCTGAACGTGCCATCAGTAATGACCACTTAGAACTGTTGGGCGCTGCCGATACCAAACTATGCTCCCCTCGTTGATAGAGTTCGCCACTTGTCCCAGCTTGAGGATAGGACCTATCAGATATCAGAGACTATGGCGTTTGTGTTTGGGTACAGCAATGTATACATCCTCCCAGACAATTACAAGATCCAAATGGCCTGAAGCGCCAGCGGAAGCAGCTTAGGTAACAAAATGATCGTCAGTGAAATACTCTGTATATGGTGTGCCCAGATATTTAACAGTAACACGCCTATGATGTGGCTATGGTAGCTATGGCTCATATCTCGGTCGCAAGACAAATTTTATTTTTGACCGCGAGCTGGGCTACTTTCTAGACATTTTAAGGCCTTAGTGGCCTTGAATGGGCATAAAGGAGCCGCATCTTGACGGCAATGATGCGGACTAAACTCTTCAACAGAATGGGTTGATGAATAAACATGTATTCATTAACTATGTAATTTAGAGACGATATGTTCATGCAAAACATATCCTCCATCTTCTAGGCTGAAGCCCTTTTCTTCCCAAAGCACACTAATGAGCATGCTTATATCAAGGCCCTTGGCAGCACCAACAAAAAGCAGGTCTTGAAGAGCTGCTGATGTACGCTGGGGCGCTTGCGTAATCATCTCAATAACAGGAGTGTACTTGATACTTGAAAGGCAGAAATGACATAAACACTAGATGTGAATTAGAACTTTCTTCAATTCTTCAACACACTCAAATATGTCGACAATAGCTCATGAGGCGTGAACAGCTTCATGACTCTGACTTAGTGTTCAACCATAGCATTGATGAGATAAGAGGCTATAGCAGTAAGTTGCTAGGCGAGATTGTTTAACTGGTGATAGATACCTGCATGCGAGGGCTAAGGACATCCGTGACCTTGATAAGGGCATCCGAATCAAGATGCTGAGACGAGCCTTGCTGCACCATCTGAGCTCGACCTGCAAGTAAGTATGCGTCGAGCACGATCTTTTGATTGGTGCTGCTGGTGAGCTTCATAAGTAACATCTTAAACCAGCTATATCGCCCCTAATACAACGCTCTTGATCTTAGGCCCACCAATGGTGAATATATAACAATTGTATCCGAGGTCGGGCTATGCAGTTGCTCTTGTTGGTCTTTTCCTTTTCCGATTCTGTAAAATCAGTCGTCTGAAAGGGGAGTAGCTGGAAACAGATTAACTTGCACTAATAATCGTGTGTAAGAGGCTGGTAAGTTATATCTAATGATAATTGGAGGGAAGTCTTGGTCAAGGATGCCTACAGGTAAATTGCGGTATTATGTTATGAATAGTAGATGCATATATCGACTTTCAACCGAAGATTAGATGGACGTATGGGATGCCTGAAGAGGTTGCTCTATTAAGTGAGTATGTGAGATGCAAAAGAATTGTATATGAAAACTATACATGTAATTATAACCATGCAAGAAAGAAAAAAAAAAGATCTTCTTTGAAAGGATCAAGTACAGAAAGCCATGTATGCACTACTATTTATTTAGAGGAAAAAATAGTTTCCAGGGGCATGCAAATGCACCAAGAACACCAAGGACTTGAGTTCTTTGCCTTGTTTTTTTTTTTTTATTTGCTTACGAGAAACTCAGCACTGCCACTTTTTTTTTAAAAAAAAAAAAAAAAAAAAAAAGGATGAGTGGTGCAAAGCTCTCCCCTCTTTCCCTCCTTTTATCTAGAAAGATACATGTTTTTAGTTGTTAAGAATGAGCAACAGGGACGACAAAGGAAGGCAAAAAAAAAAAAAAAAAAAAAAAAAAAGCTAACAAGATTTTTAGAGCGCTAGGCTACCTATGCCAAAAGGTATATACTATGTAATGGGGAATAAAAAAAAACCTACTAAATAATCATATGCTTCACGCTTCATCTTTCTACGCAAGCTTGTACAACATTAACTATTTGATCATGGAATTTAAGATCGCTCCTGACTCCTTTTCTGTGTTCTGTGAAACAAAAGATTGTTATTTCATTTCCGTTCTATCCGGTTTCAATTTTTTTTTTCTTTTTTTTTTTTAATCCGCAGCAATCCCATTGGGTATTCAAGTTTAAATCGTTTATCACTCCTCAATGATTTCCAACCTCGGATTTAGGGCCATCAGATATTGCAACTGTGATCTCGAAGGACCCCGATAACATAGCCACTTGCTGATGGCCAACGATTCCAGTCTCTCCGATCCCAGGACAAACGCACAGATCCCAGCGATGGTAAATCCTGTACAATTCACAACATACACCCGTGTCAATCGCCTCATCTCCATAGCCATCTTCCTCAACAACTCATCCGAAATCGGCCATTTTCCATGCAACTCCAGATCCAACAATTGGGTCGCTAAGCAAATATCTGAGACCCGTCTCTTCATCTCATCCACAGTCACTCTATCTTCGCTATTCGAATACATATATGTCGGTAATGCCAACTTTAAAGTCGTCAACATCGGGCAGTACTTTAGCGCAGACAGATCAAAGATGGAGGCAACCTCGCCCTCTAATTCTAAAACTGTCAGCCGTGGTAATGTCCAGGACCATGTCAAAGGCATAAAACTGTGAGTCGGCAATGCTGTTATCTCAATAGTGGCCAAAGATTCTGCCTTGAGACTTTCGAGCGAGTCTCGAAACCCATCCAGAGCATCCCTTAAGACAGGAACCAAATCTCTATCTTCGCCACACAGCTGTAGCGATTTAATATTGACTCTTGCACGTCGCTTCTCTTCAAACTCGTGCCATTCTGGATGATAATGATGTCGTAGTTGCCATGAGGTTGGGAAAGGAAGCGGAGACGATGATGGGACAGATGTTGCTGTTGTTGCTAATGTAGCTGCTGTTGCAGACGGCGACAATAATGAAGATGATGAGAGTGATGTCAATGAGTTGGATATTAAGTATGGACCGTCATTGCAACTACTGCCACTGCTGCTCATGCTGCTTTTACTGTCACTGCTGCTGGTTCTACTGTTACTTCCAGTCAGTGGAACAGATCCTGGCCTGCTAGGCGCCGATGCTGCTGCTGCTGCCCCTCGTCGACGGGCCAATGATGACGACGATGATAGAGTTGCTAGTCGAGCCTTTTTTGCCCATGCAAACAAACCCTCATCACGCACAGGCATTCGGAGCTCCTCCAGCATCAGACATGATTCCAAGTACTGCGCGACCATCATATTAGGTGGCGGCATATCTCCCATTCCCAACAATAACGTCTTCAAATACTCGTGTGGAATGTGATTCAAGACTAGGATTGCCTCTCTCCAGCACCTTGCATCCACTACAGTAGGTGTTCGCATCGACTGCACAATCTTGACTAGGCCACAGTGGGCCCTATTCTGATGTGGATGTTGGTTCAGATCTTCAGCGCCTTTGATCTTAATCTCCCTCAACGTATTATGTACGGCATCATGTACTCGGATGAACTCTATTATGCCTTCCATCTTGCATCCATATGGGATCTCTGATAGTTCGAGTCGTACCAAGCTTCGTAATATCATGACATAGGGAACAAGTACGAGGGGGGCCCGTAAGAAGGATTGGCCAATCACCTTGATATCTTCGGGACAATACATGATCATAGCCATCGCCACATCGATCTGTAGGTCTGGTGTATTCTTGCTCTCATCAAGGATATACATATTGGTTTTGGATGCCAACTCTCGTAGGTTGACCAACGGCTGCCATAGATCTACATGGTATTGATGGGTATAAAATCGTAGATAGTCCAATGTGGCGGGAGGCTGATGAAGTGAATTCTTTTTTTGTAATTTGAATAGTTGCTGTTGTTGCTGCTGTTGCTGCTGCAAACGATGATGAAAGCTTGCTGACACCATCACTGCAGGCGACGGTGATGGTGCGGATATAGGTATTGGCGCCGAAGTTGCCGATCCACTTGTATGGTTGTTTATTGTTGCTTCTAGTGTAGCATTTGATAATAGGGATGGAGGTGAGGATGATCTCAACGGGTTGATGGGTACTGGTGCTTGCAATGGCACCGGCACTGGTTGCTGTTGTTGTTGTGATGGTGATGTGTAGCTCAAGGCAGTTCTTGAGGACAATAACAGGGCCAGGAGTATAGTAGATCGTCTGTCTTTCTCATCTCTAGACCAATAGCGTGTTTTCTCGATGAGCTGAAAAGGCGATCGATAGAGAATAGGCGTGGCGCGTGCAAACAACTTCCGACTCGCAAGGACGAGCGCATGAAGCGCCTGTCGTTCTTCAACAAGATACGCTACAATCAAATCAATACATTCGTCCGGCAAGGGGAGATTGGATGCCAACACCATGGATATCACACCTCGTGGCTGATAAACAAATCAAAGACACACAGCTGTAAAACGAGGAGAGAGGAAGGAAAAGGAAAAGGATTAAAAAAAAAACAAAGAAAAAAAGTATTGTATATGCGAATGGGAAAGGGGAGGAAAGAGAGCCAAGCGAAAAAAGAGAAAATTGGAGGATAGAAGATAGGTCTTGTTTTGTTGCTCTGCTTTGATTTGTACGAGCTTTTGCTTGATTGTTTATGAACTGATGCAGGTTGATGCTTGGTGTTGCGTTTTGACAACTGCTTTGTTGTTAATAAAAAAAAAGGGGGGAGAGGGGCGGGGGGGGGGGAAGAAAAGGAAAAGAAGATAGCACGTTGTCCTTGTTGCTTCTTGTTAACAGGAATAAAAAGAAGAAAAATAAAGGTTATAGAATGTTATGCAGAGTAAATGGTGTGTAATAATTGGGTCAATGGAATAAATGCACAGCTTCCTTTTTAGCAACAATTCGGATCATCCAATTGATAATTGACTGAAGACTAAAACCGAGACCGATAAGGTTGGCGGGACTGCTTGCTTTAAAAAACACTAATGCACACACCTTGCGCACACACCCACGAGAAAGGAAAAATAAGAAATAAAAAAAAGGAAAAAAGGAAAAAAAGAAAAAAAGGAAGTAATGAAAGAAAGAGAAAAAGTAAATAAATAAAATAGGTTGTATAAAAGTTGGAACAAGATGATAGATGGATAATATGACCGAGATGAGAAGATGTTTATGAATGAATGAATGAATGAATGAATGAATGAATGAATGAATGAATGAATGAATGAATGAATGAATGTAAATGAAAAACAAAAACAAAAAAAAAAAAAAAAAAAAAAAAAAGAATGCGAACAAGATGATGATCGATGCAACCACGACAAAACAAAAGACTCGAGTACGAGAATAAGAGAGTCGGAATGGATAAAGAGAAAAAGAATGAAACGAGAACAAGAATGAGAATGAAAGGTGGAAATGAGAATGAGTGTGGAAACGAATGTACAAAGAGCAAGGGAGGGAAAAAGAGGACGGCGCGTCCCGAGTGAAGACAAAAAAAGAAAGAAACGAAAACTTTTGCTGTGAATCATAAATGAAAAATTTCTCTCCTTTTTATGCTTTTTTTTTTTTCGTTGTACGCAAATGGTGTATGACAGATTTACTCACATGTGCGAATGCTTGCAGATAACAGTGCATTGTATTGTGTTCATGGTATTTTTTGTGCAGCTCATGGGCCTAGTATCAATGAGGTACATGTATTTACCATTCTTTTTTTTTCTGTTGCAGGAGAGTAAAGTTAGCGAGCTGCAAGCAAAGAAAAGATGGACAGAAAGGGGTGGAGAAAATTATGACAGACGGAAATGCGAAATTGTTCACCAATTACAACGACGCGCTTCTTTCTCTCTTTTTTTTTCTTGATCTCTTTCTTGGACTTGCCCTACTTTGTTACTTTTTTAATTTTTATTTTTATTGTATGTTATTTTATTTCATTTTCTATTTTTTTATAATCCGCTCTCATTGGTAATCAATAATCAGACCGGGGCCCAATGTTCAAAAATGCGAAGCAGCAATGCATTGCTCGTGTGGTGTAGATGCAAACTGGAAAACAGACAAGTCAGGCAGACAGGCGGACAGGCAGACAGGCAGAAAGTAACACGAGGCAAAGAGGTGCGTACGCGTTGATTGTATGGTTCTGTTGAGCAGAGTACGGAGTGGGAGAGATGAGAGTAAAAATGCTTCCTCAAAAAGAAAGTTGAGACATATATAGAAATGTTGTGAACAAAACACATTCCTTGTGGTAATGGATGGAAACGGAGCCGTCGTGGTTCTGAGAAGGCCAAGTGAGAAGAGCAGAGGGATTAGTTGATTCGGACCTATCAGCGCACAGAAAGTGATCCAACAAAAATAAAAAAAGGACAAATTAAGAGGACCCTGCCCTTTTCTGCCAGCATTTATCCGTCTTGACATTTGATCCCCCGATGCAAATGATGTTGTAAAGGATTTCCAATGTTGATGGATGAGCCCTCTTCTGCTTTGCTGCTTTGCTGCTTTGCTGCTTTGCTTTGCTTCGCATTTTTTGTTGTTCTGCTGTCTTCAATACTGCTTTGTTGTTAATTGTCTTTCCTTGCTCTCGTTTTTTTTTTTCTTTTACGTTCATAATAATAACTCATCTCACTTTTCGCCTATTCCTATATATCCTCCTGTCTATTGACATTAGGTGATATATCCTACGACATGAGCCTCTTTCTAACTTTCTATTGTTTTCTTTCCGTTGATCACCCGGTTCACTGGCTCAAAAGACCGCATTGTCCGCACATAATACGTTTGATATTTTTATGAGTGGATCCAATCGACCACATCGAGATCCAAAAATCATATCAGCAAGCAACATTACCAAAAATGTATACTGATGCTCTTTTTTTTTTTTTTTCAGGTAGTCCAGTAGAAATAGGACGTCAACATAGTAGCCACATTTATGATTCTGGTAACTACATATTATCCTGTCAAATTTTAATTTTATTTAGAGCAAATAAACAGACAAAAAAAAAAGACTACCGCCATTGGTGCAAAAATAAGTACGGTGGTGAGTTGAGCGAAAAATATTTTCCATTTTTTTTTTTGTTGGTTGCGCTTTTTTCTTACAATTGGCTTCTTAATGTCTAATGGCTTTGTAAGAACGCGACTATGGAAAGCAAATATTTGTAATACCATGTGGCTGGGGAGGGGAATAAAGGGACCATCCTCCGATTCTGTTCCTGAATGACTGTTTCTTCCAAATCAAAGTTCTTATGTTTTGGTCTCGAGCGCAGTTGTTGAAAAACTTGAAAATGCCAAGACTAATGTTTGTGACAGAGATTGTGGGCTGTAGCTCTTAGGGCTTGTATCTACAATGGAACTATTTATTATTTCTCGTAACAATCGCCTAATTCTCTCTCTCTCTCTCGCTTTCCTCTTCCCATCCCCCAATAAACTAAACCTGCCACCATGAAAGGCCCTCAAAACAGCAACGATACCATTCATGATACTTCTGATATACCTGCTCCACAACCCCCTTCAATTCAATCCACAGCGCCATCTTCTGCACCACCCTCTACTTCGCTCTACTCACCCTTTACATTCACGGTTGACCAGACTTCTAGTGCAGCACTTTTATCGCCATTTTCTACAGTATCCACATCAGCAATAACTTCCTCATCATCTCCACCATCTTTAGCATTGTTATCACCGACAGAAACAGCGCCCTATGATGATGCCCCACCTTCGTACGAAGCTACGATTGACAAAGACAACCTCCCACAAATCCATAATGACTATGACCATCTTTGTGGCCCACCTAGTCAGCGAGGCGTCGAGCTTAAAGGCAGGATCCCCATGGAATCATTGAATGCATCCCTGTATAATCAACAGTCTTCCACTGCAGAATCCAGTGGTGCTGTTGGTACAAGTAGTGCTTCTTCTTCTTCAGGTCCTCGTATTTTCTCACCTGCACCTCCTCGTCCGAATGAATCCAACTATGTGCCCATTCAACATTCCCCTACTACTGCCAATGCACCCGAGCTTGGCTTACGAGGCCAGATTTCTCTCGATGATGAGGAAGAAGGCGATTTTGCAAATGATATGGATCGCTTATTAGGCACAAATCATGACAACGACCAAGACTACAGTCATAATGCTACTACTAATGGGGAAGCGGAAGAAGAGACAGGTTCATCCAGTTGGTCAATTGCGGGTGATGGAAGAGCCTGGGCAGCATTGACCTATATGATCTTCATGATCTTACCATGGTCCGTTTTTTGTTTCACATGGACATTTATTTGGGCGTTGATGGCGTTCTGTTTAATGATCATTCCGCCTCTAGGCTATCCATTTGTTATCTTCTCAGCTACATCTTGGCGTGCATTGGCTCGTGTGGACTTGGCTCTTTCAGCAGCGCTGGTCTCGAACAAGGTTCGACAAAAATATCCCAATGTGCCTGCACGGATTTTTATTGCATCAGAACCTGATCCCAGACCTCCTTCATGGAAACCTCCAAGTCTGTTTGGGATTCAAATTCCATTGCCTCAATTTATCCTTCAACGATTGGAAAGGAGACATACTTCGAGACACTGGGGCTCGCTTCGTCGACAACGATATAAGAATATGTGGGATAGAGGGGCGAAGCATTTGAAAGCAACCATGGATCGACATACATACAGGTCTATGGTTTATTTCATGTTCTGGAAGTTGATGCTGGCATCGATGTTGACCTGTTTCATCTGGCTCTTGTTTCTAATGACGCTCCCAATGTTGATGTGCCTGATGCCAACGTTATTGGTGGTTTCGAGGAAATTTGCAAACTGGCAGTATCGATGGGCTGTCTATTGGCTTAGTGAAAAACCTGCACCTATTGTTGTATGATGGAATCATATTCATAATGACAACGATCCCGTTTTCATGCTCGCTTATAAACCCTTATTAAAAAAAATTTGCTCTTTGCCTGGGAAATTATTGCACAGTTCGTTTTTTTTTAGGGTAAAAATGTTTTATTGCAATTAGTGAATCTAAAATATCTTGCGAAAAAGGAAAAAATGTAATTTTGGTTTGTTTTTTAAATGTCCTCTACAATCCTAATGGGAGGCAAGTTCTCATAACAGATCCTGTAGATTGTGGTCATAAGAGGGAATTCATGGCATAGATTATTCTTTGACAAGATGTTGTACATGTCCTTGGCGGTTGAAGTTCCCTGGAGCTTTTGACCGTTCAACATCTCTTGTTCCAACTGATCAAATGACTTGCCAGTCACGACATGAGCCTCAGCAACTTTACGGTTACGGCCTCCTGCACAGGTAGTGATCAAGTCTGCAACACCGCAGGATTCAAAGAAGGTCTCGTCCCTAACATCCTTGTAAAACATTTGCGAGAACTTGCGCATTTCATACAGGCCGATACGGATAATCGCAGCCTTGGTGTTATCACCAAGCCTAAAAGGATTAGAAAGGAGAGTAAGGTGTGATGTGTGTGTGAGTATGAATGTGATATCAGATAAAATGGTTCTGAAAAAAGACAGGTCATTGGTTATAAAGACTTACTTCAGGCCATCGACCAATCCTCCACCGATTGCAACGATGTTCTTGAGAGCACCACACAATTCAACACCGACAACATCTTCAACAATGTTGACACGGAAGGAAGGGGTATGGAAAATCTCCTTGAACAATTCACCGTCGGACCTGTTTCTGTATCCGATTGTAGTCTCACAGAAGCGCTCCTCTGCAACTTCGCTTGCAATGTTAGCTCCGCTGAGGATGCAGGAACGAATGTTCAATGACTCCTGAATCATGTCTGTGATCAATCGGAATCCATGTTCGTTGACATCAATACCCTTGATTAATGAGATGGCTTTGCAGTTTGGTTGAATCTTGCCTTTAAGCTGCTTGCAAATGCTGGCAACGAACTAACGTCAAGAAAAAGAAAAAAAGGAAAAAAAAGAAAAAAAAGGTTAAAAGATGTCAATTGAAAAAAAAAAAAAAAAAAAAAATGGTTGAGAGGAAATAGAATAGTTCCTCCTGTAAACACGTGCTTTGGTGCCTTGCATCCAATCTGCATTCCTGCTGTGTAAAAAAAAAAAAAAAAGTCTATTTTCAAGGACAAACGTCCCTTGAGTGCTCATTATACTCTCTCTATTTCCAACAATTGCTCTCTCATTTTCAAACTCCATTATTTTATCAGCGCACCCACCACACACACTCTATTTTGGCTCCTGTAAATATAGGCAACCAAGCCTAATCATGCCATAATATGAAACATTGACATGATTGCAGCATCCCAACATGTGAAAAATAAAAAAATAAAAAAAATATCATAAAACAAAACGGCGATAATAACAGTAATAGCCGTCGGCTTGATCACATATTGAAATGATACCATCTTACACTGGGATAGAAAAAGAATAATTAAAGGAACAAACACCGCCTATCAATGACCACCTATCACCAACAACCAACTTTAAAAAAATGAAAAGAGTATGCTAATAATAAAAGGGGCAGAGTGGATTTACGCACCTGATGAGGAACAACGAAAACAAGCATTGAAGCATCGCGGCAAGTCTCGACCAAATCAGGGCAAGCGACAATATTTTCCGGCAATTGAATTCCAGGGAGATATCTATTTGAGGAATTAGAGAGAGAGAGATCGAAGGATTAGAAAGGGTATACCAAGTATTTAAACTATATTGTGTGCAAAGTGATAAGACGAAAACGCTGCAGTGATCCTTTATGTATTTCAACTCCAAATCAATTCCGCCTTTTATCTTTTTTCTTCTTTTTGTTTTTTTTTTGTCATTTTGTTCATGTGTTGGATGCAATGATCCTCAAGTTGCTGATGTGAACGATGGTGATTGATTGATCTTTGACGGTCAAAGCTCCTTGAACTCCACTCTTGCCTTCTTCATCGTCTGTGTGATATCAAGGAGCAAATTATTTTTTTTTCCCTTTTTGCCTCTTCCTCTGTTTGTCTGCTTGTTTGCTTAAGACGTCCTTGTTCTTTTCACAATTATGACGCATGAGGACTGAACATTGATCCGGATCGGTACACGTTGGCGAGCAAATAGAGAAAATAAAAAAGATAAAAATAAAAATAAAAAGTGTGGGGTAGATAGACCACCACCACCAAAAAAAAAAAAAAAAAAAAAAAAAAAAAACATACTTGACGTTCTCATGCTTGGTGTTGATGATTTCAGTGAGGTTCTGGCCATTGACTTTTTCTTCAAAGACCCACATTTTGACCTGATTGTCAAAGTGATCAAATCGCACAACATTACGACCAATGATTTTGGCGACAGCAGAGCCCCTTGTGGATAAAAAAAAAAAAAATGAACACATCAGAACATAAGTAAGGTGGACGAGCTTCGAGCAAATAGCTGTATGAATGCATCTCTGCTGCATATAGTTTCATTGTTTTATTGTTTTGTTACCAGTTGCCAGATCCGATGAGTGCTACTTTCTCAGTCATAGTGTATATATTTTTATGTGTATATGTGATGATGTTGGAGGCAATCGATTCCGGAGAAGAACAGGACAAGACTGAAGGTGAGAGTGAGAGCGAGAGTGAGGACGAGTGAATGAGTGTTAATGAAAGATGAAGTGTGTTTGAATTGAATGGTGAGAGGTAATGAGTTCCTTTTTATACGTCTGATCAGATCTCTTTTTCCGTCTCAGCTTTAAAAAAAGCACGAGATAATGAAATTAAATGCACACTCCTGCACAAACGATATCGATATTAATATCTTATATGAAAGCAACACCGACAATTCATTCCCGCATGTTTATTCATCCGTCCTTTGTTCTCTCCGAACGAAAAAGAAATTTTTTTTGCACATGTGTTTCTAACTCTTATGAAAGACCTTAAAAAAAAAAAAGCGCATGCTCATGATATTCAACATCCGTGCCAAGGCAAGCCCGATAGGACATCCAATATGGTTCCCATGTGGAATGTTTAATATGGAAAATGTTTAATACGTCTATGCTCTATCTTCATTATCTCAAAACAATCGAAAGAGCAAAAAAAAACAAAGCGTCAAAGTCCGCGAACATTATCACTATCTCAAATTTGAATTCATAATTTGTATCATCTGTTAACGGAATGTCTGAATGTCTGATGCTGACTGATGGTGCTACTTTTCTCTTTTAAAAAGATTTTATCAGTCAGCATTAAATTCCTTTGTGTCCCCCTTGTGTAATCTTTTTCGGTTCACAAATTCATCCGACTTGACATCTTTCATGTACATTCCAGTCCATTACATATGGTTGCTCCAATTGCGACTCGAATGACTTGCTCGGATAGTCTCAAACTATCTGTCCCTTTATCCTTACTTCTTTCTTTATAGTAATGCTAACCCGGTGTAGGTGCCAATCCTTCTTCTCGTCGAAAAAAGTTGCAGTTGAAGAAAGAACCTTGAATGGCATGCGCTTATTATTATTATTTTATCTGAGAATGGATTAGTGAATGCAGTGTAGAACGCTATGACCAACAAACACAAGTAAGTGTCCATAAAACATCCTTTTCGGCATTAAAGTTGCCGTTAGAAAAAAGAGAAGTCCCACGCTTTTTTTTTTTTTTTTTTTTGCAATTGTGTCATGTTCCTGTTTTCTTCTTTTGGTATCCCCCACTCACTTACTATTCCTCCCGTCTTGATTGTCTCTTTTCTTGCCGCTATCCGATCCGAAACCAGATCAGTAACCATGGCTGCTACTCCTGAACAAAAACGAATCTTTTTGACAGCGCTCCGTCATTCATTCCAAAAAATGGGTTTGGACATTGTTCATCCTTTTGCCGCACAGAGGTACCTTTTTTTTTTCTTCATTCATTCACTCATTCCTTTTTTTTTTTTTTTTTTTTTTTTTTTGTGCATACATTACTCACTTAAAGATAAACAATCAACTCTAGCTACAATGCTACAGCCCTGGGCCAGAAGAACCCAATGCATACTTTCAACCAGGCCTCAACTCTATCACTTATTATCGGTAGCAATAAAACTTTTTGGCATACCTTTTTGGCACAGCATGACCCTTCCAAACTCAAGACCGCTGAAGAACGAAAGGATCCCATGGATCATTACTGTGAACGACTAATTCCTCAAATTACCTTGGAGGCCCTCAAGGAAGCCAAGTTGTATTCGGATCAAGAGGGCAATGAGTTCACAACTGCATTTTCAGTAGCCTTCTCTCATTGGCGGATCACCATGCCTCCTGCAGGAACCCCTCCTCCAGGATCAAAGCCTACAGGATTTGTGGCCCCGCCTGTCAACACTCTCCCGATCCAACATGTAGCACATGCAGCTGGCTTTGCATACTTTAACCCTGTAGCCTTCTTGAATGTCCATCCTGTCTATGGTCCATGGTTCGGAATGCGATCAATTGTGATGGTGGATTTGCCATACGATATCTCTGACAATGAGACATTATTGATTACAGATGAAAACGCCACAGGGACATACTCAAAAGACTCTCAACCGATTGATTTCAACCCTGCATTCCGAGACTTATCTCCTGTGCAGATGGAGCTACAGACAGCAGCGCTAGAGAAGACCAAAACTGCATTATTAACAAAAGGATGGGATCCTGCAGATTGGGAGGAATGGGTGGCGTTTCGACAGAGTTTGGCCCGCGATCGGCTGGATTGGCTTGCATGGCGATATTCAGACGATCAGATGCGGTATCATTATATGAAACAGCCAGAGTTTTTGGATGAATGCGCCCGCAAGTATCGCCAAGAAAGACAACTCCATCAACAAGGAGTACATTAGTATGAGATCTCTATTTAGAAATTTGTAATATATACCGAGCTTATTTAATAAGCGGATCGCGGCGCGGTGTTTAATGGACACTTAATAGAATAAACGTCAATGGCTCAAACAAGAGTAGAAACTTAGTGGCACATAAGAAATCTCTATTATCTTATTCAAATGTATATAACAAGAATAAAGTTCCTTGCCTTATGTACTCTCTAAGGTAACCATCCAAACTGTTGACCATTCTATACGTTGGTGGGGTGAGAGGGATCTGTAAGGAAAAATAAGACATATGGGCTCCTTAGAGGCTGTGGGTATAATTACGCCAGTAATCAATAATACATGTCTTCTCCAGTCGTTCTTGGTCCTAAAGATGCAAAGAGTCGTCATTGATGATTAAACAAGGATGTCCTTATTGATATGTGGCGTAAGTAATAGCGATACAGAATCAATAAACACAGCATAAGAGCATAGGTGTTTATTGGTACGTGTGCATTTGACATTGACCATGATAGGACAGATAAAGAAGAACAAAGTAATGACAATAAAGGAGCTTTCAATATGGGTTGGACATACTTGGTCATAGCATCATCGGTTGCATTAGTAGCAGCAGCAGTAGTGTTGGCAGTAGCGACGGTAGTTGTAGTGATGGTAGTCAGTGACTTCAGGAAGTCTTACGACCATTATCTGCACCGGCCCATCCTGTATTTAATTATGTTTGAGTTACAGAACAACTAGTATACTTTTTTAACTTAGATGTTGATCTCGAACTTCCGGAACAATTTCAGCGCTAACAATATCAGTAATGCTTACACTGCTTCTAACGTCCTTACGGACGGCAACCTCGGTCCATCAACCTTGGAGGACAACCCCACTCCACCACCTACCCCGTCCAGCAACCCTTTCTCCCCTGAAATCCAACAAATGCTCTCTCCTGAAATCCTTCAAGCTATCAGCACTCTTACTCAGTTCTGCCAAAATAGAGGTGCGGTCCTCCAGTTAGGTCTGTCATCTCAAGACCCACACATATTCACGACGGATTCACTCTATTGCATGAGGTCCTATGAGGAATTTTATGCCTTCCATCAAGAATAGAAAGAAGTTTCATACAGCTAAACTCTCTGACGAAGAGCAGCGTTATTACGACATTAGCCGATTTCCAAAGCTTGACGGTATGGAATACACACCCCCAGCTGCTCCCAAAGAGTGGTTAATCACTGATAGCCTCAAGGACACTGATCAAAAGTTGGTCAAACTGGCAACAAGAGCTGCACACATTACGAGACCAATTGATGCAGCAGCTCATGCCATCATCCCTCAAAATAACACAAATGACCCTCAAGTACATCATACCTTTGTGCCCTGGATACAGCTCGAATTCAAATCTCCACTGTATGTGAACAGATCAATAAAATCCATATCAAATCATTTTACAAGGAAAAGAAGTTTATTAACTTTCCAGACACATCGACTTACTTGAACATGCTAAACCTTCGCAGAACAACAAGGAGTACAGCAATCCTAACCGGGATAGGGATAATCGAAGCAGGCAAGCTCGTTTCGGGAGCCTCAACCACACTTCATTTGCTCAACCACAGCAATATCAGCAAGTGGGGCTCTCAAAACCAAAACCACAATAGAATAATAATCACGGCTTGGGCAGCCAGTTTTTTCGGAACCCCCCTTCTGCACGGGGAAGGGGCCAAGGCGGAGGGCGCCAGTAGGGAGTCGACTACACCTCTGCCAAGCAGTATGGAACTTATGGACGACTAACGGGTCCACAGAGTTATTCAGGATAGATACGAAGTCCCATTCGATTCACCAGCAACACAGCCACACATAACAGCGCTCCAAGGAAGAAATGAAGACGATAGAGCAAGAGATCGTGGAGTTATTAGCCAAGGAAGCGATATAAAAAGCTCTTGCCTTGAGTAAATATGGATCTCGGGATGGCAGGCCTGGAGGACCGCTGATAGCCTGGAGGATTTCAGGAGAGAGCATTTGTTGGATTTCAGGGGAGAAAGGGTTGCTGGACGGGGTAGGTGGTGGAGTGGGGTTGTCCTCCAAGGTTGATGGACCGAGGTTGCCGTCCGTAAGGACGTTAGAAGCAGTGTAAGCATTACTGATATTATCGCTGAAATTCATTTTTCTATGGAGATGGATGTGTTCTGGAAGTTCGAGAGAAAGGATTTATTTTATTAACGACCCATCCCTGTGTTTAACAATGCTCAGACTACAGAATGACTGGACTATGAAGGATAATTAATTTAAAGCCATGGCCGTCTATTTACAATCACAAGAATTGCAGAGCCTGTGCCAGGATTTGCGGTTAGAGATAATGTCAAGACCGTGTGCTTGGGAAGATAGCAGGTTGATATTACGTCTCTTCCTCTTTATCCGACTCATCCTGAGCAGCAGCTAGCTCCTGAAGTAATGATGACTTTCTTGTCCGAGGTTTAGTAGGTGAGTGAAAGACCACTCTTTCCCACTCCAACACCATCATTGGAGATTTCAGATCAACACCGACAGCTATGTCCTCTACCATGACACGATTGTTATATTCATATAGCCGCTTCGCAGCGTATGCCTTCTGTGCGTACGCATGGTACTCGTCCAGAAGGTTGAACAGAACAAAAACACCATGCTGCAGGAAAAACTGGATGTCCTCGCTGGCTACTGGCAATACAAGAGGTGAACATGCCTTCCCAACCACCCAAATATCTTCGTATTTGATAATCTTGATCACCGTCGCAGTTGTCCCTTGTATATTCAATAGTGGAGGGCATCCAATACCGTGCTTTTCCAGCTCCAGCAAAATGCTCTTATTTATCTTTGCATTTTTGCGAAGCTGAACTGCCACGTCAATCGGGCCGCAGCTTCCACGCTTTGCCTCAAAGTTCCCAACCTCCATGCCATCCACAGTCAGGAGACAATCACACTTCCGTGTGTTACAGCCTGTGTTGAAGGCCTCCGCAAGCATAGACTTGGACAACGTTGTCGCAGCACAGCCTTGCTCGCCCAAATGAAGACATAATTGGGTATCCAAAGGCAAGCCATCCTTGAAAATACATCCCCAAAGCAACATGACATCTCCTTCCGAAGGCTTCTTGTTTCCGGTCAGAGGCCTGATTGCATGAGAGAAAAGATGTTGGAGTACGTTGATCCTCCGCCTCTGTTCCGGATATTCACATTGCAAGGCATATGTGTAATTTAGAAGATCCTGCACTGAGGATCCTTCCTCAACTTTGCCCAAGAGCCTCTGGACAATCTCATCAATACCTTGTGTCCTCTCCTCCAAACCTGGTAACAAACAGAGACCTTGAGCTGCTTTCAGTTTCTCGGAACCGAATGAGTTGTTTGCATCTGTTGAATATAAGTTCCATATTCCAGATAATGCCACAAAAGCATCCTTGTAAGGAAGACAGTGATTTTTGTCAAGGGACTTGAGCTTGTGCAGAAGTTGCGCCTGATGAAGGTTCCTCAATCCAATGCGATACAAGATTTCTTTGTTCTTGCTGCCAATTTCATCCAAAACTGATTGGTCGAGGTCAATTGAGGGTAATTCCACGTCCCAGTCTGTGTACATAAGAATCGCTAAATCAACTAAACTGTGCCAGGGCTCTCTAAGCTTTAGTTTAGGTGTGGCTGGTTCAGAACTTGTGGTGGAGACAGATTGGCGTCGCTTCTTCATAGAGATTGGAAACGATTTTGACTTTTTTGGACTTGGTGGGGGACCTGTTCGAGAACACGCAGGCCAATTTTCTGCTAAATCATGGTCCTGGAAACCTTCGAAATCCTTAGAAGGCAGTATGTACTCCGTTTGTTGATCATCGAGTTGGTTATCTAAGACTGGGGGGGCACTAGTTAATGATGATTTACCTTTTGCTAGTAATGATTTCGCTGTCCATGATGATGATGATGCCTCCATAGAAACGCTGCTTTCTCTCTCCACAATAGATTCCGAATCTAGACAAATGTCCAGACGCTTCTTTTTATGGCTCACGCTGGATAGCTCTACGATCTTCTCAGCATCACTTGCTCCGCTTTTCACTACTTTTAAAATTGTCGAAGATATTTTGCGTTTGGCGTCTGATGCATTTTTTTTATTTATATATTCCTCGAAGGCTTGCGTGAAGGGGTCTTTTGAGGCCTTTTGTAGAACATTATCGGCACGACTTCTCAGGCTTTCAGACACATTATTGGCATTACTGATTGTCGTGAGGCCCTTAGTGTAAGTTGTAAAGTGCTGTTCTGACGGCTTGGAGAGATCACAATACTTGAAGAATGCATGGGTATTATGCCAATAGCGGGCTTTGACGCTCTTGAAGAATGGATGCACCTTCAGTGCACTAGGAGCGGTATGGTCGAGGTCTTGCATCGTTATATATTTAGTTCATGAAAATAGTAACTTCATAAAAAAATATGTTAGTGATGTGAAAGCTATTTTACTTGCAGAGGATAGGATGAGCGAGCGTGAATGGTCCACAAGCTGCTTTTCAGACCTCTATGAGGTACCGTGTTGCGCGGCACAGCCGACAATATACGGCAGCATCTTGTTATTATCGCCTTAACTCTCGAAAGAGCCATAGAAGCAAAAGTAAACCATCCAACGATACCACCATCGAAAGAATAGCCGCGCCATCCTCAGGTATACGGCCCAGATTTAAGGGTTGGATACCTGATTTCTCTGTCATCTTTTCCAATTAGACGTACAGAAGCGGCAGCGAAGCAAATTGAACAAAATCATTTTTAGAAGATAGGATGAGCGAGCGTGAATGGTCCACAAGCTGCTTTTCAGACCTCTATGAGGTACCGTGTTGCGCGGCACAGCCGACAATATACGGCAGCATCTTGTTATTATCGCCTTAACTCTCGAAAGAGCCATAGAAGCAAAAGTAAACCATCCAACGATACCACCATCGAAAGAATAGCCGCGCCATCCTCAGGTATACGGCCCAGATTTAAGGGTTGGATACCTGATTTCTCTGTCATCTTTTCCAATTAGACGTACAGAAGCGGCAGCGAAGCAAATTGAACAAAATCATTTTTAGAAGATAGGATGAGCGAGCGTGAATGGTCCACAAGCTGCTTTTCAGACCTCTATGAGGTACCGTGTTGCGCGGCACAGCCGACAATATACGGCAGCATCTTGTTATTATCGCCTTAACTCTCGAAAGAGCCATAGAAGCAAAAGTAAACCATCCAACGATACCACCATCGAAAGAATAGCCGCGCCATCCTCAGGTATACGGCCCAGATTTAAGGGTTGGACACCTGATTTCTCTGTCATCTTTTCCAATTAGACGTACAGAAGCGGTAGCGAGGCAAACTGAACAAGAAAAAAAAAAAATGCAACGGAAAGCAGAAAGGTAAATAATGATTCAACGCCATTACCTGTGGAAGTATGTGTTTTATCAAATGAAAAATGGAACGAAATCTCTCTCTCCTACTTTGAAAGTGATGGAAGCTCCACTTCAAAGCGAGCGTTGGAGTGTGTGGCTTGTGATATTATCCCTCCAATGCAACGTGCATAATTTAGCAAGCAATTAAAACGAATGGGCTCTATTGGCCATTGGGCCCATGGGGAACACTCCGTATTTTGTTCATGTTCCTGTGCTCTCCCTCTTTTTTTTCTACTTCTTTCTGTTCCCTTCTTTCAGGCACACATCCCTTCTTTGAGCGTCCATATCTCTAAACTTATTGTGGTAAGTTTGTTGGTATTGTTGTTGTTATCACTTTCACAACGACTTTCAGGAGCAAAAAGATGGACAAATCCAGCAAATGCAACATGTTTTGAAGAAATGAATGAAAAGTATCATCGGCTTCATAATCGGCCCACTCCATTGTTTTCATTTTTCTTCTTGGAGGACGGTCAATGTGATGGGCGCGTCGAGATGCATGGAATGAACCGAAAGCGAAACACAATTACAATCGCAGCATGCATTGGAAGCACACAAGGCTGGGGAAGGAGTCTTTATTGGGCTCTACCCACCATTTTTTTTTTTTTTTTTTTTTTGACTCTTGGCCAAGATATCGCCTCGCTACCCATGTTTAAACTCCTTACATCGAGTTCTTTACGATGGATCATATACTCGATTTTACTTTAGATAAAATCAATATCGTCACTTTCATTGTGGTTTCCATTTTACAGATGTGAGACTATCTTGAAATCAGTTTTTTCTTTTCTTGGCAGACAAGTCACCGCGCTCTTTTCTATTTATTGATTACGCTCACTCTTGGTTATCTTTACAACGCTCTGTATTCAATTAATCTCACATTCTCTCAACTATTTTTTTATTTTTATACTTTTGGACAACTTTTAGGACTCTTGGAAAAACAAAATAAAACAAAAAAAAAAGAAAAAAGGCTTCTCTTTATTCTTTCACTTCTTTCACTTCAACAACGAAAATACCACAAGCTATCTTCAACAAGGAATCCTTTTACACTTACAACACATCATGGTTGATCCACGCCCAACTATTAAAAATGCAGACATGAATGAAGATATGCAGCAGGAGGCTGTAGAATGTGCCATCCGTGCGTTTGAGAAGTATACGGTCGAGAAGGACATTGCAGCTTTCCTCAAGAAGGAGTTTGACAAGAAGTACGGTGCTACTTGGCATTGCATTGTCGGACGTAACTTTGGAAGCTATGTCACCCATGGTAAAAAAAAAAAAAAAAAAAAAAAAAACAACTTCAATTTCTACGATCGTGTGAATTTTAATGCCATTGGAAATATCCTGTCATCTGACATATTTTCACATGTCTTTTTTCTTTTTCTTTTGCAGAAACCAAGCACTTCATCTACTTTTACTTGGATCAAATCGCCATTCTACTCTTCAAGAGTGGATAGATGTTTATATCCTATCCAACAAAAAATCACCCTTAGTTTCTTGTAATCCTGTAGTGTTTGTTAACTGTTGCAAACATTTTTTTTGCTCAGGACTGGTACTTATATTCAATCAATATTTAGATTAGCTGAAATGAACAAATAAAATATTTTCTCTGGCAGATGTTTTTTTTTCTTTTTCTTTTTTTTTTTTTTTTTTTTTAGTTTCATTGTCCTGACAATATTATGGTGTCCACTTGTGCACATTAAAGAAACCAATGAATATGACCAGAAAGAATTAATAAATGAAGAAAATGCTTTTATATCGTGTATTTTTGTAAGAGTCTATTCAACCAAGTCCAAATGTCCAAACACCGCCCCTATCAACCACTTCTCTCGCCGTTATAGGTCCGTTGAGTAGTTTTCCTGTAAGCAAAAGAATATATGTATAAAAAAAAAAAAAGAAAAACCTCCGCTCCCGCTTCATTTTCAATATCCACTGATTTATTTATGCGTTAGTCTCCTTTGTAGTAGCTGTTCCTGTTGAAGATGCGGACGAAGCTTCCGTTGCAGCGGCAGCGGCCTTCTTGGCAGCCTGGATATCCTGGCTAGGTCTAATTCTCCAACCCTTGAGACGATTCATATAGCGAGCACGTTCCTGAACAGCATCCTGAATTCCAAAGGTTTTACTATCAGGAGCATCAGGCCATTTGAATTCATGATCGATAGTGACAACAGCCTTCTTGAACTTTTGACGCTTCGAAATGGTGTTCCCACCAACTCCGGCGACCTTGACAGGCATATTGGCCGTACGGACGCTCAGAACGTTGAGGTTGTAGATGTTGGAGAGATAGGACTTGATATCAAATTTGTTCATGGAAGGAGGAACACGGAAAGTAAGTGTGTTGGAAACTTCAGGGACATTGGCGCCATTGCGAACTAGCTTGATGATGGTGGAGGGGAAGTAAAGTTTTTTCAGTCCTTCTTTGAGCAGTGGCATGGTTTGAATGTATTGGGAAATGATAAAAACTTTATGTTATGAATGCGAGTAATGTAATATATTAATTTCTCCTTGTGCGTGTATAAAAAAAAAGGAAAAAAAAAAAAAAAATGCAAAAATCGTGCAGATTGCTTAAAGGCAAGAGGGCCGTGAAGCTGAGAAGATAAGCTGACAAGGACAAAAAGTTTCAGGCACGATAAAATGGTGGTTCAATGAGTAATGGTGAATGTTTTCCTCCCGAAAAGCAAAAAAGCACGGTGTGACTGTTGATTCACTGAAGAATAGTTATTTGTTTTGATCCAACAAAAGTCAGTCTATTTCAATGCGACAAAGGACAATGTGGCTTTTACTTAAAAAAAAAAAAAAAAAAAGACATCGATACTTTCTATGCTTCATTTTTTTTTTTTTTTTTTTTTTTTGGTGTGAGTTTGTGTCTTTTTTTTGTCCTTCCACCTTCATTCCTTTTCTTTCATTAGTTGACATCAACAACAAAACCTAATTTTCGCCTGTCATGTCGACCGATTTCAAATCCCTGACGGTCAAAAAGTACCCTCGACTGCCAGGACGTAAAACCCCAGAGTCAAGATACTGGCGCAAGTTCAAGGTTAGAAAAAATAAAATTGAACATAAAAGAACAATGGAAGCATAAGAAAAAAATATACAACTGGATGAAATAAAAAAAAGAAAAAAAAAAAAGAAAACGATATTCATCAACGTTATGTATCTTTTTTTCCCTTATCTTTTGCTCTTTATTATTTAGTCACCAATTGTGGTCAAAGAGTTTGCAGCTGTTTCGTCAGTTCATTTTTCAGAGACGACACCATATGATTTTGCAGTGACAGCATCGACACGCGTTCAGATTTACAGCTCAAAAACACATCAGGTCAAAAAGACTATCTCACGATTCAAAGACGTCGCATACTCGGGAACCATTCGAGCGGATGGAAAGCTAGTAGTTGCTGGAGATGCTACCGGCCTGATTCAGATCTTTGATGTCAGCAGCAGAGCCATTCTCAGAACTTTCCGAGAACACAAACAGTATGCCTCTTTATTGGTTATTATCGATTCTTCTATAGTCGTTCAATCATTAGTGTTCCGATTGATTTATCTACTAATTACTAAAAAAAAAAAAAAAAAAAAAAAAAAAAATGGTTTTTATATAAATATGAATATGCTAATATAGCCCAGTACATGTTACCAAATTCTCATCAGACAAGACTCAGATTTTGTCTGCATCAGATGACAAGACAGTGAGGATCTGGGATATGCCTAGCGAAACTCCATTGACGATATTCACAGGACATGAGGATTATATTCGTTCAGGAATGGTCTCGCACGACAATCCACATCTTATCTTATCAGGATCTTATGATCAGACAGTTAAATTATGGGATATGCGCACTCAGGGCTGTGTTATGACCATGAATCATGGATCACCAGTAGAAGCTGTAGAGATGTTTCCTGATGGAGGAGTGGTTGTTTCAGCTGGTGGACCTTCCATTAAAGTGTTTGATATCTTGGCAGGAGGTCGACCCATGCATGCACTCTCAAATCATCAAAAGACTGTCACATCGTTATGTTTTGATAATTCACATTCTCGTCTATTGACAGGATCATTGGATCAACATGTCAAAATCTATAACGTTCAGGATTATAGTGTTGTCCACAGTGTCAAATATCCAGCACCAGTTTTGAGTGTTGCTCTCTCAGTACGTCTGTCTCTTTCACTCGTCTTTTTTTTTTAAAAAAAAAAAAAAAAAAGTTTTTTTGCTTACACACAGGGACGTTTTTTTCTTCTACTTTCTAGCCTGATGATACACACTTGGTGGCTGGTATGGCAGGTGGATTACTATCGATCCGTCAACGCGTCGTCAAAACAGCTGAAGTACAGACCCGTCGTGCACAGGAGGAGCAGATCCGTGCTGGTAGCTATAAATACTTTGTCCGTGGTCAAAAGAAGGCTAACGAGGGCGATTTCACAGTCGAGACTCAGAGGAAGCGTCGTCTGCGTGAATATGACCGATATTTGAAAGCATTCCAGTATGGCAATGCGTTGGATGCTTGTCTGAGAACGAACCAACCTGCAGTGACGACCGTTTCATTGATTCAGGAGTTAGTCCATCGTGATGGTCTTCGACAGGCACTGTCAGGAAGAGATGATATCTCCTTGGAGCCACTGGCGCAATTCCTAGTGAGGAACATCAACAATCCACGGTACACATCCATTCTAGTGGATGTGACAACGATTATGATTGACATGTACACGGCTGTATTGGGGCAATCGCCTTTGATTGATGAGCTATTTATGAGGTTGCGGGCCAAAGTTAAAATGGAAATTGAATTTCAAAAGCAGTTGTTGTCCGTTTTGGGATCGATGGAGATGTTGTTTGCAAAAAGCACGACTACATCTGTAGGGGTTGCTATTCATAATGAGATGGCATCTGTCTCTATGTCATCACCGGCAACAGCACCAACGGGAGCAACAGGGGCATCAACAATGGCTTCATCTTTATCTTCATCTTCATCATCGAGGATACAATAATTTTGACATATCAAATGACACACATCCTTTATAAATGCATTCATTCTCTTTTCTCCTTTTTCGAGTTATACATTTATTATTTTTCCCCTAATAGATATTACTCAATGTGTATAAAGTTGAGGAAATATTAAAAAAAAGGGGGACCTTGCCTGAACAGTCTTCTTTGCATGTGATAAACAGATAGAAAACGGCGCACTTTTTTTTTTTTTTTTTTTTTGCTTATTTGTTCTTTTTCTCATTCAAGGATGTCTTGTTTCACTTTACTGACATCCATCAAATCGAGTAGGTAATTGTGGTGCCTTGTTCTTGTAGACCTCCCTACGGCCTCTTATGTTTTAAAGAATAAAGAAACGCTGGGTCAACAAGAAGAGAAGACTGCTGAGCAAGAGCCGAGTAGAAGGATGAAGAGAGGTGAGCAAGGGCCGAGTAGAAAGATGAAGAGAGGCTTTGTAAGAATCGAGTAGAAAGATGAAGAGAGGTTATGTAAGAACTGAGTAGAAAGATAAAGAGAGGTGGGCCACATACGCACGGACAACCAAGCTTATTCACAGCAAATGGCCATGACAAAGAACTTCCAAGAATGGGAAAAGCAATAAACAAAATGCACGTACTACTAATAAAATGAGCTCCAGAACACAATAGATCCGGGATGTAGGTGCAGGGGCGGACATGGGGAATATGAAATTAACACAAGGATGCTAAGGCTTTTTTTTTTTTTTTTTTTTTTGTTTTTTTATATTACAAAGCGCAAGAGTAATAGCAAGCTTTCCATGGTTGCCTGCATGGCAAGAAAGGACACTATGGCTTTTGGCTTCCAGAACCTTAACTGCTTTTATAGGTGCTTACTCTTCTCTCCTCCATGTTCTTCGTCAATATAAAGACTTCATTCTCTTTTTTCTTTTCTACTTTCACTGTCCTATTTTCTCGTTTTATCTCTCCATCTCTCTTTCTCCCAATTCTCTAAATCTCTTCTATCTCCCTTCCCTTCTTTATATACACGAACAAAACAGCTCTACGCTGATACTCTCTTGCAAAGAAATTGGCACCAGAAGCAGAACAAGACAAAAACACGCTAGATAACAAAAAAAAAAAAAAAAATGACTATTAGACAGTTTAATCCTTCTTTATTTAACCACCAGACTGCCATCTGCAGTGGTTATACATATCGTAAATACTTGCCCTTCTTTGCAGCCATAAAATTTTGCCCTCCATTCTCCTGTTTGTAAGGACTCCCACTCAATCCATTGTTCCTTATTATTTTATCCTTCGAATAAATAGACTACGTAGATGAGGGCAATAAGGATGGAATCCCGATCCTTCTACTTCACGGCTTCCCAGATTTATGGTACGGATGGCGATATCAGATTGAATACCTTGCCTCATTAGGTTACTACCGGGTGCTTGTGCCCGATCTATTGGGCTATGGAAAGTCAAGTAAACCACGGTTTGACACTCAATATGATCCTGCGACAGAAACTTGGCAATATAACAAGCTGAACACAGATTATACACCCAAGAAGGTAGCTAGACATTTAACCGAGCTGTTGGATCATTTGAAGTTGGAGAAAGCAGTGTGGATAGGACATGATTGGGGCTCGGGTATTGTGTCAAGGGCAGGATGGCATTTCCCGGAACGAGTACATGCTGCTATTGCGTATGTATTTTTTTTTTCTTTTTTATCCTTGTTTAATGACTGACATATTGATTCCATTGTAATCCTTAATGTATTCCTCCCAATGGGTTAATGGTTAGTATCGGCAACCCTTTCCGCCCAATCTCAAAACGTATGGTTTCTATAGAAGAATTTGTAAAAGAAAACCCAGCTTTTCAGTACTTCCATTATTTTGCAAGTCAAATTGCAGCATCCGAGATGGATTCGATGGTAAATATCATATATACCAATATCAAAACAATATTTTCATCATATCGATCCTGTATCTAACATATTAACCTTCCCATGTTCATGCTTTTGTTTCCCTGTTATATTTCCTTGAACATAAAGGTAGAGGATGTTGTAGGTAGCCTATTCCTTGATGAAACTGGTAACACAAGTGAGGTATCATAAACTTTTATCTTTTTTACTTCACTTACTGTATACCTATTCTAGTCAAGCAGAATGTAGCGCCTACTAACATTTGAATTATATTCATGCATGTTGTTGCTTGTAGGACCGGGCATATTACATCCAAAATCTCAAGGAAGGAGGGTTCTATGGCCCACTCGCGTACTACAAAAGTTTCGATATCAGCTATCGAGAAGATCTACGTAAGCTAAGCGATTAATTGTGTAACAATATTAAATATGCAGATCGAGATGACTTACCTTTTCTTTGTTTATTAGACCTTGCAGGGTCGCGTTTCACAGTGCCAGCGCTGTTGTTGATCGTGAACAATGATCCGATCCTTACACCCGAATATTGTAAAAATGTGCCTAAGGATTACTTTGATGATCTTGAGGTGGATGAGATTGAATATGGAGAACATTGGGTTTTGACTCAGAACCCAGATATGGTCAACAAAAAGATTGGTAATTACCTTGAACGGCTCTTTGGTTCGAACGGAGGTATACGTAGGAAGAGCGCAAGCACAACAAGAGACTTGAGATCAATGCAATATCGGCACCAGCATCATTACCTAGATGCGAAGTTGCATCAAGAGTCACATAAAGAGCAGCCAGAAGAACCTTCTATGGTACGAGAGCAGCCAAGGCTACATGGGTATCATCACAGCTCTCATAATGCGCACACTCAGCGTTCCCATCATCACCATGAAAAGAATGGGAATAGTCAATTCTATGGACGGAGCAAACTGTGATAATGACGTGTTTATATATGCTTTAATGATAGTTCGCCTTTTTAGCTTTATCATGTATATTGTGTGTTGCATTACATATTGCTTCCTGATTGAACTGTTCTTCAACAAAGAAAAGAAAAGCAATATGTCGTGGTACAATAAAGTTGAAGAAGGACCGGAAAAAAGTAAAAACTAGTGAAATGAAATTCAAAATTGTGGAACCGTTGGATCTTCACATTAAACAAGAGAACACCTGCCCCTTTCTTTACACTTTTTTTTAAACTGCTTTTCCTTCCTTCTACTTTCTGCTTTCTTTTGTCCGTTGCTTTTCACTTCTCTCTTTTCAATCCTCCCCGTGCACATAAAACATGGAACTTACTCTTTATGATCAATTAAAGAAGACGCTCGAGTGTCTACCAGATATTCTAGCCTATAATGCTTCTGTATCCAAGCCAACTCCTGCAGAACTGAAGCCTTCTAGGTTATTTATTATTACTTTTTAATAACAAAACCAGTCTATGAAAATTTTTTTCTTATCAGCAGTACTGATAGTTTTTTCATTCAATGTATTCTTATCATATTGCATACTAGTTTTAATCACAAGACTATCAGCCTTCGAGGACACAAATATCGTAAATGTTGGCATTCGAGATCTTTTTATGTTTAGATTTCCTTGGATACTAACGAGTGAAGAAAATCTTTGCTTGTATACCATCAACAGACTACGTCGAGGAAGGTGATCCAAACGGTACTCCAGTGATTTTACTTCATGGGTTCCCAGATTTATGGTATGGATGGCGTCATCAGATTCGACACCTTGCAAAACATGGATATCGTGTCTTTGCTATTGACAACTTGGGGTCTGGTGGATCTGTAAGCAAATAAAAAAATAAAAAAAATAAAAAAGGTTTGAAGTGATAAACAAATTGAACGAATAGGAGGTATCTGATATTATGTATATCCGATAGGATCATCCAAGGTGTTCTCTTGACGAGTTGGATCCATACCTCGCTGTTAACTTGTCAGCCAGCTTGGTTGACTTTTTAGATCAACTGAATATTGAGAAGGCGGTGTTTGCTGGGCATGATTGGTAAGCAAATGGGTCGACACATTCACCTTTAAGCGTACATAAATCGTTGAATGAACGCCCAAATTTCATTCTATTGACATTGTCTGTCTCCCTATGACTGTATCTGTATTCCTTGTCTATGTTGTATTGTCAGGGGCGGATATTTGGTCTGGCAATTAGGTCAGAGATACCCTGAACGCTGCCACACCATAATCAGGTACTTAAAAAAAAAAATATGAGCAAATTGCTACATTCTTAACGTGCATTTTTATTTTTGCTCACACATTCTGTCTATTTGGACCGCATATACAAACACGTGCACATGTAGTCTTGGGGACCCATATAGACAGCCAACAAAAGAATTCGTTGGCATGGATCAATTTGTCAAGCAATTTCCTCATTTTGCTTATTGGGTTACTTTCGAGACCGAGGAGCCTGATAACTGGTTTGATGGCGATGTAAGGGGTTTTTTTTTAAACACTAGATTTGAGATTGATCAAAAAGAAAAAAGGCAGAAAAGGCGCCTACATCATTTACAACGACGTTAATTAGGTTCATAAACAAGCCCAAGCTTATTATGCTGGATTTGCAGCTCGTCCTGGCACTAATATAGAAGAGATGGAGTACTATATCGACCAATTCACTCGTACATCTTTCCATGGTGGATACAACTACTACCGTGCTTTCAAACCCAACCATGAAGAACAGCGCCGTAAGACATATAATCATTTTTAAGAGGGTCATATTTCGATCGAAAATATATAATATTACTTTTTTTTTTTATTAAAAAAAAAAAAAGAAAACTAACTCTTTGTAAACATTTATTTCGATGGTATAGGTTATATTGGCAAGCCGTTTACAGTGCCTGCGTTACAAGTGATTATCGAGCAAGATCAGTACTTAACTCCAGAGTTTATTGCAATCCATCCAACGCACATGGTTCAGCATCTGGAACAGATCCGGATTGAGAAAGGAGGACACTGTGTTCAGTTCGAGAATCCTGAGCATGTCAATAAGGTCTTTACAGATTATTTGAGCAAGTTCTTTAGCAAGGACAAGAGTCAGGATCGGACAAAAGTACAATAGATCCCCGAAAAGGCGCTTAGCTGTACTTTTGTACCTTTGTCACATAGCACTTTCTTTCGCTCAAGATTTTTTTTTTTGTGCAACGCGTTGCATCTGATGCTGTGTTGAGTAAAAAAAGCAATTTTTTTTTGTGTCTGCAGATAAAATGTCTTGTACAATCATGTGAGCCCAAAATATAACGGGCATAGGATGTGCCTTAGCCTGTCGCTTGTAGTTCCTGTTTGGAAACAGTTGAGGCCATTGGCTCTGAGGATGACTGTAGTTTTTTTTTTTCCCTCTTTTCCTTACTTTCTTTTCTTTTTCCTCTCTTTTCATTGTTCCCTTCTACCTATCCCCTGCTCTTTTTTTTTTTTTTTTTTTTTTTTTTATATTTTCCCACCTGTAGACCTGTAATTTGACTTGCTGCTATTTTTCTTTCACCATGGCTGAGGGTTCATTTGTGATGACAGCTGACATCAGCTTTTACGATATTATCAAACGCACCTATGATAACCTCCCTGCTCTTCAAGCTCATCATACTGCAAATTCAAAGCCAACCCCCGCCGACTTGAAGGTCTCAAGGTAAATCGTCTTCTCTGTGATCAAATGTCATAAGAAATAATGAAGGAGCATCACTCATAACTTTTTTTTTTTTTTTTTTTTTTTTTTTCGTCTCTAATCTGGGTAACATAGCTTCAATCACAAAACCATCAACCTTCGAGGATACACGCACCGTAAAGGCTAACAAAATCATTCCGGACAGTCATAGCATAATGAAATGGGGATTTGATAGTAATTGTTTTTTATATATATGTATATATATTAGATTACGTGGAGGAAGGAGATCCAAATGGAGTGCCTTTGGTGTTGCTCCATGGGTTCCCAGATATGTGGTACGGATGGCGTTATCAGATTCGTGCCTTGGCCAAGGAGGGTTATCGTGTTATCGCTATGGACAATCTTGGATATGGTGGCTCTGTATGTCATCTATTTGCTTCTTTTTTTATTTATTTTTATTTTTTATTTTTTTTTTTTTCAATTAAGATTAATCAATCTCTATTATCCCTCATGCCAAAGGATCAACCCAAGTGTCCGATCGATAACCCAGAGCCGTATACTCAGAAGAGCCATTCGGAATATATGGCGGACCTGCTAGATCAGCTTGGCATCAAGAAGGCAGTTTTCATCGGACATGACTGGTAAACCTCAATTTCTTTTTTGATTACTAATAGTACGCTCGTATCCCTTCCCTCTTACTCATTTCCTTCTTCGAAAATAAAAAGGGGTGCTCTCTTGGTCTGGAGGCTTGGGCATTTCTTGCCTGACCGATGCTTGGCTGTTGTCGGGTAAGCACTCAATTTTTTTTTTTTTTTTTTTTTTTTAAATCCATTTCCATTGTAATAGTATTATCATTGCACTCATTGCGACTTCCCTTGCCATTTAGTATCGGGATCCCTTACCATGCTCCAACAGACCAACCAGTGGACTTTGCAGTCATATCTGCACTCTTCCCTCATCTCAAGTATATCGCTGTCTTCCAGACAGAGGAACCCGAGACATGGTTCGGTGGCGATGTAAGTTTGACCTACATGCATGGTCATAAACTGATGCGATATAATATGTATAGACTATGAGCACACTTTGGGCGTGAATATTGACTGACATGGACATCTATATCTCTCTTTCTATCTCTTATTCTAATAAAAGCCTCATGAACAAGCATTGGCGATTATAAACACAGCGTATGCTACACGTCCAGGCACAAATGTCGAGGAGACACAGTATTATATCGATCAGTTCTCACGCACGACTTTTCATGGTGCATACAATTATTACCGTGCCATGAAACTCAATTCTGTTTCGGACCTGCGTAAGTTAATGTTAATTGCTTCTACTCGACGATTTTGAATGACATCAAGGGAAAAAAAAAAAAAAATCTCAATAGTTCTCTTTAAATAGAATTTGTGGGAAAACCATTGACAGTTCCGGCGCTGCATGTAATTGCGGAGAAGGATCCCATTGTGCCAGCTGATTATATAGCCATGATATCAACAGACATGATCCAGGACTTGAAACAGGCTTACATCCCAGAGGGAAACCATAATGTCCACAGCGAGAATCCAGAGGAACTTAACAAGATTCTGATTGAATATTTGGATGATCTTGTCAAGAAGCGTGCTAATGATATTAAAGATAACAGAATTAGTAATGGTCATGGTGTCGGTACAATGAAGGAGAAGCAAGACCAGGTAGAGGGGCATGCACCCTAGGAGATCCTAGCTGACTGTGCAATAAATATGCGGGTTAATGTTATTGGAAATAGCTGTTATGAGTGAATTGGGACCGAGAAACGGTTGTTTGTAGTAGTGTTTGCAGTCGAACCTGATAAACTAAGAGATTCTCCAAAAATCTGTCCAAGGACCAATTGCTGCCCATTTTAGGTTGGTGGCGGGGACCCTACACGTGATAATAGAATCCAACTGCCGAAAATCTCAATTGATCATGATTTCACATTGTCTTCGGCGCCATGTCCGAAAGTGTATCACCTTTCTTCATTGAAACTCAACATTGAATAAGATGAAATAAAGTAAAAATAACTAGGTCGCTATATAAGATCCCTTTGTCCTGGAGTTATGATACTGTATCCTTCCAAGGATTTCCAAGGATCTCCCAAAAGCCAGACCACGTGGTTCTGGAGGCGGGTCTGATCACACCATTCTAGCCATCAGCGATTTGATTTTCAAAGATACAGGTCATGACAACCCAAGCCGCCACGCGCATGTGTTTTTTCTTTTCCAGCAAGCGACACACACGCCTTGCTCAAGAATCTACACTGGGGCCTTACCGCGTGTTGAGTAAAAGAACGAGAATGCTGGTAGATGGCCTCTCTCCAGCGGTGACCGAGTTTATCTGTACTCACAGAGGGTCCAGGAGCGTCAAGCGAGAGTACGAGACGCACCGGGCTGAGTTTGTCATTTAAATGAAAGGGAGCTCGTTTGAACAAGGGATAAACTCTGCGATCTCAGTTGTAAACTGGCTACACTACGCGTGGGTCGCCCGAAATCTGAAGTGGTTTACTCCTATGACCACAAAGCCAGCTGTCCTTACTTTTTTTGCGACCTAGACAGAGTGCGCTCGGACAGATATTCCCATGGATTCCTTAAAGCTGATAAGCAGGAGGGTACCATGGAATCAAGGTCAAGACCAGGTCAGTCCGACATCTCGCCTGTTCAAGAGCACATTCGACAGTTACCTGCCAATTTGAATTTGCCTTTTGAAGCGCTTACGCGGATCTGAGAGTCAAGAAAGTTCCAAACTCCGGGCTCTAGGTCCCACGCTTGCGGTGTATCTGGTATGTCGGTCGCTGATATCATGGTTCAAGGCAATTAGTCATTCCCAAGAACCTTTAAGAAGCATTGACTGCTGAATGTCGCTTTAAATAATACGTCTATTGATACTTTGGGCTTTTTGCCTTTTTTAATCCAATTTTATTTGAGTCGATCTCTCTAGGGTCTTATACGGACACGGCACTATAGATAATGGTCTATTGAAAAGTTGGCGAAGCCGATGAACGTATGCTCCACTTATACCACCTCTTGACTTGGGGGATGGATGCAGTATCATATTTCCAGAACAGAGGGATCTTTTGCTTTAATTTACCTATATCTCTTATCAGGTTCCATTGAAGGTGATAGATAGATATAAAGATATGGCGTTTAGACAATGTGGATAGGTCACCATCAGTTGATAATCCCGTTAATTGTCCCACATCATGCACATCATGATGCCATTGACTATCATGGAAAGGTTATACAGAAAGTTGATTTGTTAGTTTGACTTGATCAAGATAGGAAATCCCCTTTACACTGCCACATGTCAACACTGTTAGGATTAGTTGAATTCTTTAGCTCCCAATTATAGAGATCATACAGGGTTGAATGAGAGAAAGGAAACAAGCAATGCGTGTCTATCTTCCCTGATAACTAACAAGAAAAGCTCCTCTAAACAGCTCTAGGGTCGAGGTAGCTTATGGAAAAAGACCAAATGCGATACCGTGCTCTTAAACTGCACAGGTCGCGCAGTTCCTTGTTTGATTTTTGTTTTTGTTTTTATAAAAGCCTTGTTTTAGTGATTTGCTACATGAGCTTGTAAATAAGAAGCAATATCGTTATTTGGCAATAAATCCCTTCGGACAGCGGCTGTATGGCTGTTCGACTGCCAAGCCTATAGGATGTTTTATGTTGTCGCAATTTAAAGCGCCGTGATCACTACATTTCTCAATAATCCATATTCTTGTCCCTCCCGAGTTCTGATTATAAATAGCAAGCTTATTTATCCTCTTTTTTTTTATAATCACAGCTTAGTAAATCTACTTCACCTACAATGCTTTCCCCAACCTCACTTTCTACCGCACTTATTGGTGCACTGTTAGCAATCGTCAGCAATGATTCTTTGTTTGTTTCTGCACAAGGCGATAACCCTACCTTCCAACTCCATCGTCAATGTCTCTGCCAACCTACTCAGTCTTGCTGGCCTAGTGCTGCTGACTGGTCTGCTCTCAACACAGCTGTTGGAGGCCGATTGATCCCTACCAAGCCTGCTGCCTATGAGTGCCATAACCCTAATTATGACCCAGGCAAATGCCAGGAGATTCAAAAAGGCTATTTTTTTGATTCTTGGAGACATCTTCAGCCTGGCGCTGTTGAACAAACCAATTGGGAGCTGTTTAACAACAAAGGTTGTCGCGGGTTTAACCAAACTGAGCCGTGTTTCCAAGGTGCTGTCCCATTGTACACAATCAACGCTACCAGTGTCCAAGATGTCCAACAAGCGGTTCGATTCGCAGCCAAGAAAAACATTCGCCTTGTAGTCAAGAACACAGGTCATGATTACCATGGGCGCAGTATTGGTGTTTCATCGCTTAATATTTGGGTTCATCACTTGAAGAGTATTGCCTTTAATGACAGCTTTGTTCCAGAAGGCGCCCCTAAAGGGACTCCAGCGACTGGTGCGATAATTTTAGATCCCGGTGTTATCTGGAGAGATGCTTATATTGCTGCTGACAAGCATAATGTCACTGTAGTCGGGGCTGGCCATGCCACAGTTGGAACTAGTGGCGGGTTCTGCCAAGGTGGAGGACATGGCCCTCTTTCACCTCGCTATGGTTTATGTGTGGACAATGTTCTTCAATTCAAGGTAGTCACAGCTGATGGTAAAACCAGGACTGCCAACGCTTACCGGAACAAGGATCTGTTCTGGGCTCTACGTGGTGGAGGAGGATCAACATTTGGAGTTGTGGTCCAAGCCATCTATAAGACTCATCCTCCTCTGAGGAATATCAGTTATGCGACGTATCGCATAGCCTTTAACGGGACTGAATCTCGTCGTCAAGTCTATAGCAGTTTTTTATCCCAGCAGCTCTCTTGGTCTAAGGCGGGACACTCTGGCTATGCCCTCATCCAAAAGGAGTTTTTATTGTTGTACTACTACTTACTCAATTCGGATGCCGCTGCTGGACAAAAGAGTTTTGAGCCTTTCTTGAAGGATATTTCAGCGATTCCTGGCGTAACAGTGGACGGTACAGTCACAGGTGCATCCTCATTCTGGGAGAGCTTCAAGGCCGGGATGCCTCCGCCAGAAGTACCTAACTCTGGCACTAATGTCCTCCTTGGGTCACGCTTGATCCCCCAGAGCAAATTCGAGTCCGAAGCCGGCGTGAAGCAATTAAGTGACACCTTTTATGACGTTATGGAAGATCTAGACGGATATTTGATGCCGCAGGAGGGTTTGATTGGTACTTTGGTGGCAGGTGGTCAAGTGTCGAAAGGTACTAGCAAGGAGACATCAGTAGGGCCAGCATGGCGTCAAGCTTTGTTTCATATAATATCACCCGTTACCTGGGACAATAGTGCTTCCCCTGAAGCTGTTCAGACATTAGGTCGTAAGGTGACTTCAGCCATTGAACGTCTACGTGAAATTACGCCTGGATCTGGAGCATATTTCAACGAGGCGGACCATTCTGAGCCTAACTGGCAACAGTCATTCTTCGGAAGCAATTACCCACGCCTAAAGCAGGTGAAAACCAAGTATGACCCTTATGGTGTGTTTATTTGCCATCATTGTGTTGGTAGCGAGGATTGGAACGAGAATTTGACCTGCCGCCACCAAAAGTAAATATAGTTCGTTGGGTACCAAAATAAACGCAGGTCAACCTTATTTTTTCCTTATACCATCCACCGTCCAACTCCTCTTCAGCTGAGTGTTGGACTTCTATTGCCGCCTTAATGCCATATCATCGTCGGTATCTCCAGCATTAGTGTTTTCCATGTACTCATTTGTATACGCTGATGAATTGTACTTCCAAAGAGGAAAAAAAAATCTTTAATCACTCGTGGGGTTTTGCCGCCTCAGACATCTTTTAAAAATCCAAACAGCTGATTGAAAACTACCCATATCCTCTTTCCTTCTATAAAAAAAGCCTTCATCACCAATTGAATAATTATATGTATCAATTGGTTGCGACGACCTTGTGTGCCCATGGTCGATAACCATGCCAAAGGCCCGAAGCGTGGACCGCTTCATGAATCATTATCAGTGCAGTTGCGTGGTATCATGCCGCCGCTTACGATTTCAGGCCTTGATGACAATACAGCTGTCCTGGCGCACATTAGCCCTCCGAGGCATATTTGATGTTGGAGCATTGATAATAGCTCTTGAATCAATGCGCTCATCAATGAGCTAAGTAAAGCTCTGGGGCTATGGCAGGTATGAACCTGCGAGCCTATGCCTGTACAATGCCGCTAGTAGAAAGTGGATCAACGCTCATGGTATGTATGGATTAAGATTTAAGATTTTCTCGGGAAACCGCGTGGTACCCAGCACTATAGATGGCAGATGCATTGCTTCAGCTAAGAGAGTCTAGGAGGCCCAAAGGCTTTGTATTTGGTGCGGCATCTTGATGAGGTCGAATCTTTTAGTGAATCTCCAAATAGACGTGTCTGTCTTCAACTGGTTTTCTACTGTCTGGCTTCAGCTTGAATAATAAACAGCCTCTCTGGACCACAAACTGCTCTCCTTGTTTATTCTTTTTCCTGGCTGTTACATTAGGCTAGCCTAGGCTACCTTCAAGCCACCACTTATATTTTATCAGATGATACTCGTTCAACAATGGTATGAATAGTGCTTATTAAGATTTTTTCGAAGGCAGAGAGGCGATTAATGACCTTCCCTTTAATATGTCTATTTTTGGTGAACTTAGCTTTGGTTGAGGGAAGTCTGTTGTTATTTTGCCGTTGTCAGCAGCCAGCTTGCCCTTCTGCAGCATCGCTGATTTGGCTTTGCCGGTGATATATGAGGCAAGGGTGGACCTAGGGATAATTGTTCCTCGCGGAACATCGAATCCTTGCGTTGCCGTGTGCCGCCACAGTTGGCGGTCTCAAAGAAAGTGATAGTGAACTCAATTGCGAACGGAATATCGTTGCGACACTTGATACCCTTCGGATTCTTGGTCTTGGATACATCAAGACACGTGTCATACTTTGTGACCTCAAACTGACTGCAGGTCCCCTTGAAGCTTTCTTTGGTATAGAACTGCATTGCGATCGCCGATTGAGAAGTGGCAGCCAATGAGGTCGTAGAGACGGTAACGCAAGAGTGTTATATGTTTTTAAGTGGAGTGGAGGAAAAGGGAGGGTGCGTATAAGGAATCATTGAGGAATGGACATCATTTCCCAGAAGACAACTTTTAAATTAGATGGTAGGTATGATTTGGTCTAATCAAGACACTGATAAAACCCTGCACGGTATTTGTGTAAAGAACAAAACGATCGTAGGCGAGATAAAGAAAGATTTAATGAAGTCTTAACCCTTATTTTATATGAGACTGTCCCGCACTGAGAAACCTCACAGGGCAAAACCAAATACCTCTAAATAGTTAGAGTAATGGATGTGTAGCATATTCACAAGCCAATTATACTCACCACTACAGCCCACACTTCCACATTGCCATTGAAAGGGTACTAAACCTTAATTTTAAAAAAACTACAGTATATATATACAATGGTAGACTATAATGTTTTTCTATTTATTAAGCAATTTCCACTTTTCAAAATATCTTTCAGGGGCCTTTCATGTGCAAGGCTTATATATATATTCCTTCAAAGGTATTTTTAAGACTCGTCCATGCGGGGAAATGTGGCGAGTGGACTGAGTGCGAGGTCTCTTCTTTTTCAGTTTTTGGTTATGCAAGCAGCGAAAATAACAAATCAAAGGGGCACTAACAATGCTATTATACTTTTTACTTGATATTATTATTATTATTATTATTATTATTTTTTAACACCACGACTACTCTATCCCTATCTGTAACCGGTGTATTCAGAACAAAGACAGGAGATGCTGCAAATTGGCTGTAGCGAGAAAGTGGTCAAATAAATAAACAGATGGACGATGGACTCTTTCCTTAATACGTGCACTTCTTGTTAAATTTCGCAGGCGTAGAAGGGAGCTTATTATTGTTTTTTCCCTTTTCAAGGGTAAGCTTTCCCTTTTGGAGCATGAAGGACCCAACGTTGCCGTAAACCCATGGGATCTTGGCACCTTCAAGAACTTCGCCATATGGAACAGCCCGTCCGTCTCGGATCCACTTGCCACCACAGTTGGTAGATGAAAAGAAGGTGAACGTAAGGTCGCTGGCAGCTGGATCGTCGTTAACGAACTTGAGGGATTTTGCGTTCTTGGCCTTGGAGACGTTAAAGCATTTGTCATACGCTGTGATCTGAAATTGGCTGCACTTGCCCTTGAAATTTTCGTCAGTGTAAAACTGCATAGTAGTGGTAGCCTGAGAGGTGGCAATCAAGGCAGTAGCTGAGATGGTGGCGAGGATGAGGAGCTTCATGGTTAAATGTGTACTATTACTGTTTTTTTATTATTTTGTTTTTTAATTTTCTTTGGAATATGGAGAGGAAATGGTTTAAATGGAGAAATCTGGGGTTGTTGGGCCATTTTATACCAGAGACGTGGCTGCATGGACACGGACGTAGAACGAGTATAAATGTTGTACCACAAACCCTGTCACACATAATTTACAATTTTTTTGTTTTGTTCGCCCTCTTTGATTCTGCACTTTGGATTTCGCCCTACGCCGAGAATTTGCCCCCAACCTTAATTCGCCCTCATTCATTCCTTATATTTATGGATTCAATATTATTCTGTTCCATTTGATCGCAATCCCTTATATTTTTGAACACTCTCGAGTTTGTTGCCAATCAATTAGCTCGCTTGTTGCAAGCCCGTCAGGTAGTGGGATACCACCAAACCAGTTCAATTACCGTTTTTAGATGGATTGTGAACATTCCATATTTTCATCTTATTCCGCAAATATCACTGTATTGGATTCCCTATCCAATTTCCGCATGCAAAGCCCTAGTGAGAGCAACAAAAATGTTGGGGACCTTCATATCAATTAACGCGTCGCTGATATTAATTGATTTCTCTTGCAGCCACTGACGAATGAGGTCAAAAGCGATGTTCAAGGGAGTCCGCCGACTTTTTAATGATGCAAGTCATCCTTCCTTAAATCTTTTATAGCAAACCCCATATCTTTAACCTCTTCATTACATCTAAGGCTATAGAATTAAGTAATTATCGATCATACTGACAATATATTCCTCTCCAAAAAAAACCCCCTGGAGTCATAGTTCCTCAGTTCTTCTTTGGTTGCAGAAACAAAAATGCAATGTTAAGCCTATTCCACAATGTATTTTGCCAAGATTGAGCATAAGAAGAATTGGTATCATGAAAGATGATGACTGCTTGGATTTCATCATATCTGAAGTGCTTGAAAAGATACACTTTTCTTAGGCTCGTCACCAGATTATATGGTTTTTTTTAATCCGTGTATGCCTCGGGAATACTTCATTTATTTTCTTCGAAAAAGAGCTGGAACACGCCATCCAAGCTGGATCCTTTCTTTGGTTAGACTATCGTCAATTACAGGTATTTTGTTAAGCAAAAGACTTGTAAATGAATTAGTCTAACCAAAAATGGCGACTGCACCACTCACCAAAAAAAAAAAAAGATTGGTTCGTCAGAATTGCAATTCCAATACGTCATCATAGTGTGCTAAATCAAATAGGGTATCTAAAAGAAGGTTGTGTGGAGATTCCGATCTGCACAATATCCAGATAGGCATTTAAAGAAGCAAAAAAAAAAAAAAAAAAAAAAAAGAGTGTGACGCAAAGAAAAGACAGCAGCAAATGAAAAAATGAGGAGTGATCTTGCGTTTTGTTTAGTAATGATGCTATTTTAAGCAACAGACTGTGTTCATTCGCAAGGACATCTGCGTTACTGCGTTACATAAATAAAAATGAAAGCTCCTGATGTTTGTTCCTCTGCTTTTTCTTTCCTTCCCTCAACTACTTCATATTCATTCAAATAATAAAAAACAAGAATGCTCTCCAAATCGCTCTTCTTGTTGGCCATCATCAGTTCGGCCGTCTTTGCTGAGGTCTACAATCCTCCAATCACATTTCCCAAGAAAGGGGATGTATTCAAGGCTGGAGAGACCATCACTGTTTTGTGGTACGTCTTACAATTCATTGTATTTGCTCTTGTATTATTTATTAAAAGGCTATAAACCTCATTTGCTAATATATCTATCGTTTTACCATGTTTACTTTGAGCAGGGATACTACCGATTTGCCTCCTAATATCCCCAATAAAGGGATGATCCTACTCGGTCGACTGACTGCAGATAGTGAGAATCTAGATGTGAAGCATCCGCTTGCAAAGGGGTTCTGGTTGACAGAAGGAAGCTACAATATCACGTTCCCAGCTAAAGCTAAGACAGCTCATAATTATATTCTCGCTCTTCTTGGTGATTCAGGCAACATTAGCAAAACTTTCACTATCTGTGGAAAGTCCAAATAAAGGTTTTTTTTTTTAGTTTACATAAATATTCATAAACATGTTCTTTCACTCTCAGAAAATGATTTGAATGGAGCAAATGGTTTGACAAAAAGAAGAAATAACTGGTTCTGTGTTTAATAATAAAAACGATTGATTACTAACTTTGGATTTGACAGGTCAAACTCAGATATCCTCTATCATTAAAATGGTCAAAATCATTCCATCATCACTTTGCACTGTCAAAACGCAACATGAGCAGCCCTACAGACGCTTTCAAGGTAAAGTAGCTTATTTGAAGAACGCATGAGGGTATTTTTTTTATTTAATCTGTGTCTTTATGCTGTTTCTTTTCATTATCTTGTCAACAAAGTAGTTAGTTCGGCGACCCATAGGAATAATTCCAACTTCTGGAGAAACGTCTTTAATGCATGTATGTAATCTTAGTATTTAACCTAGGACTGTAATGATATTAATCTTTAATGCATGGTTGAAGTATCAACAAACAAACATAAAAGTAAATCTAAGTTTGGCTGCGATCTCTGATAATTCAAGGGCTTATCTCTTTGTGCCTGACTGGGCACAGTTCGGTTGAGTATTTGATCACTATGGATCTGTTGATTTTCTAACGCAAACTAAACGCTTGCACGCCTGCGTTGTAGTAGTCATCCATGTATCTATACCAATCTATACTTCTTTGGGGGCCACTCTTGAGCTCTGCAGGAGCTGCATTACCGAGGCCCAATGTATTGGTTACACCAAAAAACCATTGGCGCAGGTTAAAGCATTGGAAGGCTATGGGTACGGCCATTACCTTGGAGATATGGACTCTAAGCTTATCACTATCCTTGCGTTGGGCTAAAGTTTGGATCTGCTCGCCGAAGCGGGCGTCAAATCGGTGTTTGAAATCTTAAGCAGGGTAAAATTCGAAATGAATGTCGGCAGGAATTAAGTTTAGTTTAGCGGACTAGGACGTGATTGTGTAAATAGAAACATTTATCAATATTCCTTAATTTTACTGGACGTTGCACCTATAAGCACTTTCCTTTCTTTTTTCCTTACAGACCACTGCTTATTTACCTCACAGCTGATCCATCCTTGAGCTTGGCTGGGGGTGCAACACACGATCATTTTGTTGATCGCAATAGCACCATCTACCCATCAAGGGGCCTGGTTCCTGATAAGCAGCGCTGACAATAGAAGGACGGGCAATGACGATAGGGGGATCCATATCCTTGTATCACGTTTTAATCAGATTTCCTTTCAAGGATTTGGCGAATGAGTATGTGTTGTGGGGTAGGTCGCGGGACAACGGATTTTTCGTAGTCTCTCTTATCTCTTCGTGGGATATCTTGGTGGCTAGCATTTTATGTATTGATTCCGGATCATCGCGAAATGGATGAGAATAGATGGCCTCATCAATATGTTGACTAGCCATAGGCGCGTTGACATAATAAGACAAAATATGAACAGCAGCAGCTAAGTTTTTGAAGCCCTTGGCAACCTCGAATACACGGAAAGGGTTTTTTATATTTGTCTAAAATAAAATAATTAATAGAGTCATTTTTTTGTCAAGCATTGATGCTATTATGTTTCGTGTATTTTGCCTGAGGGGTGTTGTTCAATGGGATATTAAATCTGGCAGAGACAGCACTGTTGACGACAATTGTAGTAAACCAAAGTCACCACGTTTTTCGGCCTGATATACTAATACAACTGATATATTGTAAAGTATGTAGCTTTATTCTTTTACTTAATGAGTTCATCGACTCTGTTCAAAAGATCTACTGCTTGGGCCGCTCCCATGTGCTCCTCTATCCATAATCTGGCCTTTTGGACAACCAGGTCCCAGATATCCTTTTCACTGGCCAGTTTTTTCTCAAAGAACTTGATGGCAAGAGCAGTTGCCACAGCTGTCGCCCTTGAAGAAGAGGCGTTGTTTTTGGTATCCTTGACTGCCAGCTGCTTTGCAACTTCATCAGGCTTGAGACCAAGGCAAGAGAACAGTGCTGACTCCCATTTCCATGATCCCTCAAATGTTTGTAACGCGAGTAATCCTTTCAAATGATGCTCTGATGCAACACCAGACGAAGATGTATTGATTGATACTTCAGCGAAATGGCACATGGTCATTTCTTCATCCTCGTCTTCCTCTTCTGCGTAGCTTCCTGAAGGTTCACTCCACTGGCGTGATCTTGAGGAGCCAGAGCCAGGGATTGATTTAGGGTCAGGCTGAGACTGGGATGGAGGAGCTTGAGGTGAAGCTTGACTACGGAGGGAAGGCGCTGAGATGACTGCTTCGATACTACTTGGTGAGTGCATATCAACCAGTATATCAGGAGCGCTACGAGCCGTACGGGCCGAACGAGCCATGGAGGCTGCAGCTATAGCTTCCAATTTTATGGAACGTCTTTTTGCAAAGTTGCTGGCGTGCGATAGAACGTTCGTAAAAGATGATATGGAAGGCCCTCTCCGTTTTTTCGGCGTGCCTTTTGCAACTTGTATTGAGGCAGAGCCCCCAATGTCAGCACTTCCGACATAGAACGCCATCCCTGTTGGGATAGAACTAGCGGTACCATAGTTGTAGGCTGGCGGTGAGGATATATTCCAACCTGTGCTGTTATTACTGCCTACTGCCCTATTTTGAGACGTATCCTCGACTCCAACGAACGAACACCATTTGTTTGAGATCTGGTATTGAATACCCAAGCGAACTGCCTCTTTTTCAACCAAGCGTTCAAAAACCGCCCCACCAAATTTGACCTTGATCAAAGTGTCTTTGTCGTCCTTGGCCTGAGTAATCCAGCCACGGCCCTGTTCAAGTTCTGCAATAGCCTTCCTGGCAGCCATCTGGTGAATGGTTTCTCCAGGAGTATCAAGCACTTGGATGGGGATTTCAAGCTCAAGTGGGCCTCTCCATGACTCTCCGCGAAGGATTACAGATTTTGGAGTCCTTGGGTTGGACCCAGGGCCCATGAGAAGATATACAGTTGTTCGGTTGAAAGCGTAGAGTGGAGGAATGACATGTGGCGCCTGCAACAGCTTTGGAGGGGCCAATTGTGGCAGGTCCTCGTCGCCATCGGAGGGGGTCTTATCAAGGTCAATAGACTTTTCAAAGAGAGAAATCGGCTTCTTTTCCTTCGTAATATTTAGTTTGACTTCAAGGCTGTCTGTCACTCTTTCAACCATCTCAAACCCTTCGTCATCCTCATTCGCCTTGCCGCTGTTCTCTTCGGTAGCATCGCCGTACTTCACCTCCAGCGTGTAATTGGTAATTTGAGGTGAGAGTGCACCCTTGAGCATGCGAACCACCTTCTTGTCCATCTTTTCGCCTTCGCCCACAGCCTGCGAGAACCCATTTCCAGCCTTGGCAACACCTTCGATCAGTGCATGAGAGACACCATTACCAACACCCAAAGTAAAGACGCGGATTGGCATCTTGCTCTCCATAACCTCTTTATTCAAGTACGAAAAGAGCTGATCTTGGTTCCATATCTCACCATCGGTAAGCAACATGATCTCCAGAGGCATATCCTGGCTTCGTTTTTCCACTGTCGCTTTGATACACGGAAACATCTCCGTGCCCCCCATGTTGGCCCTCATCTTCTTTACATAATTGATAGCTTGATCCAATGTGTTTTGAGAATATATCTGGCTTTTATCCCAGAGGAAGGAGTAGTTGCTGCCAAAAGAGCAAATGTTGAACTTTACACCGACAGGCAAGCTCTTCAAGAAGACATTTAATGCTGATCTTGCTAATGAAATCGCTGTTCCTTGCATGCTGCCGCTGCGGTCGCAGACAAAGATAATTTCTGGTTTCTCTGGAGGAAGTTGAAACCGAGGGACAAGCGTGGTCATCAGAGCCCGCTGGTTAGGAATAGAAGGATGGGTCTCAAGGATAGCACTAGGATCGCCTGTGTCCTTGGCCAAGACATGAATGACGAAATCTTTATCCAGTTCTGCTCTACCAAGACTAAGTGTGGCCGATGCTTTAGACATAGTGGGCGTGGCGTTGGGAGCGATAGAAGTGGTGCCGATAGAAACAGCAATAGGGTGACTAGGTGATTGGATTTGTTGAATAGGTTTTTGGTCGGGCATGATAATATCAACTGTGACCTGAAGGCTACCCCCTGTAGCCTTTTGGACATGGACACCCGTATAGAGCTCCACTGGATATTGGCCATATCGTGGCATAATTTTCGTGGGGATAGTGAAACGAGTACCATCGATTTCCGCATCGTGTTTGAGCTCACCAATGAACGTGATCTCGACAAGAATGGTCGACCCTGGAGGCGCATTACCAACCGAGCTAGTGAAGACATCCGACGCATCGGGAAGCTGCTCCAAAAGCACGGCAGCCTTGCCCTGGCCGACAGCGTCATTAAATTCAGTTCTGGCTTGGAATCGTTCCTTAACTTGACCTTTAATCAACCTATCACCAATTTGGCAATTGAAACTGACGACACTGACACCATCGTAAAGAGGAAAAGTGTATTGTAATTCAGGAATGGTGTCATTAGACGGATTGATGAAAGTTTGAGTGAGTTTCGTGCGAGAGTTGAGGGCCAGGATCTCTGTGTGGGCTTTGATGTCAACTAAGGGCAAATATTTGTTATGATTGCCCACAGAAGAAAGTCCACAAATGAGTATTTGCATTTTTATTATATCAATAAACTTGGCTTGAAGAACAAGATGATTATGAAAGGAAGGAGAGGATGATGGTAGAAAAGACAGTAGAAGATTTGGTGGGTGGATAATGTAACACTCACTGGTGGCGCAGTCCCAAGTGTGGCAAAAGATTGCTCTGAAGAACAATTGAAGGACAGTCATGAGAGTTCGTTACCTGAAACTTTTCCTCCTGGTGGTACAAGGCCAAAGATTGTTCATGTTGCATGACATCTCCAATGTTTTGTAATCCGACATTGGCGAGAATCAATCATTCATGATTGGTCACTGTTGTGATGGAGCTCATAAAAAACCCCCGCGTAAAAAACTGCTTCCTAGGATTTTATTCAATTGATAAGTACTGCAGACAATTATTTTTGGAGATTACAATCAATTATTGACAGCTGTCGTCTTGTTAAGCACATTCATACCCAATACATTACAAAAAAAGAGGGGAGGGAAAGCGAGCTAAATAAACTTGCTGGAACGTCTAGATTCAGCAGTATCAAAATATATGCAAAGTGTCTTTCCTTGATATCTGTGGCTGTGCGCGAACTTGGACTCTATATTTGGCAAAAGGTAAAAGGCATTGTCCGGCGTCTCCGAATACGCCAAATCCTCAAGTAAAAGTTTTATAAATGCATAGAATAGATTCCATTTCTAGTTCCCGATGTAATTTTTCCGCTTGCCGAAGCTCTTGAAGAGGATCAGGAAGAGCTTCATTGTGAATAATCTTGTTGGTGCGGTGCTGATGTCAATTTACTTCATTGTGGCATCCAATATCTATGGAATTGGATAGAATGAAGCGTTACCGAGTGAAATAAACAATCGTCATTCGGAGAGAGTGACATGTTTTACGATATATGAGGTCAAGTAGATAAAAAGTTGCGAGGCACGTCACAGCCGTCATTAGCTATTCTAATTCTATAAACAAGAATGGAGACCCTTTTGAAGTGTACGCTTGAAGGTTTCAAATAAGGTCGAATCTACACGATAAGCATTGATTTTGGTAATCCTTGTGAGGCCAGTTGACATGTAGAATGTTCTTGCCAAAATATTTTATGAATAAACAAGGACGCAAAGATTTTCGCAGTAGATCACCCAACGCAAAAGAAATATTTAGCTGAGGACTATGCCACACACTCCATGATCTCTGTTATACTTTAACAGTTCTTGAATAGCGCATGTCCCTAGCTACACACATATCAGGTCATATTTAATAACACCAGACAGAGAGCCGCTTGAGCTGGCTCAAAGCCTTTTGCTTTTATAAGCCAACAGAACTAGATTATATGGATAGATGTTTCTCATTCACACCAGTAACCTATTCGTGTTGTCTGTCATTTGTTTTGATTATATTCATAATTTAAGGTGGGGACCAACTCTTCCGAATAACAGAGAACAGCAAATTAAAATATGTCATTTACGCCAAATGAAGTAGAGCTTCATGTGTCAGAAAAATTCAACAACAAAGTCAAAAACAGAAGCTTTCCCTCTCTTACAACTACAAGTCAGTCCACTTGTCTCATTCAGGAACAGACAACTGGAATTCAAATGGGCCATTATATCTGGAGAGCAGCATAAGTTGCTTTGTTATAATCTAATATTTTATTTTTCTTCATTTCATTGCTTCAAGATGCACTTATGATACTATTGTCTAATGTAGGTCGTCGCGGCAGTATCATAGTCATAGCACCCCAAAAGCTGTTTGCCATACACTGCCTTGAACAGCTGTCCATCTTGGAACGTCGTCTTTTGGCGGTGAATAGGAGTGTCAGTCGGGTAGTCAAAGATAACATCAAGTCCGAATGATGAGGCGTTATCTGAAGTAAAGTTGGCACAGTCTGGAAAGTCAAACACACAAACATCGTTGACCTTGCGCTGGTACAGCTGGATGTGAAGCGTGCAAATGGCCTGGATGGCACTGACACCGAGGGCGGAAATCAACAAGAGGGTCTTGATGGCTGACATGATTATGTGAGTGAGTGTTGGGTGTATGTATGTGTGTATGTGTGTGTGGATGGAGGACTGACTAGCTTACTTGACTTGTAAGAATGGTTATTGTGGTTTGGACGGACAAGAACTAGTTGTATGGGATCTTTTTATTGAAAAATTGTCGAGATGGATGTTCTGATTGCAGGCGCAGTGTCTAACTGTAGGCATTCAACACTCAAGCTGAGATGGCTTCCGCGCAATGTGGTCACCCTATTGGTCCAATTGAGTCTTCATACAGACATCCAGTTTTCAGACAGACAGTTTGCCGCATTCCTAAAATGTTTTCGACTTTACCAAACCTTCCTTCTCTTCTGCCAATAGGAGCAATGGCCACAAACTATTTCAACAAGCGATGGGAAAATGGGGGCTTTTTCACAAGGTAAATGAGCTCTCTCAAGACTCCAAAAGGCCTCCAGGATATTAAAGCCTGGAGGCACGGTTGGCAGACAATTGGAATCCTTTTATTTATGGCCAAACAAAGCGTAAGAGCCCAGAAAAGAACGTTTGAAAGTAGATACAGAGCAAAAAAGATTAAGGAGACCACAGGTGTGTACTACCGAGAGCCCCGATTTACGATTCGTTGTGCATTCCCAGCACTTTTAACCTTGATCTTGACCCTCACTCTTGGCTCTTCTACGGTCCATGCTACCTCTAACATGTGCCAAGAATGCGTAAATGACATGATACAAGCGGCTTCAGCCTGTAAAAAAAAAAAAAAAAAGCGTTAAAGTGCACTCTGAAAATTGAAAATTTAGTTGAGGCGACATTGCTTAGATGATAGCAAGGTGAACTTGTTACCACACTGTCTAGAAAAGTGTTTGTGAAATCTGATTCTAGTCTGTCAACTTGAGTAGCAGACTTTCATCTAACAAGTCATGGCTAAACTAATTTTCTAGGCGCGTCTGTCGCTTTCATATTCTAAGCACGAGCGCCAAACCACATTCAAAGACATTGAGGGGCTCTGGTGCCTGTTGTTATGTAAATGTTTTCCATCATTTGCACCTCATTATTATCAAAACTCTAGGTTTCTACACTGCCCAGCAAAAATTCTTCTGTGATATTTGTTTATTCATTGGGTATCCATGCTTACTTCCTTGGATGGATCATTCTTTTTATGGGCCGCCTTTTTGCTTTTTTTTTTTTTGAATGTGTGTATAAAGACGCTCTTTACTCCTTACCTAAACAAGCATTAATGCGGCAGCAGCGAGCACAATTACGGTGGTCGTATACATGGTGGGAGCCAATGATGGTGTAGGCAAAGCTGAAAAGCCAGAGCCATTGGGACTTCTCTCTACTCCTGCTTCGCCACTTTCAAACTTGGTGCTATTGCAGTAGACCGTATAGGCCGCTTGAAGGCGTATGGACAGCCTTAATATTGCCATATTGGCATAGAGCATCGCATTTCGTGCGTGCGGAAGGAAACATCCTTGCCAACATTGCAAACGCACTGTCACTCTTTAGTGGAAAGTTCATTAAAAGATGCTTGTCTCAAAGCATCGAATCCACTACAGGCTGAAGCCGCTTGTATCATGTCATTTACGCATTCTTGGCACATGTTAGAGGTAGCATGGACCGTAGAAGAGCCAAGAGTGAGGGTCAAGATCAAGGTTAAAAGTGCTGGGAATGCACAACGAATCGTAAATCGGGGCTCTCGGTAGTACACACCTGTGGTCTCCTTAATCTTTTTTGCTCTGTATCTACTTTCAAACGTTCTTTTCTGGGCTCTTACGCTTTGTTTGGCCATAAATAAAAGGATTCCAATTGTCTGCCAACCGTGCCTCCAGGCTTTAATATCCTGGAGGCCTTTTGGAGTCTTGAGAGAGCTCATTTACCTTGTGAAAAAGCCCCCATTTTCCCATCGCTTGTTGAAATAGTTTGTGGCCATTGCTCCTATTGGCAGAAGAGAAGGAAGGTTTGGTAAAGTCGAAAACATTTTAGGAATGCGGCAAACTGTCTGTCTGAAAACTGGATGTCTGTATGAAGACTCAATTGGACCAATAGGGTGACCACATTGCGCGGAAGCCATCTCAGCTTGAGTGTTGAATGCCTACAGTTAGACACTGCGCCTGCAATCAGAACATCCATCTCGACAATTTTTCAATAAAAAGATCCCATACAACTAGTTCTTGTCCGTCCAAACCACAATAACCATTCTTACAAGTCAAGTAAGCTAGTCAGTCCTCCATCCACACACACATACACACATACATACACCCAACACTCACTCACATAATCATGTCAGCCATCAAGACCCTCTTGTTGATTTCCGCCCTCGGTGTCAGTGCCATCCAGGCCATTTGCACGCTTCACATCCAGCTGTACCAGCGCAAGGTCAACGATGTTTGTGTGTTTGACTTTCCAGACTGTGCCAACTTTACTTCAGATAACGCCTCATCATTCGGACTTGATGTTATCTTTGACTACCCGACTGACACTCCTATTCACCGCCAAAAGACGACGTTCCAAGATGGACAGCTGTTCAAGGCAGTGTATGGCAAACAGCTTTTGGGGTGCTATGACTATGATACTGCCGCGACGACCTACATTAGACAATAGTATCATAAGTGCATCTTGAAGCAATGAAATGAAGAAAAATAAAATATTAGATTATAACAAAGCAACTTATGCTGCTCTCCAGATATAATGGCCCATTTGAATTCCAGTTGTCTGTTCCTGAATGAGACAAGTGGACTGACTTGTAGTTGTAAGAGAGGGAAAGCTTCTGTTTTTGACTTTGTTGTTGAATTTGTCTGTTGTACCTCTTTTCAGAATGTGGTCGAAATGAGACATGTTATCCCTCGGTACGCTTTATTGGTCTGACATATATAATCTTACCCTTAGATAAATAAAAAGCAAAACCAGCTGGCATTCATTTGCATTATGCTATATGATATGTGGCTCGATGCTACTCTATTTAATTTAGTCAACGATGAGGCTATTGCTCCGAGTCATCAGAGGTTTAAGAAAAAAGGTGTTAATGTTTGTATATATATCGGATGAATAAAGGAAACATACAAGCAAATCAAAAAATGATTTGTTTTATTTCTTCCGCATTCTGAAAGAAAAGGGAATGTTGGGTATAATCCGCAGTACAGCTCCACGATAGACTATTTCATCTTTTGTTAGGAGTGAAGAGAGGGAATAGACAAAGAGAATAAAGAGAATGATCTCTTTTCCTAACAAGAGCATATAGTCTGAGGGCAATGTAACTCGTGCTCTGGTTGTTTGTGGATAGAAAGCGAAACGAAAATTAAAGGACCAGTTTTCACTTTTTACTGTTGCTTCTTTTTTTTTTTTTTCCTCTTCCTTTTGTCATATTTTTGCAGATGACCTTTGCTTTAATGTCGTTGTCTAATGCGCTCACTTTTATAATATTCTCTTTTTATTTCTTCAGTACACTTCCCCTGTTATTTATTCATGCTACACAGCTCCTCTATATATAAAGGCGATAACTAGGGTCACCAATTATCTTTTTTTCCTTGGAATCGAACATTTCGAGAGTGACTTCATTGCTCATTCATGGACCCATAATGTACATGTGCTTTATAAATAAGGCGAAAATAAAAAAAAAAGGGTCGTGTATATCTTCCATTTTGGTTGTCGCGACCCTTGTGGCGCTCGCAATCCAAACTGTCAAGGATCCCGTTATGCCCAGGCGAAAGACTGGACCCGGCCAGACGTATCCACGAAGCACTGGGACTGGGACTGGGACTGTGCCCATCTCCCCATGCAAATTTATGGATACACAGCAAATGTGTCAATGTTCCGCTCCAAATTAATTTGTCCCAAACTAATCAACCAAAATGCATTGTTGTCGTCATGGAGTGAAATCTTCGCACGCTTTGACCCGTTTCATGTTGATTACATTCCTGCACGACCCAATGACTAGAGGCATCGCAATATTTATCTCAACAAAACTACAAGTTTTATTTTTTACTACTTTTACTACAAATTATATTTTAGATCATCAGAGTTGGGAACTCCTAAGTTTATCATGGTCATTTAGTCATCCCAGTTCTCATCATCACTCTCATCTTCATCATCACTTCCTGCGACACGCGATTTCCTCATCTGCAGCGCAGCCGCCAGTGCAGACGCCAAATCACCACCATTACCTTCAGGTTCCTCAGCGACTGCAGCAGGTGGCGGCGGAGTACTACGGGCAGGCGAGGATGACGAAGGTTGATCGTGCAGACCTGTCTTGCGCAATACACCAATGCCGCCAGCGCCTCTGATACTCTCCAGTAAATTTGACCGAGCATCCATCTTTGCTCCAGTCGGAAGTGCAATGCCAGGCGCTCTAGCGCCTCCAGGTGGTGGTGGGGGCGGCGGCGGGCCCCCAGCGCCGCCCATAGGAGGAGGCGGAGGTGGAGGGGGAGGAGGAGGAGGACCACCAGCGCCACCCACTGGGGGAGGTGGAGGTGGAGGTGGAGGAGGAGGACCGCCAGCACTTATTGGGGGTGGGGGTGGTGGTGGTGGTGGTGGTGGTGGTGGAGGAGCTCCACCAGAGCCACCAAAGTTGCCAACTGGTGGAGGAGGAGGCGGTGGTGGCGCACTTCCTGATGGCTGGAATGGTGGGGGTGGGGGAGGTGGAGGCGCGGCTGCAGGAACAAAAGCCCCACGAATGGGTGGAGGAGGCGGAGGTGGCGCATTATTGGATGATGATGGTGCGTATGAGGGACGAGGTGGAGGTGGAGGAGCAGCCTGGACCTCACGAGCAGGCGTTGGAGGCGGTTTGGGTGGTTCGGGCGAAGGAGGAGCAACTGCCGCAGGGGTAGGCTCACGACTCGGCAATGCTGGTGGGGCATTAACAGCTGGGGCTGGAGCTGGGGTTGGAGTAGCGATGCGCGAAAGGCGTGAGGGAGGTGGAGGTGGGGGAGCGCGACGTGAGGCTGGAGGTGGCGGTGGTGCAGGCTTGACCGTCGGCTTCATAACAGGTAGCACCGATGCTGGCGGCACAGCTCCAGAGGACGGTACACGTTTATGCGCTGATGCTCCTTGAGTCGAACGTGTACCACCACGGCTTGTAGGCGCAGCAGGGGCAGGTTTTGGGTCTGGACCACCACGAGCTTTCACAAAATCGCTGATAAACTCGGCTTCATTTTGAATCTCTTCCCGACTAAGCCCTTGCTTTTCCAGATCTTCAAACAGCTTTCTCCATGCGGGGTCTTCGGGATCGATGTTTTGAACCTAACAGTAACAATAATAACGACATTAACATAAAAAAAAAGAATAGAGATATAGTGTGAGATGACATATTAAAAGCTGAGCATTCATAAAAAAGATTATCTATTAACCTATACACATACAGTGAAGCCTTTGTTTGAGTCCCATCCAACATGGCTCAAGTGTCGAAAGTTAGAAGGCAGTCCAATAAGAGTCTTATCTAGCTTGCCTTTGCTGCCCTTTTTCTCCTTCTTGCCACTGAAGAAACCGCTCTTTCTCGACCGAGGTGTGCCGCCTATTGATATTAGCACATTTTTAATGATGAGCTTTTTAGGAACTACGCCTCCAATTCTTGTTGTATGCGCCGCCCGTTTCGGCAGAGCATAATATTTAAGGATGATCATTATGAAAAATGGGTATTACCTTTCTTGAGCGTATCACGATTCGTGACCTTTTTGTAAAAAACACCCGCTTCTTGATCATCAGCAAAAGAGAATGCAGCCAAACAGTTCTAAAAAGAAGTCCACAATCCCCAAGAGTATGCGCAGTTAGAATTGAGCTGTACAGTAATACCAAGATGCAAAGAGTTTCCATAAGAACATTTTAATGATGACTTACATCAAGTGCAAAAGTATGGAAGAACGATCGTTCCTGAACGTACTCAAAGTCTTCGTACAACTCCTGTTCCCAGATGACCCCTCGTGAAGTCTAGAAAGTAGATAAAATGTGCCAGCAATGACAATGATTGTAATATAAGTATATCATTGTGAGCAAAAGAGCTAAACAGCAATTGTCCACAATTGTTCAATTGGAGTGCAAAACCATGAAAAATAGCTATATCGTCACTCAATCATACCATAAGGTCCACAATGCGAAAGTAAAATGTATTCTTGGTCTGCACAAAGGCTAGACCGCCCATAATGCCAGAGTAGGTCCATGAGTTCGGGTCCGGATAGGCGACATACAACCGAGCGACTGTTGCAGTAATGATTTTCTAAAGATGGTAAAAGTTGGTCAAAAATAAAGAGATGAATTGTCAATCAACATGGATGGTTGAGCTGGAATGCCTCTGTAACAGAATGAGTCTTACTTGAGTTGTTGAAGGCAAGGCACGCTTAATAGCGGCCTTGTCTTCTGGATTGTGCAGAGTTACACTTGGCATGGCAAGCAGTGACTCTTAGTATTCTCGTGGTTGAATACGTGCAAGAAGGGTATGTTTTTAAATGAAAGGGTAATCTTTTTCTTTATTTCTCTTTTTCCTTTGTGAAATTAAAGATGAATGTTAAACGAAGCAATTGAAATGGTATTTTTTATTTTGAGAGATAGAAAGAAAGAGAGAGCGGGAGAGAAGAGCAACAGCCCGTGTTACTAAATTACTGTGCTCTTGACAATGAGCCATTTATAATATCACGTCACAATTGCTTGTTTAATTAAACGATCTTGTCATACTCTTGATCTAAAAAAGTGTGGACCAAACTATTATAGCATCGAAAAGCGGTGCCGCCTTATTTATAATGGCTGGCGCAGCCTCCAATGGGGTTTGGTATCGTCTTCTTTGATGGCCTTTTCACCAACTGCCTCTACTAACTGCTTCTTGAGTGATACGAACGTTCTACCAGTTTCGTCATTATCTTCATTCACCAGCTCAAACACCTGCAGAGCATCTGCTTGCGTCTCACCCTTTTCCTTGCGGGCTCGTGCAAGCGCACGCTGGGCCTCCTCAATCTGCGACTTTTCCTTGGAGGCTGTTGCATAGTCTTTGTTGTTGATCGCATTCGTAACATCGGCCCAAAGTCTGTGCGACTCCAATGGGCCCAACTCTGCCAAAGGCTTGATCTCTGGAGGAACACTTTTGTCCGCATCCGAGTCAAAGAACAAAAAGGTCTCGTTTTTCTTGACATCGGTGCAGTTGGAAGCTCCACTCCAAAGACCCTGGGCTGTGTAAAAGGGGCTGCCACCATTGATGGGCTTGAGGGTTGCCTTGAAACTATGGCGTTCTCCTGAGAAGTATCCTCTGGTACTATATTCAATTGTTGTTAATAATCCAGTGCTGCTGATAATATAGGTTGTTCCAGAGAGCTCCACATAAGGGCGTCCAGTCATCATACCACGAATATTGAGTGAAGGTAGCGTGATGAGGTAATGCTCGTTGAAGTGAGGCAGGGTCAGAATGGCATGACCAGTCTGTGAGACATCAATGCCTGCAGGTATAGCATAGCGTGACTTTTGACCGCAGTGTCCCTCCAATTTGACGCCTGCTTTCTTATTCTCAAGGTGGAAACCCATAATCTTGTTAAAAAAGAAGAGGAAACAAAAAACAAAAAAAAAAAAAAAAAAAAAAAAACAAAGTAAACAACTGATCGATATTTTCGATGACAAAGATAAAAACAATAAGCAGCATACAAATATCAGTGAAGCATTTAATAATATAGACTCTTCTTATTGAAGGAAACTTACAGGTGGATGATGGCTGACTTGCTCAGCCTTCAAGATCGTATCGCCAGTTTCCTCATCGCCAGTCCACTTTGCAAAGTATTGTTCGCCAAGGATAGGGTTGTATGGCTTCTTCTCCATACCGGCGGTAGTAGATCGGGAAGTATAGGAGCCATAGAGGGTGGAGATGAACCAACGAGTAGCGTTCAAAAGACGCTCCTGAGGAGTACTTCCCTTGGAGATGGATGCAAATAGTTTGGGATGATCGCCCCAATATTGACTATTATATTAGGTAATAACAATTTGTCAAAAATGGGCACAGATGATTTAAATTGATTCTCGTGATTAAACATCATGTATCCTCATGCTCCTCACGTCCAAGCAGGTGTCTCCATCATTCTCTGAAGATACAAAAAGAGAAAAAGAAAAGAAAACCCAAGATGGTATGAGTCTGATATAAGGCTTAGATAGGCCAGCTATGCCAATTAGGCTTTACCTGTATTCGAGTAAACTGACGGAGCTCAAGAGAAAGCTAGGGCATGTGAGACTTGAAAGATCCCCAGAGAACTGAGCGAGAGTGGCGATAAAAGAGCGGAGAGAGTCTTTTTGTTCAGCAGGCACTTCAACAGGTGTGTCCTCGGGATTGGTGTCTTTGCTGGAGCTCATAGTTAAAGAGTGCTTGAGAGATTGATAGGGAGATGAGATGAGGCGAGGTTGTTGATTGAAAACGATGAAATGGAATAAAGAAAAAAAGAATGGGGACGACGGATTTTCTTTTTTTAAAAAAAGGGGGACTTGCTGTGGTCTGCACTGTCTTTCTACGTCACTTTTTTTTTTTTTTTTAAAGCACCGGAAGACAAATCCCATAAAATGTCTTTACGCGGGGGTAAAAAAAAATTTCATTGATTGGTGTAAGCAGTTGTCCTGTAATCCGTGCTCCCCTGATGTGTCTCGAAAGCTGTAGCAGTCTTGCAACGGTCCTTCCTCCTTTCTGTCCTACTTGCTTGCAACTCCTTTGTCTTTCCTCCCTCTCTTTTCTTCAAATACACTTTCCTTACTCTCTCATTCCATTCGACTGTCCCTGTTCCACTTTAGTCTCTTCTCCCTTACTGTTGCATTCTCATTCTTTATTCACATTTGCCTCTTCTGTCAATTCTCACTAGACACTCATTCTCCACACACGTTGGACTCTTCCGTCCTTTTAACTGCTCCTTCAACGCCCAAGTGATCCTATTTTCCCACCCACGCTCTCCTTTTTCATGGCACCAAAGGGATATACCTTCTGTTATTATGTGTCTGGTCATGGTATATAGTGACTCGAAAGAAGAGACCTGCTGTCATTATTATCAAAAGAACAAAAAAAAACTTTAATATATAAAAGTGTCTTATATTACTTTGAAAGTTATTCTAATTTAGTCTAATGGACGACTTTTTTTTTTTTTTTTTTTTTAATCACCTTGCTACAAAAAAAAAAGGGTTTGGTCATGCAACACGCGTGAATCAGATTATCACTGAACTCCTCCACTCTTCCACGTCTTCAGTCTCAACAGCCGTGTCAGATGGACCTCTAACCTCTGTCAAGGGATCAAACAGCACGTCAGGATCCACAGAGGGATTGTTTGTGAACTCTTCAGCTGCAGAACCTGTGCCTACAGCCACAACGACAATCACTACCACAATTACTCGAACAATCTCTAGGCATACCATATACATAGTCTCGGATGCACCCCAGTTTATATTCCAAGATGTGATTGCATTAGGCGCCATCTATCGCAACGCAAAAGTCGATTCTGGTGTTGTCCAACCACTGGTAAAGTAATAATGTCATGTCTTGTCATATTGTCATAGCACAGATCAATCGGATGTGATCATTTTTACAACAATTTCCAAATTAAACTTTTTTTTTTTTTTTTTTTTTTTTTTTTTTTGCCGCCTTTTGGTCATTCCGGTAAAACTCTTTTAGGCTTACTCGGTCGACCGACAAAAAACAATAGAGGGTGTCAAGAGCTTTTTAGCAAAGCGTGAAGAAATGATTAAACATGAGGTTTCATGGCTAGCCCAAGTTGGCGCCAACTGCGTACTTGCAGATGCTCCTTTCCTGCCATGGTAAGAAACAACTTTTTCTGTTTTATACTTACTATTTCTAGCAACCTTAAATTTTAAACTAATGCTTGTACTGAATTATCAATGACTTTATCATAAGCGCTGCCGCATATGCATATGGAATCCCTGCATGCTTGATCACCAATTTTACATTTGATGAAGTCTATCGCTTTCTAAGAGAAGGAGACCCAATGGATAGGGATGTTATCGCGTGCGCAGATGCGGCTCTGGAGGATTATAAGAAAGCATCTCTCTTGCTAAGGTTACCCGGATCAATCGATATTCCTTCATTTGCGGATGAAATCTTGACACTAGAATCAGGCGTACCTTTGACCGTGAGGAAACCTTTTGTTGGCAATGCAAATGAACAAGGAATTAACAATGCTGCTTTGGATAAAACTGACCAGCAACCTCAGCAGAATGGAAATGACCAATATGATTTAATCCATCGCATGGACAGTCAACTTCATTTGCATTCATCTCGTAGAAACCCTCCACTGTCCATTGATACGTCTACAGCAGTTCCAAAACATACGGGAATGCAGCGTCGCGCCATTGATGTACCATTGGTTGTTCGTAAGGCAATTAACACTCGCGAGGATGTTCTTCGGTCTCTGGGTGTAGATGAGGAGACTATTCGAACAAAGAAGATGGTTTTAGTTTCATTTGGTGGTCAACGATTGAAGCAAGGATGGGGGAATCCTTTGCCTGATGGCTGGATAGGCGTAATCTGCGGTTTGCCTGTTTCACACGAGCTGCCGGACGGATTCTATAGAAGCCCACATGGTGTTTACGTGCCTGATTTGACCCATGCTGCTGACATTGTCATTGGTAAATTGGTGAGTATAACAAATGGTTCAGCTTTTATAGCTTTGTTCACACCATGACTTGGCTTAATATCTATCATTTTCAGTTTCTAAACGTTTCCAAACTTTGCTTGATGGCCTATATAGGGCTATGGAACATGCTCCGAGTGCATTGCGCATGATACCCCACTTATTTATGTTTCAAGACCACAGTTCGTGGAAGAGCATGGTTTAATCAAATTGATGATTAATCACGGTTTACCTGTTGAAATGACCGCAGAAGAATTCGAGACAGGACTCTGGCAGCGATCCATCTTGGAAGCAGACAGGCTAGCACAAGAAGAAAAAGAAGGCAGGCGGCTATATCTAGAGGCACTTCATGAAGAAGAAATCGAGAAGAACCAAAAGTCTATCCATCACAATATTGATCAAGAATCAGCGGGTATTCCGCAGTTGGAGAAGACAATGCCTGACCATGATCAAGAACACAACCACTATGTTCGAAGGAGATCGTCCATTGCGTATGGCAATCCGTTACAGCGCCGAGCCTCAAAAGCAAAATCACTAGCAGAATCTGTCAATATGGCTGAGATGGCAAGAGGCGGACCGATTTCACCACCTATCCATGATGATGATTTGCCATTATTATCGCCTGCACGATCTAGGAGATCAGCATCTATCACATCTTTGACTTCAGCAACATTTCGATCAAGAACTATTAATCATAATGATAGCGATCCTGCAGCTGGCGCTGTAATACCAGGTGGACGACAGGACCCTTGCCTAGATGCAAGTATGCCGTCAGTGCCGCGTCCCGCATGGTTCGAAAGGCGAATCCCGCATGATGGTGGCAAAGTCTGTGCACAGCTTGTGGAGGAGTACATGCGGATATGGGAAGAGCATCATCGGTCCTAAATGAATTTAAATGAATTAATTTATTAATAAAAATGTATATGACAAAAAGATTTAATGGAGCACAAACTATTCACTATTGACAAAACTTTAGAAGAATAGCTTTTCCATCATCCATTGCTAAAAGAAAAAGATGGAAAACTAGGAAGGTATACTTTATGAAGATATTTATGAAATTGAAGAGGAGAGGGAGGACATTCCTTGTCTGGGCCGCGCTCTTTCCAAAATATGTAACCTGCAATACAGTGAATGGTACAACGAAAAAAAAAAAAAAAAAAAAAAAAAAAAAATTGACAAGCTTGTATGCTTAATTTGACTAGCTTTAACAGTACAGATTATCAATAGGCTTTATTTATTTAGTATATTACGTTCTCTCATTATTCTTCAGTTCTATGGTATATGGGTGGAGGAAAAGGCTTGTTGTTGTGGATGTAATAGAATAGTATTTTAGAAAAAAAAAAAAAAAAATCATGTCAGCGAATTTGTTAGGGAAGCAAGGGTCATTTCCCATGGCGAGGGAATAGAAAAACGTTCCTCCAAAAATGCCTTAAAAATATCACGAGTCTGCTCCTCTGCTGTTGGATTATTGTCAACATTATCATTGATACAGAAGAAGGTCTCCATCTCTCTCCTGTCCAAGAGCTGCCGGAGAGTTGTTTTGGAAGTTATGGGGTTATTCAATTGAGTGAATGTGTAAGGCGAAGTAGCCATTACGTAGTTATATTTCATCAAGTCCGCAATAGTAGCCTTGTAGGCTTCTGAAGAGGTGTCTGAAGGCAAGATCTCATTGGCAAGCCCAGAAGAAGTCGATGTCTGACGAAGCATGTGAAGAAGACAGTCTCCGCACTGGAATTTAGTGAATGCCATTTGTTGGAACGTAGCTTTTGAAGCATTGTTGTCCATCGATTGGATAGTGCTATTGCTGAAGTCAGGACCTAAGCAATAGTCAATGTCGATCTGACAGAAGCGACCTTTAATATCATCATAGACGGTATAAGGCGGCCTGTCTTTACTGGTGTGTGTCTCACCCGCAGTTGCATTGGGATATTTTAGCATGAAAGGATATCCATCCAGACCTGACTGGTGATAGGTTGTGGATCCTGTGGTGGGGTAGCCCATCTGCTGCAGATGATCTTGGTAATTTTCTACGAAGCTAGAGAAGTTGCTCGCGTATAATGATGAGGACGAAGATTCCTTTTGTGCTTGGTTCCATGCCTCGAGCCTATGGAGAAACTGTTCGCGTTCTGTCCAATCCAGGATGCCGTCTTGATTCACGTCCAGTCGATGGAACCAAAAAGAACTCAGTTGAGTCTCACGCAGCTTTTCAAGGACATAGTGAGCCATGAAGAAGGATACTTGAATGTCCAGGGCTTCACCCTCTCCTCTGAAACGATGGGAACTGGTTGAAAATATTTCATTTGGCCAAGTAGCTTGAATCTCCTGTAGCATTGGAACACTAAGGACATGAGGGACATGAGCCAAATAGGCTCGATGGCGAAAACCGAACTGCTTCGAGAGCAAGAAATTAGAGTATTGAAGGGAGTTCCATTCACCTACGGAGAGTGATGTCCGGTCAAGAGGGAGGATCGCTGGTGGAACCAGGAGGGAGGGCTCCATATGAAAGACAAAACCATAGAGAGGTGTCCATATATCTGCAGCCGCCATGGTTCTGCCTAAAAACACGTCATCATTTAGGTAAAGGAACTAATAAGCAAAAGAGAGGGAGAGGGGGAGAAAGAAAGATGTATAGTTTAGTAAGCAAGGACAAGTAAAGCGGATTTGATGAATTAAAATAATAAAATAAAAAAGTAAAAAGCGTCCATCTGAGCAGAACAACTCTAATTTTTGTTCACTCGAACCCTTTCTATTAGCAGGAATGTGAATGGGAAAAATGCACTTACAACGTCCGTGACACCAGGAGTATGATGGATCTGACTTTCAATGGATAAACTGTTGAAGGATGGTAAAACTTGGGGATCATCAAAGATATCGGTATGAGGTACGAGTTGGATCGCTTCTTTAGATCTTGTTAGGTCTAACCAGGTAGGGATTTGGTTTTCGTCTCTTTCGGGGTCCACTACAGTAGTCAGGATGTGGATTTTATTAAACATCCCCGTAGCATATTGAGATACCGACCTCACCGAGTACTTTAGTTCATCCATATCACGATATCTGTTGGCAGTCTGGTCTTCTCGACCCCAAAGTTTCACTCCTCTCTTTTCCCGACGACTCCGACCATCGTTTTCTCTTTCGCTTGCTGATGATGATGATGATGATGACGACGTTGCAGTCGACGGTGTTTCCGTCCATCTTTTTGACTGTTCCAGAATATCATCACCACTTAAAGTGTCTCTTCGGTTGTGCAAGTGATATTGTTGGAAGAAAGGAGACATATTCTGATACTTGTCCTTCAGAGTTAACAGCTTAGGATCAGATCCATTAACCCACGTGTACACTACATCGATCTGCAAGTCTTGACCACCTCCATCAGAAGAGGCGTTCAATTCAGGGCCGAGTGTCTGAGCATGAAACCAAGCTGTTATCCATTCAGGTGCATTTCGGAATGGTCTCCAGGTTGAGGATTCTGTCAATGGACTGGCTTCACGTCGATCGATAGACTGGTCTTCGAATCCGGGTAGATTTGAGCTTCCCTTTAGTAGATCGGTAGAGATGAATGCCAAAGATGAGAAGTACAGATAGGAGAATAAGTTGAAACAAATGAAGGCAATGAACAGGAAGAGTGTTAAAGTTTTTGCACTGTATGTGCAGTAATTGCGTCGGAAAGCATGGTAAAAGGGTCTAGGGGTTGTGGAGAGACTGAACGGAGTGAACATATTATTGTCGATATTCTACAAAAGGGTTGAATCAGAATAACATGAAGCACAAGCATGCAAGCATAGGGAGGAAAAAAAAAATAATGATAGGACAACTGAAGTCGACAAGGCAATTAAGGTAGGAGATACGACGTTGAGGTTCTGAAGTGTCGATGCTAAAGGAGAAAGGGGGGAAAATTGAATTAAGGAACGAAGATGCGGGAAAATGAAAAGAATCAAGAAAAGGTCAATAAAAAAACTAAATGATGGATCGCTCGAGGAAATGAGGCTGTTATGGCCTCGAAGGGGTCCTTATGATGACTATGGATCTAGGACAGCAATCAAAGTCGTTGGGCGAGCAAGGCGAGGCACACGAGCAATTAAGATGAAAGGGGGAAAAAGGAATAAATTATATGCAGTTCCCTTTTTGGATCAAATCTGGTTACACGATAGCTCTTCGCATATGATTTATCGTCTGCTCGTTCCGCTTGTTAATCCATATCCTCGCCTTTTCTTTTCTTTTCTTTTCTTCCTTTCTTTTTTTTTTTTGTTGAAGGATTATCGAACAAGCAAGAAGCAAGAACTCTCTTTATGTCAACACATCTTTTATTTTTTGCGGCAAAAAAAAAAAAAAAAAAAAAAAAAAAATACTTAAGACTATCTAACACGAGGTTCTGTGTAAACTTCATGAATAACAGAATTTTTTATACAAATATATACATCGCAATCTTGGAGCCAAATAGGACCAAAGTATTTTGTGAAGCGAGGCGGGTTTATAGATCTTGTTCAATAAGCAGCGGAATGGGCTATTGTAAATACCGATAAAAGACATAGTAATAATGGCGACATCAACAGTCTGCTCAAACTCTTTTTTTTTTTTTTTTTTTTTTTTTTTTCTTCTTTTCCGGCACTGCTTTAATCCGCCCTATAGTTTTTCCTTTGATGTTTATTTTGGATCCCTTACATAAATCTAAGTTTGACTAATTAGAGGCTGTTGGCTTTTTGATACTAAAAGCTTGTCAATTACAATGTATTTTTAGGTACCTGACATTTCTGCTAAAAAAAAAAAAAAGAGTTCCACTACGCCATCATATCCATCCAGGATCATGAAATCCGCTCAGGGTTGTCTAAAAAGCAATTAAAAATTTAAACAAACAAGTCCCTTTAGCTGGATTTTTCGGGGAGGGATGGGTGGGGGGGTGTCCAGTTGGACTGGGATGGAAAATATTTTTTGACTTTTTTAGATTCACAATAATGGACCCTTCGTAACCGAACCATCAAGCATGACAAGCATAAATGCAGTATATGTATATACTCATAAACAAGTAATGATATAAATATAGATATATACATGTGTACAGATATACCCTTGGCATTTTCAGGGACAACTTTGTGCCCCTCCTTCCCTCCCCGTAAAGAAAAAAGCTCACATTGAAAACTGGGGCATCTAAATCAAAGAGATGTTTCGTGGGCTATTTCTTAACTTTACCTTTTGTTTGTACCCGGATAAAATGTATCCCTCTGTTGGCGAGGCCATTTGTTCGTCGAAACAAACTTTTGTGGATCCACACGTGACGTGATGGCGGCTGTGCTATGAAACGGCCACAAAGTGGGGAAAGGGAAAAAAGGGACACAGCGTGGCACAGAAAAAAAAAAAAAAAAACAGGGGAAAAAGGGATAGGGGTGTCATCGTGTCATCATACCATCACCTTCTTGCATTGCGACCATCTCATCTACCAAGCAGGTGAAGCAAAAGACTAGGAAACATACCGACAAAAAAGGAAAAGGAAGTTCAGATGCGTAACAACGACCGATGGATCTCCTTTTTAGCATGGTTTCTCATTGGTTTCATCAGTATTACATCCCAGCTCTTTGTCTTTTTGCCCTGGCTATTCGGCTCATATGAGGCTCACGGGACATTTAACCGCATCAAAGATGTAGTAAATCATATTGAGTACCTGAACAACACAATTAACGGGGGTGAGGTCCCCTTGAGACACGATTCACAGTCAGATGTCGGTGTCAGTAGCGCATCAGACCTTCCTTTTATCTTTGGATACTTGGTCTTCTTATGGACAAATATGAACGTTCGGGCCTTGTATTACTTGGTCCCATTCAACTTTTCATTGGGAATGCTCTGCTGGAACTATTACTTGACCATGATAACTAATCCAGGATCCCCTCCGCTTGACTGGGTAAAGAAAAAAATATATTATCCACGGGCTAATTGGAAAATGATATAAGGCAAAAAGAAAAAAAGAGATCTTGACTCAAACCTGAAGGATTATGACCTTTTTTTTTTTTTTTTTTTTTTTTTAAAAAAAAAAAAATAGAATCCACCTGCAGATGGATCAGGAATTGAATATAAGCGATCGACTCATACGCCAAGATACTGTAGTAGTTGTGATGCATATAAACCTCCACGGACGCATCATTGCAGGATATGCAAAAAGTGTATCCTCAAAATGGATCATCATTGTCCCTGGGTCCATAACTGTGTTGGATACTTCAACTATGGACATTTTGTGCGCTTTATCATCTGGACTACGATTTCAACATTTATGTGCGCCACCATGCTGATATTTCGATGCATGGAAGCATATGAAAACGAGACGCTGGGCATCGTAAGTTGAACCCTCCTCTCCTAAAAAAAAAAAAAAAAAAAAAAAAAGTTGTTGGTTATCATCCATTGAATATTATGAGCTTGCTGAAATAACGTTTCATCATTATTACTATCTGTACTATCTTTTACTTCCTTCATCAGAGACATAACTTGCCCAGCCCGGAAAAGATTATCTTTATCGTGGTTCTTCTAGCCCTGGATTGTGGTGTCTTTTTGGGGATCAGCTTATTGACAACATACCATCTCTGGTGTATATCCTGCAATACCACCACAATCGAAAGCTGGGGAAAGGATCGTATGCTCACCATCATTCGACGTGGCAAGATCAGAGACGTTAGTGTTTTTTTTTTTTTTTTTTTTTTTTTTAAGCGTCATATATTTAGATTTGCTCCACTCAAGTTTGATATATATCTTCTTTTTTCTTTTTTTTTTCTTTTTCTTTTTCCTATCTTTTTCTATCTAGATGAAATGCCCTTATAACCAAGGAGTTTTGACCAACTTCCAAGAAGTTCTTGGACATAACCCGCTCCTATGGTTATGGCCGAAGCCAATGCTCGGAGATGGGCTACGGTTCAAAATAAGGACCGAAAAGAAAAAAAGCAACATGTTTTTTAAGTCTAGAAGGTTCTCAGAGGATGAAGACGAGGACAGTGGTGAGGACAACACAAACCCTACTGGATCTTCTTCTTCATCGAGGCAGCATCTTTGGTTCCGTCCGTTTGATGGAACGCCGCAACATAAGAATGATGAGATGGCCGAAATGGTATAAAATATCAGGTATCGCAAAGCGCTTCTTCTAAGTAATGTACAGTACAATAAGGAGGAACAAGTATTCTCTCCTTTAATAAATCATTTTTCTCTGGATTTCATTCCAAGACTGCACAAAAAGATCAAAAGACCAGAGTTACCCCCATTTGTATGCATAATTAACTTTATCTCATTATCAGCACGATCATCCTTAAAAGAGTTTGAATCTAGGGATTGTGAATAAGCTGATAGCAGATATAAAGTACTAACTGATGTCCTTAATTTTCCTCCTTTTTACCACCTTTTTTACTACCTTTCATTTATTTCTTTCTAAATCTTTGCATTTTAAAAAACTATAAACTGTTTTAAAATCCGTAGTCGTCCTTTTATTCGACTTGGTCAATTAGAGTATTTTGTATTTATATACCTCATTCAAAACGAGAAGAACCCGATTTGACATGATATCCATTATAAAAATCTTTGGCTGATAATCGCTTTTTCCCTTCAAACTGCACGGCTTTGACTCCAAGCAATGATCCATCTGAACAAGCGATATGCAAAGACTCTGTGGGACGATGGTAAAAGATCGTTCCTGGCGGTGAGTTTTTATGAGGCGTTGCTCCATCTTCTGCAGCATAGTCTGCAACAGTTCCACCGCCACTGCCGCTCTTATAATCATTATCGTTCACACAAAACAAATCAAACAATGAAAGAGGCTGTACTTTTCCAGAGTCCTGAACATGCCATGTTGCTGTAATCGGGTACTATATATATAAAAAAAAAAGGAAATATAGTAGTAGAAAAGGGGATATATATTAGTTCCTATCGATCCATGGCATGTATGCAAAAAAAAAAAAAAAAAAAAAAAACCGTGTTCTTGTAGGTTAGTTTTCTTACTCTGAAACCATTAGCACGGTACAATCGCTCGACCCTTGCTGCGTCCCAGGCACTCCATTGAGCTTTGCATGCCTCACGGCTGATTTTGTTCGCTTTAGTGACCTTGGTAGGATCCTGGTTCTTTGCATCACGCTACTCAAACACAATAGTAACAATCATACCCACCGTTTAGGATTATATTTATTAATATTCTTTTTTTTTTTTTTTTTTTTTTTGGTTTTCAATCAATAAACATCAAATTGCCCATGCATGAATAACAAACACAACAGGCTTACCCGCCGCTCATCATAGTTATTGATCACATCTACGACCAATTCTCCGCCCTTCTTGGCTAGCAATAACTCCAGAGATTTATATGTTGGTTTATCAGGCATAGGCTGGAAGAAAAAGAAAAAAATATATATATTAGAGACTTTGATTTTGCCGGTATCTGTTAAGAAAGCACTACGCTTTTCCAAAGCGGTAGAGACTTACAACTTCAACTTGAGCAAGGATCTTTCCTGCATCAAATTCATTTGGGTCCAAAAGCTGGACCGTAACCCCTGTTGTCTTTTCCTGATTCAAAATGGCTCTTTGCATCGGTGCTGATCCACGATACCTATTTTTTAAAGAAATTCCAAATCAGAAACACATTGATAGCAATTGAATGCATAAGGCCATAAATAATTTAAAAAAAAAAAAAAAAAAAAAAAAAAAAAAATTACTTGGGTAGAAGGGATGGATGAACGTTGATCCCTGCCTTCTTGAACCGCATAATCACTTCATTAGGAAGGAACCAACCAAACGACACGACAACGCCAAAATCCCAGGCGTCCACCTCATCTAATTTAGGGAATGTCCATGCCTCGAACCCACCCTTCCGATCCGGAGAAGGAAACGTGTTGAGGTTATGTGCCTTGGCCAGTAGCGTCAGTGGGGCTTATTGGAAAATTGCAAAAGGCGTCAGGATTTTTTTTTTTTTTTTTTTTAAAAAAAATAAAAAACTGTTGAATTCATTAAAACATTAACATACAATCTTCGGCATCGCGTTTTGATTTCTTGGTACGCTCTTTGGGCGAGATAACGTCGATACGCTCGATGATTGAGCCTGGTCTATCTATGTTTCAATGACAAAATACGGTTATTTTGCCGTAGAGTAGATTCTTGGGCTCACTTTTTTTTTTTTTTTTTTTTTTTTTTTTTACCTTTCTCAGCAATCAACGCTTCCAAGTGGGGAACTGAAAATGAGTCGCTGCCAAAGAATAAAACTTTGACCTTATTTTGATTTTCTTTCTGGCGACGTAATGCAGATACACTGAATGCGTTTGTAAACTACAATAACAAGATTTATTCATATGAAGTAGAAATCATATAAGCTTTCTTTTTCTGTATAATAATCTCCTCCAAAATAATAATAAAAATAATAAAAAAGCTTCAGACGAGTGCTTTACAGAATGCCATGGTGTACGCACATTCATAAATAATCGCGACGCTTTTAACGTAGTTGCATGTCTGCTACATGAAAACAATGTACAGGTCACTGAATGCATCATGTCTGAGGCCAATGTGTGAAAAGTAGGATAGATCTTTTTTTTTTTTTTTTTTTTTTTTGCGTCGCGTCCTGTTCAGATCAAGTGGCTTAGAAGGACCGTGGTCACTGCGTAGATTCTACTTCACCATCGATGGGACGGGGTTCCCACAATGCTGCACTGCCCTCTTGTTACTTTTTTACGTCTTCAGTGGTGTTCATGTGATGTTGCAGTTTAACTTATATATAGCTTATTTTTATTAATCTTGGGCGAAGTCATTTCCATCAGGCAACGTTTTAAAAAAAATACACGACCCATGAGAGGCAACCACGGAATTATGGCCATTTAAGTCTTTGGGTGGATAGAGAAGAGGGACATATTGGTAGTAAAAACATGGCTCTTCAGCCTCTACATCCGATACCTGTATATCCAATAGGGACAATTCAAGCTCCAAAGGCCCCACTTTCCAAGCGCAACTCTGCCGAATAACTGGGGTAATTGGTGTATACAGGGTCTATTTTGGCTACAGAGTGATATTTATGGTCTTTATCCCTCTTTTGCAAAAGAGGCCTTGGCTCAAGGTAGACTAGTGGAGAAGTTGGGGCGGTTAGCTCAGCAGTAGCTTGATGGTATAAGCTTGGCGTAGTCGAGGGAACCAGTGTCTCTTGCATCCAGGAAAGCTCCAGCTTATAACCCTCTTGAGTAGGGCAAACACAGTTGTGTTGAGGAGAGCAACCTGTGTGCATGCAAATCACACAACTGCAAGCTCATGTCACATGGTAAAATTAAAGAAATTAACTACTTGACATCCAGTAGGTCTATCTGTGTTTTCTTGGTAAAAGACATCCGAGATATCCAATCATTCTAAATGGAGTAAAGACTTTCATTGACTAAAATATTATATCCGCACTCCTGTCACCCACAGATGAACGGATCCTTAAGCTGTCGCTTATTTTTTGTGTTGTTTGTTCACAATATCAATGAAGCTGCCTCTGAGGAAGTCACCTAATTTTGCAGCATCTAACTTTTCCGTGTTTTTTAATATATAGAAGATATAACTTCGTCTATCTACTTTCGGGCGGGGTTGGCGGAGCCGCCATTGGAGCCGGGGGTAAAGACCCTATGATCGTCAAAGCACGTGCTGACATCAATGGTTCGACATCCTCTTTAGTAGGACCATTGCCTGAGTCTTCGCATACTGATGATACATGCGGCGAAACACCTAGCGTTTTGGTGGCTGCAGATGTTGGAGGGGTGCCTCTTGGCAACGCAATCATTCGATCGAGGCTAGCGCTATAAATTTCAGTACAATCGCTCGGCTGTTTACGATGCGCAATAGCCAGGGAGGATACCTTATTCTTGAGCCGCTTCTTCACTTGAGACTTGGGCTGATGTGAGCATGACGATGAAGAGGAAGAGGAATTTTTTCTCGATGTGTTTGCCTTGGCCGCTGCACCAACAATATGGCCAGTATTAATAGGTTCCGATGCGGTTTTACTGCCTTTACTGCTATAACCCATGCGTGGCGGCATCATGGGTGAGTCTGGCCTTGCAGGATCGACCTCTAGAAATGTTGAGATAACGTCTGCAGCACTCTTGCGCCAGGCTTCAATATAAAGTGGAGGCTTTTGACGGTGGTTATGATGATGGCAACAGGCCTGGGGAACGCATGCACTGCCGCTAACACTGGCGCATGATGCCCCTTTTGCTCTTTGGGAGTCATCACAAAGTGCTTCTCCATCTTGGTCATCTCTATCGCTGTAAAGATCTGATCCAGGCCGTATTCGCGGGCCCTCCCTAGGGACGAGCCGGAAGCATGGGAATGCCTTTTGCAGATTGGGATCGCTTCCCGTGGCGCGAACCTGCCGCGTTTGGCTCACACATCCAGCCCCAGATGAACTTCGGCAGTGACCGTAATCAGAATTTCGGAGCGGTGATAATGGCTGCAGCGGTTCAATTGTTGATTGGTCGATGCTTCGAAGCTGTGCTCTTTCGGTATCATTGTGGTCTATGCTGACATGGCTCATATTTCTGCCACTCATCTGCAGAGCCTGGAGAACCACACTCTGCACCATCTCACGGTCGTCCTTCGGCGTATTTGTCATAGTATTGTAGACCTCAGAGCTATACTGGCTCCTAATACTCTCACCACAGACCAGTCCTTCAAGCGAGATAGCGCCCATGGTCTCAGTATCACAATGCATGTCATCATCTTCTTCGTTATCGGCGTCGTCTTCACTATCGCTAACGCCTTCGCTATGGCCATTACACACTTGGGATGAGCTTGAGCAGATCACTGCCTTGTTGATGATGGTTCTCCTCGAGGCCAAATATGGCCCCTGTCGTTGGTGTTGCCGTCGCTTGCTCTTGGCCAAGTTCCTAAGGACACGATTGTAGCTTATAGCGCATTCTGGTGCGTTAGGCACACCACTAGCAACCGAACTCAGGCCTAGTTCTGCTTTTGATTCTAGTTCTCGGCTTTTTTGGTGTACATTAGTAGAGCCAGTGTAGGTAGTAGCAATGGTCGTGCCGGCAGCAATGGCATTAGGTTTATCAGAAGCAGAGATAATTTGTGGCGCCTGCTTTTGATCAATGGCAACTGGAAGGCCAAGGGATTCATCCAGATTTTTCAGCCCTTTAGTAATTTCAGACAGAGACATGGATCTGTCATGTCCTAGCGCTGGAGCTAGAGCCCCGCGTAATGACGGGGTTGACGACTTTCTTGAGGATGACATCGAAGATCCAGATCCATGGCGGTGGTGCGAGTATTGGTCTTGAACCCCTGGGAATGGATAGGCCGTATATTGGCCAAAACTAGGGCTTGGAGGGATGTTCAATGGTATGTGCAACGACCCATTTCTTTTAACAAACGTAGTAGTAATACTTCCTGGCTGGCCCACTCTTGAAAAGCAACGAGTAGTGCCTGGGGCCAGTGAAGCATTGCGAGTCCTTGGTGGGGAGTTGTTGCGGGCAACAAGCAAAGGCGGAGGCAAGGTTAGAGATAATGGGGTGACCGGCAGTGAGTGTAAAGGAACAGCAGGAGAGATACCCTCTGCTACCCTTGCGTCAATACTGCTATCACTATCGGTAGTACCTTCAGAAGCATTATCAACGATGACGATGTCATCGCCATTGATTTCGCATTTATTTTCGCAGCTGTATGACTTATCCATTGCTTTTCGTATGAATTTCTCGACAGCTTCACGGGATCTAAGTATTTGCGCCTTCTCCAGCTCAGTTTCAGACATACTTGCAGCTGAGAGTGGAGGCCCCTTCATTTTGTTGGCTATTGATGCCATAGATGTTATGGATGATGCGGATTGCCGCTGGCCAAACTTGACAGCGTTTGATACTGGAGGCATATTGCACGGTGAAGTTTCAGGCTCGGAAACTGGCGAAGGTGAAGACACAAAGGAAGTGAATGACGCCGTTCGCCGTGACAGTTGGAGATACTGCCCCATCATCTTGCCGCCATGAAGGATTTTAGGAACTGTGTGGCTATGAACTGGAGCGGATGGAAGCCAGGAGGAGCTATAAGATAGACGACAAGCTGTATATCCTGACAAAGGTCGGAGTGTGTCAGTAGGAGAGCCTGTGCTATCGCGCTCAGTATCGCTATGAAATTTATTCAGAAAATAAAAAAACAAAGGGTTAAATCATTTTTAATAGGGAAAACAGATGTTGTTTTACATACTAGACATAAATGCTACTTACTCCACAGGTTCACAATGGTCCAAACCAGAGCGCATGGAAACAGCTGTAGCTAATGAAACATTTACAGTTGAACTATTATACATCATCAGAAGAGAAAATTAAAATTACAGTCTCGTAATAGCAATGTCACAAGCATTGTCGATACAAGTACTTACTTCGAGTCGCGGCGTTCGTTGTCAGTATGGCTTTGAGCGGCTAATTCACCCTGAATTGTCCCAGTGCCGATATCGATGATATGGTTTCCACTTGTGGCTGCAGTGGAGGTAGGACGTTTTGCTAAGTTTCCTGGAGCTCGGCCCATATTAGCTATAGGTGGGATGTCTACGGCACACGGTTTACAGCTTGTGTGAGCTTTATGGCGACCTTTACGGAATTCCCGTTCGCGCAGCACGTCTGTTGTGAGAGGAAATGGGAGTGGATCTATATCACCGATCTCCTCTTCCATATCTTCACCGTCTTCTTCTTCTTGAATGCGGGAGAAGTATTCGAGAAGCTTGGCCTTCCATTCGCAAAGGTAGTCCCAGGTTAAGAACAGAAAGGCAGCAGCCGGAATAAACAAGGTTATTGCGATCTGATACAATTCATGATCATGGTCTGCTAACCGGAACAGCCCGCTTATACTATCAAGCTGCGGCTGTGCAGCAACTACTTGGCCCTCTGCGGATAGGGATGGAGTAGGATGGGGAGAGGGACGAGAAAAGGCCACGAAGTAGGAGATATACAGCCCTATGTTGAAGGCTCGAGCCAAAAATAAGATAATATTCAAACTAAGGCAGAGTCTGAGATATTGGTGAGCTGACTTTGCTGCATTATAAAGGCGGAGTACATCAGGCGATGGTGCCAAGCTCTTGATATTAATATTACAACTTCCGTTTTGTCTTTGGAAATGATGCACAGCCAATGCTACAGGAAGAGACAAAAGTGACAGGGTTTTAGATCGTTTTAGATGAAACAAATTTCCACACACATGCGTCCCGCGCTTACCTGCAGAGATTAGCCCTACAAGCGCAGCAGATGTTGCAAGGACTTCAAGGATGATTTCGCGTATCCAATCACCGCGCTTCGAGCTTGTTGCCACACTGCATCCACCACGTCCTGGATAAACCTCATAAACCCGACCTTCTGCATCGATAGAGAATAACACTAGAAATATGATGATTGGCAGGACGAAGCACCACACAATATCCCACGCCAACTGTCTATTTGCAGTAACTCCAGTCCTGATTTTGTGTGTCCATGAGTCTCTGTGGTATTTGATTCTATTTCCTGTTATATCATACGAGTAGCTTTCTTCATGGGTCTCGCTCAAATCTAAATGCTCTAAATGTAACTTGGCGGCCAGAGATGGGGGTTGTCCTGGAGTAGCTTCTGCTTTGGATGGCCTGCGGCCTTGGTTGAGAGAGATACCATGAGCAGTTGAGATTTGCTCACCTCCTCGCTGTTGTGCCAGTGGATCATCTTGCTGATGCGTCGGCCACTTTGGCCAAGCTTCAAATAAGTCTGGTGGACTATGGCTTGCGCTAGTGGTGGCGGCGATGGAAGCAGCAGCAGCAGCATCGGCAGCAATAGCATCTGGTGCCTTCAGTTTATTGGAATCGCGTTGCCTGGGTAGGATACAACAACAGCAACAAAATGTAATGCCATTACGGATCAGCGCCATCAAGATTGTTAACGGCGCTGCGAGCCAAACCGGAATTAAAAGACCCAAGTCGGCTCGGTTACGAAACGAACGTTGAAAACTAAATCCTGCTTCCTCTCCTAGATCGTTATTATTATTTGGAGTAGTGGGATTATTAACTCCAATAGTGGCAAATAGTCGGGGATTAATCATGCCTAGTTTGCGGCTTAGGCAGCGATAGAGGTACAGATCCCATCGCATGATGGCAATGGAGATGGCGAGCCATCGAATCTGGTGAAGATGTGCGAAAAGGATACAGGTTCGTAATGATATCAAGTAACCTAGCTTCCCTGATAAACCTCTGATGACGTCTCCGGTTAATACCATCGCTGTAATACCTGATAAGGCTCCATTATTGCTGATGTTTGTGTTTTGGTCCGTGCTTACAGTGCCATTGCTGGATAGGGAAAATAAGTTAACTTCAGTAAAATTAAAGTTTTCGACAGGTGGCGTTGTGGTTGAAGGTACATACGTATTTGTTAAATTGTTTGAGATGAAGTCAATGCTGTTGTTGGTGTCACTGGTAAATAAATACAAGAAAGGAAATGTATCTGCTTGTAATAGAAACTGGCTGAAAATATCCAAGAGATAGTTAAACATGAACCAGACCAGCATAAAGGAGAATGCATAATGGCGGCGACCATCCTTGAACTGCACAATCCATGTAGAGATTATTAGTAGACATATGATGGGCAGTAGAATAAGATAAAGAATTGATATAGCCGAGTGTGCCATTGGTATAGTAGGTGAAGTGACGGAATGATACAGATATGGGGTAGTGAAGGAAGACGAAGGTATGACCGCTTCAGGGTATATTAATTTAATTCCAATAAGGAATGGTGCATGGGAAAGGAGAGGAGGAGGCAAGGAGGGAAAGGAGGAGAGGAGGGAAGAGGAAAAAGGAAGAGATGAAGAGAACGAGTTCTTCAAATTAAAAAAAAAAAAAGGTTACCATCCTCAAGTATGCGCTAGGTATCACACAATATTGAACAGACAATGAAACGAGAAAAGTGAAGGCAGAATGTCAACAACTGCGAAAACAATTATTTTGGTGTTTGTTTTCATTAGAGGGTTAGTAAACACTGAAATAAAAGAAAATCATTCATGGAAATAATGCAGAAAAAGGAGGCGAGATACAATCAAATAGAGATGTAATCGGACGATACAGAGAAAAAGCAATAAATAAAATAAAATAAGTATAATGAACGAACTAATGAACAATGGGATAAGAATAGACCTCAGTTAATGCTACAAGAATGTCGCAAGGCTGTGAATGTTCAAATGTGGTCGTGAAAAAAAAAAGATCAAGGTGGTCAGAACGCGCTCAGGTCAATTTGTTGCAATATTGGCAGTTTAAAAATTCCACAAGCATTCATTAAACGCTTTTGTAAAGATATCTTTTTTAGGCGATTGAAGTGCTCAAAAAAAATAAAATTATGAAAGCCCTTCAATGCGGTTCGATTTTTCATTTTTTTTTTTTTCCCTCTCCTTTTTATTTTTCCTAACGTTCTTCGAATTGAGCAGTTGCATTAAAATGTAGACCACCTTTACATAGCAGCATGTTTGTAGAGGAATAAAAAAAAAAGATGCGATCCGAGCGTTTGTTGCACAAAAACAATAGAGGGTTAATCACTTGTCATTGGGGTGACAGTAGATGATTAGAAAGACAAGCAGGATAGGATCATTGGCTTATTCGAGCCCTTTTACACACCTTTTTGTATTTGGAAGAAGTGTGTGCATACATGTGTCTAGACATGGTCCTTTCGCTGCTTATCTTACACAACGACCCATGGATCACCATAAGAGCCCTTCTTTTGTTTCGTTTTCCTATATAGTCGATTCAGTACAACCCTCTTTTTTTTTTTTTTCCTTGTACATGAAGGGCTACCAAGGCTTCTTTGTTTTGACTTTGGCTGTGTTGGGCACATGTCTTTCTCTCCCGCCATCAACATTTGTGAGTGTTAGCAGCATGAAAGAAAGAGTGCTCCCTTTCATGCAAGTGTCATCAACCACTGAGACTGATGATCACTTGCACACATTCATACACCTGACTTCAATGCGAGCACCCCGTTCCAGAAGATCTAATTTTTCATTGTAATGATAGTAGTAACCCTGGTCCCTCGATGATTGTAATAATGATAGACATATTTCTAATCTCATTTAGGCTTCAAAGGCTCAGTCGTAGGGAGTAAACAGCAGCTTTTTTTTTTTTTTTTTTTTCGAGATACAAAGTAACAGATCGTCCAACTTAAAAATATTTGAACACAAATTAAGGTGATCCAATAAGAACAGTCTGTCGCATTGACGTATTGACGCTTGCTTTTCACACCCTTTTTCGGAAGCTGATTCTACTAATGGAGTACATATTACAAACTATGGCTTTATTGAGGCCACTTTGTGTAGTCGCCGTTTTAGTTTTAGATCATTCTCTATTTTTTAGGACTGCCCTGCTTGGTTCACCATAGATACACTGTCCAATTCGTCAGATAATGCTGAAGCCTGATATAACGTTGCAATGCTTTTCACGCATTCATCTCATCCATGGCCTAATGCAGCTCCGAATGCGAAATAGTAATGGCGGTAGCTATCAAGGCTAGAAAGGATAGTCAGCTAGGTCTAGATGTCCCAGTTTCCCTGAAGAAATTGTGTTGTTCCCATTGCTTAACCTTTAACATGAACAAATTTCCCCTCCTCTCGCCGTAGCTCACATATAAATAGCAAAGATGATATTGCCTAACAAAAAAAAAAAATGGTCCTAAAAGATCAAGACAGATGAACGGACATTAGAAAAAGTTTGACATGAGAAATTGAATTTTTGTGAGTGCGAAAGAATAGCAGCACAATGGTGGCCTAATCTACGAGGGGTTAAATTTTATTTGATTAAATCTGATCTGTCACAACTCATCTCTGCTGTCAGCAATTAGCATTCATTCAGCATATAACACAGCACACAGTTACGAAAACACAAGGAAGAGTGAAAAAGGAAAAATGTCCAAGGGCTCGAGTTTACACCGTCTTCGCAGGACTCAGAAGGAGTCCTTCTTCTTACCAGACTCGGATGGGGAGAACAACGAAGAGATCACTCAGGATGATGACTTTGATGTCGACAACATGGATTTCCCTTTACCATCTGATGCTGGCCCATCAATAAATCCTGCAGACACACCCCTGTCAGCTGAACAAATGGCTCAAATTCAAGCATTGATGGATACAGGTGCTGTCGAAAATAACAATACGCGATATGTCTCGACTGAAGAAGCAGAACAATTTAAGAGGTACTTATTTGAGAAAAAAGCGAAAGTAGAGACAACACAGGATCAAGACAAAACTTTGAATTTCTTTTGCAGGCAAAAAAAAAAAAAAAAAAAAAAAAAAAAAAAATTAATAATAGTATATCTACTTTGTCGCATCATTTCATAGCTGGATGTGCATTTACCCATGCTATATTGATGGTACAAAGACAGTGGCAGAAGGTCGCAGGATTTCATTGTCAAAGGCATGTGTTAAGCAGCCCTGGGCTAAGGATATTGTTGAAGCATTGAAGGAATTGAGGCTGTCCCAAGCATTTGAACCGGGAAAAACTCATCCTAGAGACTGGGCTAATCGTGGACGCGTCAGAGTTTTGTTCAAGGAAAATGGCCGATTCTGCCATGCCACAATCCACAGCAGTATGCGTCTCCAACATGATTATTTCTAATATGGTCCAGCTTGCTATACTATGAAGACAAACATTTACATGTGTGTTATTGCTTACCCTCACTAACTGGGTGTTGATCAATGTCTTTATTTTATAGAGAATGAGCTTTTAATCCAGTTGGCAGCAATCATTAATAAGGCTCATGCCAAGGATGAAAGTGCTGGTCGAAAGCGCTCAGAATATTCGCCTCTTTCACCCTTGACACCACTTTCGATTGCGATGCCAGGCATGGCTAATGCAGACCCATTGGCAGCGCTTTTGGGCGGCAATGACACCACAGAACCAGCAACGCCGCAAGCATCATCATCATCGCCTCAACCAAAGTCAAAACGACAAGAGAAACTAGCCAAGAAACCAAAGAGAGTCATGATCCGTGGATAAAGTAAAAATCACATGGGGATTCTTTCAAGAATAGTATTATTGCTTTAATAAATAGAAAAAAAAAAAAAAGGATCAACTTGATACCCAAAAAATATACTATTACAAATGGAGGAGTGCTTTCCATGTCCCTTCTACTTTGCTTTCTCCCAGCTCTAATCATCCTCATCATCCTCATCATCCTCATCATCAGCTTCGTCTCGTGGCAGCATGATGCCAAGCCGGGACAGGATGTTTCCTGCTGGTCCTGGCAATCCACCCTGACTCCTGAAACTCTCCAACAAGTTCTTGGCTAAATTTAAATCCTCATCTACGACTACTCGCTCCTCTTCTTTCTCGACGTCGCTTATTATTTCATCACCAACTTCGTCATCGGTGCTTACACGCGCTGCCGAAGGCTCTTCTTCTTCGTCATCATCTGCGAATGCCATTGCGGCAGGATCGTATCCATATGGCCCACCATGTCGACCAAAACCTCGCCTTGAACGTTCAGCGTATTCTTTCACTAATTCTTCAAGGTTCTTTTCCGATTGTGGTGTTATGGTGGTAGCGGAGATTCGTGAGACTCCTTTGCCTTTGTCTGTCTTAGGTTGAGTCTTTGATGCAGCAGATACTCCTACTGACATCTTTTCAAAAGACTCCCCAACCTTGGTGGCCGATAATTCTATGTCCAAGGCATCCATGTATTCTTGAAGACCTTGATCATCCATATCTATATCCTTCTCTTCATCGTCATCCCTTTGGCTCACTTTCCCTCTTGCGAGTTGTTTATAATTCTGGCCGAACCTCCGTTCTAAGGCTTCTCTGAACTTTTCGCGATCTAAGCCAATAGGCTGTAAATTTTCTGCATGAGTTTCAGTATCCACTTTCTCTTTAGTTCCCTTTCCTTCTCCTGTGTCGCCAATATCAAAGTTCATCATCTCACTCCCAAACATGAATGCACGCTGTCGCTGAGCGGTCCGTTTCCTGGCTTGCCTTTCCTCATAGTCGCTAGCGAATATATCTTCATCATCGCTACTATCTAATATATCTTGTACAACGCTTTCTTGATTTTCTGCCTCGTCTCCATCTCTGTTGTCGGCAACATAATCATCTTCACTATCCTCATCATCTTCACTGTCGGTTTGCTCATCTAAAAACTCGGCTCCTTCGACACCACCTTGACCTTTTTGAACAAACTCCCCAAACCGATTTAGCATCTGTTGCATATCAAAATCACCGTCAAAAGGCCTTTCTATATCTGCTGAAGATTTAGACCCGGATTCTGCGACCCTTCCGTCGTTGCCAAATCCACGCGCTCGCATCATATCCTCCAGCATCTGTAGATCTACATTCATCCAGGAGTCGTCATCATCTGGTCTATCGTCTACCAGATCGTTCACTATCGATCCGTTTGTAATATGATTGTTCAGAATGCGCTCAATTTCTTGAACCGGATGATATCCATGGCCATAGTATGATGTATCTTGATGTTCATCTCGCAATTTCGCAGACTTGTTTTCTAAAAATTGCCTTTTAGCAGTCTCTTCCAATTGTTGATATTTTTGAGATCCTGGGCGCTCGTCTCCAAAGTACTGGCGAGCTGCGAGATTGTTTTTGAATACAATCCATCCACTGTCTGTTGCAAACGGGAAATCCTGGAATGATAGTAATAACAACAATTATAATAAATAAGCAGTTTCATAGGTAATCAATCACGCTGACTTTTTTTAATAATAATAATATTTTGTTACCATACTCCACACGTATCTCTTACCTCCAGTTGAATCTCATCGCCGCTCTTGAAGCCAAAATCTCCAGGATAATCTGGGCTGCACAAGATCTCGAAGCCGCAAGTCTAAAAAAAAAGAAAAAACAAACCATGAATGTGTTATGAGTGGTTTATTAATAAAGATATCCTTAACAAAAAAAAAAAAAAAAAAAAAAAAAAAGGCATTTTTACGAACCAGTTTCATCCCAAGTTCTGCCTCCTTCAGTTTTTGCGGATCGTTTGCATCTTCCACACTTATTGGAGGTACAATGCCATCCCAGATCTTGGGTGGGTGGAATTGTTGTCCCATCAGTTGTGCGTAACAAGTCTTTGTGAAGCAAACACTTGTCGTAACAAACAACGTGCTATTTTTCCCCAGCTTGACGACCCCATGCCCTAACTCCGATCCTAAATCATCCTTGTCTGATGATGCCGTTTTTGAGGATTTTCTTGGTAAGAACTTTGCCATACGACTACATGCTGCCATGCCGAGTGCATCCCTTGTATAAAACGCCTCGCATGCTCTCGTAACCAATTCCGGTCGGATCTTGAGGACCCTGGCTACATCCAATGGGATTTGGCAACGAGCATAATGTTTTTGTTCCTGAATTTTCCTGGCTACAAAATCTTTATCTGCTGATAAATTTAGTGAAGATGATGAGAGAGGGGATGAAAGAGGTCCAAACGCTGCCCGTTGTATGGCAGGGCTGGCAAGTGTAGGTATTACTACTGTAGGTGCTCTTGACTTTGAACTATTCCAATCCTTGCCAGCTAAGGAAGAAGAAGAGGTCCAGATAATCTCCAATGCGTCCTGAAGCTTCGGCGATTCTGACTTTGTCCCAAGAGTAGGTGGATATATCTTTTTTTCATCTGCTGTAACAGCAATCGGAATGATGTGCAGATCTCCGTTATGAATGAATACTCTGTTATCGCTGTTTTCGGGATCTAGCCATGAAGGAATATGTTCCGCAGCTTCGATCAACAAGAACTCTCCATCATTATCTTGAATCCTATTTTTTTATTTTTAGTATATTTTTTTAAGCAAAAGTGGACACCCCATACAAATGAAACAGGAAAAAAAAAGAGAAAAGCGGTATATAATTTCACCTTGCAATAGTGCCTGGTATCCGTCGAGTGATTTCTCTCAATAAGGATACAATCAGCCATTCATCATCCAAGGAGTCGCAGACTCTACTTTCGCCTTTCAAATATGGTAAAATAGGATATACTAATGTATACCATGGGTTTACAAGAAGCAGTGTAAGTTAGTCCTCATAAAGGTAAGAAATAATATTGAATCTTACTTCTACATCTGGGGGTATGATACTTTACATGTATCCTTTTTAGTCTCAACATGTAGTGAAAATGCATCTTTATGCCAGATATAGTCCTTGGTCAAATCAGTGACGATCGAGTAAATGAATGTTTTTGCAATATGAATTGAATCAAGTAAGTAATGAGCGGCCGCATTAGTCTGCTCCTGATCAGTTTGAGTTTTAGTGTCGGGTTCTGCTTCACTTCCCGCACTCTCTATTGTTGCCTTTGGAAAGTAGATTGCATATGAAACTGTCTCTTCAGAAAGTGCACGGCGTTGTTGCTGGATGTGGTCATGAAGTGGGAATGAACTTTCCATGGTGAATTCAACTAATTCACTTTATTTCGACTCGTTGAGAGGACTGAACACAGGCAAATCTGCGCACGGCGCACATTCTATCTATTAAATCGAGTGGCTTATGTGCAATGCGAGGGAAACAGTAGAATCTCAATACCCTTCCTTTACAAGCAACCCTCTCCTGTGTAATTTATCTTTTATTAAAGCTCGAGATTCCTAAACTGAATAAATAATGAAAGTGGCATAGGATAGCCATCATCTTTCTTTTTCGATATGATAGAGATGTCTGTCTGACAGGTTCTTACTCATTAGAGAATGCACTTGTAGAGGAACCACTTCACTGCAGTTGTTTTGTTTTTTATTTTTTTAATCCTTTTTTATTAAGAGATTGCTTGCTATCTAGCTATCTAGCTTACCTGGTTACTATCCTAAGCTACAAGAAGCCAGACTCTTAGCCACCTTGGAAAGCGCTTTTCTTTGTCACCATCGAAAAGACTCTCCAAGATGTTGTCCGGAGCACACCACGTGGAGGTGGTCTGGCATATCGTGCTCCGTTGGTCAGGCCCCATGGCCTTGCAAACGCCCGCACACACACACATTTATTAACCCATTCCCATCCCCATCCCCATTCCCTTTCCCATTCTGGACCGAAGGGCTCCGCCATCGCAAGGCTCGTTAAAGAACCAGCTCAGGCTCATGCCCGTTCGGACCTACCTTAGATATGCATTGGTTGTTGCACCTTGGATGTGCATTGTTGCTATGTTAAAGAGTGCTTTGTGTTGTGTTAGTAAGAGTTTTTTTTTTTTTTTTTTTTTTTTTTTTTTGGCTTTCTTATGTTTTTTATTGGCTTTTTTTTTTTTTTTTTTTTTTTTTTTTTTTTTCTTTTTTCTTCTTTCTGATATGAGATCTTTTTTTTTACTTTTCTTTTTTTGGGCTTTTATTGAGTCTTTTTTTTTGGTTTTTTTTTCTTTGGTTAATTTTTTTTTAATTGTGTTTTTTCTTTGGGTTATTTTTTTTTTCTTTGGTTTTTTTGGTTTATTTTTTTGGTTTATTTTTTTGGTTTTTTTCTTTGGTTTTTTTTTTTCTTTTTCTTTTCTTTGGATTTTTTTTTTTTTTTTTTTTTTGGTTTCTTTTTTTTCTTTGGATTTTTCTTTTTTTTTTTGATTTAGTTTTTTTTTTTTTTTTTTTTGAGGCATTTGTTTCTGGAGGCGTTTGTTTTTTGCCTGGATGGACTGTTCGACCTTTCTTTGGTTTAGTCCTTTTGCTGGTGGCGCCGAGCTTTCGTTACCAGTGCCTTCCAGACCACACAATGAGAAGTGGCCTGGTCGCTATGATTTGGTGTTGTTCGTGAAGCCTTGGCCATCATACCCGAGATGGGATGGGCTGGCTATTTGGCCGCGGAGAAGGCCGTCGTTCGACTGCGGTAGACTATGAGGCCGTTTAGAGCGTGGCTATTTAGAGCGTGGCCATCTGGAGCGTAGCCAGTTGAATACGGCTTTTCGTTGGAGTGCAGCCGTTCGAGTATGGGCGCCTGAGTGTGGCAACCCGGCTGTGCGTTATGAAGCCCTAGTTGCTTTAGCCAGCTTCATGTCGTTGCAGTCTAATCGTGGAATGAAAAGAGAGACACAAGCAGAAAAAGAATAATCAGAACAAGGACAGTGAAGCACAGAGTGACAGTGTTGAGAACTTCAGTAAGAGTGATTGTTTAGGGAGTGTTGCTTACCTTTTTGTCTTGGTTGAGGAGGCCGATGGTCGAGGAGACCGAGGAGAAAGAGAAGAGAAAAGAAGAAAAAAGAAGAGAGTCAAAATTAGTCCTTTTTATATTGGTTTCTTATTATTATTATTTACGTTCGCGCAAGAAGAGGAGAAGGGCCGAGGAGTGATTGGTGTTCAAAAGCGCGCTGTACTAAGTACCTTGCTTGCTGTACGCTCAAGAGCGACCAATAAAAGATAAGCAACAATTTAAAAAGATAAACAACAATATAAAAAGATAAAAAATAAATAAATATACGTGTCTTTGATGTCATCTGTCATATTTCATATGATAAAGAAGAGACTCTCACGATTGAAAGTGGGAATAATGCTCTGTCCTCAAGACTCATAAGGAAAACCTGTCTATAAACAACCAGAGCATGAACTGTATTGCTCTCGAGCTTGTTTACTCTTATTGATAAAGGAGATTATCTTCTTTATCCTCTTCTTCTATTTCCTTTCTTCACTCCTAACAAGAGATGGGATAGACTGTCGTTGGACCTGTACTTTGGCAGCTTGCCGTTTTTCCAGAGTGTGGTGGAAAATAACACATGACATTCGTAAGAATACCTCTGCGCCTTTTTTTTTTTTTTATTTTTTTTTTTTATTTTCATGCAATACAATGTAGAATACATTAAGATTTGAAGGTGAAACAAAGTATCAACGTTTATATATCGACCAGTAAAAAGCACACGATCGTATCGAGGAAATGACGTGTCGTATCTCTTTGGCTCTTTGAAAAGGAAAATAAGGAAAAGAAAAAAAGGAAAAAAGTCTGTTTGAACAAAAACTGCCGCAGCACAGTTCCCACGACAATGCATCCTATTCTTTGTTAAGGATGAAGAGAAAGAATGGGAGAAGAGAGTCAAATAGCAAACTCTACTGATAGTACCTGATGAACCCCATTGCTAAAGAAAAAAAGGTACTCGAGCTTAATGCTGGCGAAAAATGGGAGTATGCGAGTGTTGATAAGCTTGTGCTCTGAATCCTGTCCTTTTACTTTAGTCGCGTCACATCGCTCACTGTTTTCCTTTCTCTCTTTGTTGCACACCATACAAAGAGAGCATTGTGGCTCGTGCTCTTGTTGTTGTATGTATATATGACCCTGCATATCTTTGAGGATGGTTATCCCTCCACCTGTAAGAGTTTTCTCTTTCTCCACCTTGCGAGCATATGAAAATTGACGGATGATATCACAAGCGCGCAGATTACCCATTTCAATTCCCGCTACGCCGCTTTCTTTTTTATTTTATTTTATTTTATTTTAATATATTTTATTTATTTTAATATATTTTATTTATTTTAATATATTTTATTTATTTTAATATATAGCCCGTTTCATTTGGTCGCGATACCTTATATTTTTTGAATACTTTCGAGTGTATTGGCAGCCAATTAGCTCGCTTGTTACGAGTATTGTTGCAAGTCCGTCACGTAGTGAGATGCCACCAGAACAATTCAATCATCGTTTTTAGATTAAAAATATAAGGTATCGTGACCAAATAAAATTGGCGATATTTTATTTATTTTAATATATTTTATTTATTTTAATATATTTTATTTTATTTTAATATATTTTATTTTATTTTATTTTATTTTATTTTTTTGCTTAACTCAGTGACCGCTCTCTGTACACAGCTCAGCCGAGAGATGACCCACACAGGACGCATCCGAGTCCAAGGCTGCGATTTCAAAGACAGTGAGGAGGAAAATGTCTTTATCCTCTTCCTACCACTGTACTTACGCTCACCCATATCACTCACAGCAAACAACAGGTACTTGGTTATGATGGGAAACTATCAAGTGCAAACATTTTATTTTCCTCAATCTTTGTGGATTGAACATAGCTCTAAGGAGTTGGCAGAAAAGAGCTATCCCTTCTCAAACAAGCTTGAAGACTCATTTGCGCGCGGAGCTTTGGATCCAATGATGACTTATTTCTCCCCAGGGGATGACTAGGCTTTTGCGCTTGATTGGGCTAACCGATCCTCGCTGGAGTACGGCGTATGGCAAGGGGATCCGCTGAAGCCAGATGTGACGATTCGAAAGTACATTTTTGAGACGGCTTATGCTGAGACCAAGTCGTCTAAGGACAAGCGAAGCCTACATTTATTTCTCGAAGACCAATGGAGCCTAATGAGGTTTGCCAAGGACACGATTGACGAGAACCTACGTGATGAACGGGTTGTGATGGAGATCCCTTGTCTGCAAGTGTTTGGTAAGTCTATGTGACTTATGTGGCAATAACGCGCCACACACCTTGACGAGATAAATTTTCGATATGAGGTTCTAGAACAAATCAATGCCATCTTATAGATAGATATGTAGTTACCCGCTACAGGTTCCTCTACCAGGGAATGAATAAATACCTCCATGGGTGTGGGCCCACATCTAATTCTTACTTACTTTTTCTACTGCTCACGATCTATCTACAAAATATATTTCAGTCTCGTTATCGCCGTCAGAGGTCATGATTTGAGTGGTCGTGGACATGTTCAGCCCGTTGGCATTGCCAAAGACCCCAGGAAGGCATAACAGCTCTGATTCTTTCTCGAAATAAGCCATCATATTCAGCCTTACTTTGAAGCTTTTGACCGTTATGGCAATTTCTTTGACTACTTTGTATATGTGGGGCGTTAGGCAAGTTAGTAAACAGATGACTAAAGGGATAAGAGGCACTGCGTGAACAAAGTGCTTTGCGAACGAGCATTGTCTACGGTACCATATCCGTATAAATATTAAATAAAACCCTGCTAATCCGACTTGCACCTACCTTTCGAGCTAATAGGGTGGTGCGGGTGGGACATACGTCCATGGCACCTATGACAATGTGAATAGGCCATCCTTCGTAGACCATTCAATAGAAAAAAGAGGTGAGTGGAAAGACAGAAAGTGCTGTATGTGGAAACTTATGCTTGAATGAGTAAAAGGAAGGAAAAGTCTATCTGGTGGAATGGAGACTTTGACTGAAACTGATCAAAGTGATTGAAGCTGATTAAAAAAAAAAAAAAAAAAACTCCATATACATATATTTATCATCATTCCCGTAGTAAACTCAGGTTACAGTATGGGAGATTTAGAATACGAACCGAAGCTCTATCAGCCTGCCTCGTTCAGCATCGGCTAAAGCAGAAATTGTCTAGTTGAAGGGGCGGAGATGGCTGGTTATTAATTGAATAAACGAAAGTTGTGTAACAGAATCATCGAAGAGAAAGGTTGGCACATTTTACTGCTCTGGCAACTAGCACTCCTACTATTGATTCCCCTGCTGTTGTTGTTTGTAATAGCTTAGAGAGACAAAGATTATTAAAACAAACCTTTTCAGGCTTAAGACTATATATATTAAAACAAGCCTTTTCAGGCTTAAGACTAAATATTGTCACATTGTTACTCTTTGAACTCTCTTGTTGTTTTGAATCCGGACATAAAAAGTGAAGATGTCGATGGTGTTTGCAGGATTGCCACTGCCGCTATTGCTGTTGCTGTTTTTGTTTCTGTTTTAAGTTTAGAGCTAGAATCCTTAGTTGCATAATGCTTCATACACGTACTTTCTCTTTTGGATGTTCCCTGCTCACGAAGTCTGGGCTTTGCGCTGACCAAAGCTGTGGAGTGCTTTACTGCATCAGTCTAGATAACGCGGTCAGGTTGTGAAGCAATGGATTTAACCGATGTCGATGGTAATAAGGCTGTTTGATGTTGTATCGTGAGAAGAATGTATATGGGCAGCAGTTGTGCCATTTCAATCCGATTTTGCAGTTGCCTCGTTATCTTTTGCCTGGGGCATAGAGTATGGTTCAGATTCCCATATTGATTCCCATATTGATTCCAATCTAGCTACTGGACCACGTATAAACTTTCTGTGAATTCGGTTAGGATTGCGGCTGTTATAATTGACTGACTGCATCCACGACGAGGACGATGACCAATCATTAGCTGTATGGGCATTTGACAACAGTGTTGGGGCTGCAGTTGTTATACTTGAATGACCGCGTCCACGACGAGGACGACGACGCGCCATTAGCTGTGTTGGCATTTAACGACGGTGGGACCATTCGGGTATAGCTTTCCATAATATTTCTAGCACGGAAGGCACTTGATCCAGAAGTAAAGGTTGTCAAGGCTTTAGTGGCAGCATCTTTGACGTCACTGTTATTGCCACCAATACTGTTGCTGATTAGGTTCGGTTGGGTCTTTTTGACAGTAACATGACGAGGAACAGGTCCTGAGGTGGCAACGGAGTGTGATACCATAATAATTGACGATGAGGTAGTCGCCATTGCTGCTATAGTTAAATCTATGATCGTACTTGCCGTGCTATACTGCTTGTCTTCTATTTTTCTTTGTCTTTGTTTCTTTTTATATCGTCGTTTCTTTGACAGCTGAGTGTTATGCTGAGTAAGAGGGTCAGAGGGCTCTTTGCGTTTCCTGATGGAATGTGGCGCCATAGTAGCTGGTGATGAGATAGCTGTTATTGTTGTTGTAATTAATGCTGTACTTGAGCTTGCCATGCTGCACTGGTTACTTTCTATTTCTTCTTGCCCTTGTTTCTTTTCATATCATCGTTTCTTTGGCAGCTGAGTGTCATGCTGGATAGGAGGGTTAGAGAGTTCTTTTCGTTTTGTGATGAAATGCATTTTTCTTTCTGGATAAGCAATGGGGAACTCAGTTGGAAAATAAAAAAGTGAAGGTATACTATTGCGATTAGCAATCATTTACATGGGTTATTACAATGGCTAATTTTTTACCTCTGGACCAACCGATTTGCGATTTCAAAGTATTGACTAAATAACGAATACATATTCAGCATCTTACTCTTTTGCGCCTTCTAGGGAGTTTATTCAAAAATAAAATAAAATAAAATAAAATAAAATAAAATAAAATAAAATATATTAAAATAAATAAAATATATTAAAATAAATAAAATATATTAAAATAAATAAAATATATTAAAATAAATAAAATATATTAAAATAAATAAAATATATTAAAATAAAATAAAATAAAATAAAAAAGAAAGCGGCGTAGCGGGAATTGAAATGGGTAATCTGCGCGCTTGTGATATCATCCGTCAATTTTCATATGCTCGCAAGGTGGAGAAAGAGAAAACTCTTACAGGTGGAGGGATAACCATCCTCAAAGATATGCAGGGTCATATATACATACAACAACAAGAGCACGAGCCACAATGCTCTCTTTGTATGGTGTGCAACAAAGAGAGAAAGGAAAACAGTGAGCGATGTGACGCGACTAAAGTAAAAGGACAGGATTCAGAGCACAAGCTTATCAACACTCGCATACTCCCATTTTTCGCCAGCATTAAGCTCGAGTACCTTTTTTTCTTTAGCAATGGGGTTCATCAGGTACTATCAGTAGAGTTTGCTATTTGACTCTCTTCTCCCATTCTTTCTCTTCATCCTTAACAAAGAATAGGATGCATTGTCGTGGGAACTGTGCTGCGGCAGTTTTTGTTCAAACAGACTTTTTTCCTTTTTTTCTTTTCCTTATTTTCCTTTTCAAAGAGCCAAAGAGATACGACACGTCATTTCCTCGATACGATCGTGTGCTTTTTACTGGTCGATATATAAACGTTGATACTTTGTTTCACCTTCAAATCTTAATGTATTCTACATTGTATTGCATGAAAATAAAAAAAAAAAATAAAAAAAAAAAAAAGGCGCAGAGGTATTCTTACGAATGTCATGTGTTATTTTCCACCACACTCTGGAAAAACGGCAAGCTGCCAAAGTACAGGTCCAACGACAGTCTATCCCATCTCTTGTTAGGAGTGAAGAAAGGAAATAGAAGAAGAGGATAAAGAAGATAATCTCCTTTATCAATAAGAGTAAACAAGCTCGAGAGCAATACAGTTCATGCTCTGGTTGTTTATAGACAGGTTTTCCTTATGAGTCTTGAGGACAGAGCATTATTCCCACTTTCAATCGTGAGAGTCTCTTCTTTATCATATGAAATATGACAGATGACATCAAAGACACGTATATTTATTTATTTTTTATCTTTTTATATTGTTGTTTATCTTTTTAAATTGTTGCTTATCTTTTATTGGTCGCTCTTGAGCGTACAGCAAGCAAGGTACTTAGTACAGCGCGCTTTTGAACACCAATCACTCCTCGGCCCTTCTCCTCTTCTTGCGCGAACGTAAATAATAATAATAAGAAACCAATATAAAAAGGACTAATTTTGACTCTCTTCTTTTTTCTTCTTTTCTCTTCTCTTTCTCCTCGGTCTCCTCGACCATCGGCCTCCTCAACCAAGACAAAAAGGTAAGCAACACTCCCTAAACAATCACTCTTACTGAAGTTCTCAACACTGTCACTCTGTGCTTCACTGTCCTTGTTCTGATTATTCTTTTTCTGCTTGTGTCTCTCTTTTCATTCCACGATTAGACTGCAACGACATGAAGCTGGCTAAAGCAACTAGGGCTTCATAACGCACAGCCGGGTTGCCACACTCAGGCGCCCATACTCGAACGGCTGCACTCCAACGAAAAGCCGTATTCAACTGGCTACGCTCCAGATGGCCACGCTCTAAATAGCCACGCTCTAAACGGCCTCATAGTCTACCGCAGTCGAACGACGGCCTTCTCCGCGGCCAAATAGCCAGCCCATCCCATCTCGGGTATGATGGCCAAGGCTTCACGAACAACACCAAATCATAGCGACCAGGCCACTTCTCATTGTGTGGTCTGGAAGGCACTGGTAACGAAAGCTCGGCGCCACCAGCAAAAGGACTAAACCAAAGAAAGGTCGAACAGTCCATCCAGGCAAAAAACAAACGCCTCCAGAAACAAATGCCTCAAAAAAAAAAAAAAAAAAAAACTAAATCAAAAAAAAAAAAGAAAAATCCAAAGAAAAAAAAGAAACCAAAAAAAAAAAAAAAAAAAAAAATCCAAAGAAAAGAAAAAGAAAAAAAAAAACCAAAGAAAAAAACCAAAAAAATAAACCAAAAAAATAAACCAAAAAAACCAAAGAAAAAAAAAATAACCCAAAGAAAAAACACAATTAAAAAAAAATTAACCAAAGAAAAAAAAACCAAAAAAAAAGACTCAATAAAAGCCCAAAAAAAGAAAAGTAAAAAAAAAGATCTCATATCAGAAAGAAGAAAAAAGAAAAAAAGAAAAAAGAAAAAAGAAAAAAAAAAGCCAATAAAAAACATAAGAAAGCCAAAAAAAAAAAAAAAAAAAAAAAAAAAAACTCTTACTAACACAACACAAAGCACTCTTTAACATAGCAACAATGCACATCCAAGGTGCAACAACCAATGCATATCTAAGGTAGGTCCGAACGGGCATGAGCCTGAGCTGGTTCTTTAACGAGCCTTGCGATGGCGGAGCCCTTCGGTCCAGAATGGGAAAGGGAATGGGGATGGGGATGGGAATGGGTTAATAAATGTGTGTGTGTGCGGGCGTTTGCAAGGCCATGGGGCCTGACCAACGGAGTACGATATGCCAGACCACCTCCACGTGGTGTGCTCCGGACAACATCTTGGAGAGTCTTTTCGATGGTGACAAAGAAAAGCGCTTTCCAAGGTGGCTAAGAGTCTGGCTTCTTGTAGCTTAGGATAGTAACCAGGTAAGCTAGATAGCTAGATAGCAAGCAATCTCTTAATAAAAAAGGATTAAAAAAATAAAAAACAAAACAACTGCAGTGAAGTGGTTCCTCTACAAGTGCATTCTCTAATGAGTAAGAACCTGTCAGACAGACATCCGCTATGCTCTACCAGTATTGTAGCCAACATCATTGAGTAGCATGCTTTTGAGCGATGATGCTCAAAGACAACAGTGTAAGCTTATTAAGGTACAAACATTTTTCTGGTTGTCCTCCAAAAGGTATCCGGCTCAGAAAAAAGTCTAGGAGACTTGATTCATGACTGAGCCCAGGATTTTTCACATGAGATCGCATTGTTATTATGGGATGACTTTGGGATATGAATGTCCAAAATTACAGTTTTTATTTATGTGAAGAGTCCGAGTCCTTCTGTACTCGATTCCTTTGCGTCGATTTGTTTCTGCTTCAACTTGATCTTTGCAGAACCACCGCCGAATTTGACATGCAGCTTATCATACTTCATCTTGTCTTGTGGTGAGACACTCGGCGAGACTTTGGTGAATGCGGTGTCAAAATCCGCCCTAGAGACCATGATTTGAGTCGACAATAGCTCGGCCACTGTGTTGTCCTCACCAATCAAGGCATCTTTGCCCATCATTGATGTGTTGGTAGAGTCTCCTACCGTGGTTTGTTGCCTGCGCTGATCGTCTAGCTTCTCACCGGCCTTACCCATGGCATTCAGCTTTTTCAATGTTGTTCTCAAAGCCGACATACCTGCCTCTCGAACTAATGAAGCCAAGTCTGCACCCGAAAAGTTTTCACAACGCTCATCAGATGCTACCATTTGAAGTTGCACATCAGAGGCTAAAGGCGTCTTTCGAGCCAATGTTTGCAGAATGTCGAGACGCTCTTCCATTGTTGGAAGCTGAACATATAGTAATTTGTCAAGACGCCCAGGACGAAGCATGGCAGGATCGATGATATCTGGTCGATTTGTTGCAGCAATTACGTAGACTGCTGATCGATTTTCCATACCATCCAGCTCCGTCAATAATGTGTTGACAACACGAGCAGAGGCTTCGGACTACAGTGAAGAAAAAACTTGTGTCAATGTTATGAATGACAATTTCTAGCAAATCGACTATTTTTTTTTTTTTTTTTTTTTTTTTTTACCTGAGAATCATCGCGCTTTGAACAAAGTGCGTCCAACTCGTCGAAAAAGATGACGCAGGGGGCAGATGCGCGAGCACGCGCAAAAACTTGTCGTACACCTCGTTCACTCTCACCTACATACTTGTTCAATAATTCGGGCCCTTTGACAGATATGAAATTTGTTCTAGATTCACTCGCTACAGCCTTCGCCAATAACGTCTTGCCGCATCCAGGAGGACCCCATAACAAGACACCAGCAGGGGTCTGGATGCCTACGGAAGCAAACAAAGCAGGGTATTTAATAGGTTCAACTACAGCCATGCGTAGTTCATCACGGACGTATTGTAGGGCTCCGATCTTGTCCCATGAGACATCAGGAACTGTAGCAAAGCCTTCACGTTTCGCGGATGGTTGAACCTTGGTCAGCGCAACTAAGAAATCCTCGTTAGTAATCACAAGTGGCTCGAGTTGCTCTGGAGTCAAGGGTTCCGGGTGTGATTGAAGAAAAGCGCTGATTGAATGTACAGGTTTGTGATGGCTATTATAGGGTTGCTTCTGGATTGTTGCTTTTGTAGTAGTTATAGTCGTGAATGTATTACTATCACTCGCTTGCGGTGCTGCTTCTCTTTTGAAACCATCAACTTGCATTTCATTTGTTGTACTAGACACTACCTCCGTCGATGTCTGTTGATCCATATCCATCATTTCTAATTCATCAGTGACATTTTCCAATACCTCGACCTCGGCAATTTTATCGACATTACCAATCTCCTGAAAAATACGCTTCAGAGCAACAACACCTGCTGCAGACGTCAATGCATTCAAATCAGCTCCCACATATCCTGGTGTAAGCTTGGCTAGCTCCTTGAAATCAAAATCTCCAGCTAATTTTAGTTTCGAAGACATGACACGAAGGATCCTAGCATGTTTAAAAAGGAAATTGATAAGCAAGCCTCCTGTTGGCTTTTACAAAAAGAGGAGTTTTTTTTTTTTTTTTTTGACCCTTTCGACTTATTTTCTTAGTTTGTAACATACTGCTCACGGGCATCTTGATCAGGAACTCCGATATTGATCTCTAAATCGAATCGGCCAGCACGTCGAAGAGCTGGATCCAACGAGTCTGGTCTATTAGTTGCGCCAATAATCATCACAGGCTTTCCATTAGTATTTTCCAGATTCAGGTCTAATGAGCCAAAAAGATATACATCTAATTAGAACTGGCCAATGGACATGCCTCTCAAGAAAAAAACAAAAAAAAAAAATTCTTGTCTTACCATCCATGCAAGTAAGTAGTTGTGCAACGATGCGACGCTCCATCTCTCTCTGTGCAGTCTCTCGTTTGGGTGTAATAGCGTCGATTTCATCGATAAACATCAAACAAGGTGCTAGCTCCTTGGCTTCTTCAAAGACTTCACGAATCTTTTTTTCAGATTCTCCTGACATTCCTGAGACAACTGAAGGGGCAGATATGGTGATAAAAGGCACTCCCAAACTTCCTGCGATCGCGTTTGCCATCATCGTTTTGCCTGTTCCTGGAGGTCCATGCAGCAAAATGCCTCGTGGAGGCTTGACCCCCATATGTGCATAGACTTCAGGATGTGCTAGGGGCATCATCACATACTCCTTGACTTTCTCAATAAAATGATCCACCCCTCCCAAGTCCTCGAGACGAACTTTGGGCGGAGCATGCTCAGCCCCCCCACGATTAGTACCCTCTGAATTTCCTGCCGATGCTCTGTACCGTTTGTTTCCTGGAGATTCTGAATGGGTGTTTGAGGAGGATTTGGGGCGCTTTTTTGAAATAGGTTTATTATTGCCTCCTGACATTGCGACCTCAGCTGCAACGTGAGCGAGTGCTGTCGGAGTCGCATCGACCGCCAAGGGGTCTAATGAATAAGTCGGTTGTTGTTGCGGTTGTTGTTGATGGTGTTGTTGTGGTACTAGATCTGTCAGAATTTTAGGTGTTTCTGTCCCATCAAGAAGAGGAGTTCCAGGCTCTGAAACCGAGGGCGAAGCAACTGTTGACGGGGCTGTAGAAGCAGGTGCAGATATGCTACAGTTATTTTGAGGGAGTTTCCACCGAGATGTGATGCTTTTGTTCATGCTATTGGTATTCTTGATCTCCATCATCACAACAGGTGACCCATCTGCTGTAGGAGGATACTCCTCTTCATCATCAGAGTCGTCCTCAGTATTGTCATAGTTCTCAGCCCCTAAAGTCATCCTGTATCTTTCCGATTGAATAATATCCAGAGCTGAGATAAAAGCAAATGGAGTCCGTAATTAATGGATTTATTCTTGATCGTTTACTTATTTTTTTTCCCCTTCCTTCTACCTCCTTTGATGATAATTGGAGCGGATTTTCTCTTTTCTAACCCATTATGATGTTTTGTTTCACGAACCTCGATCGACGGACTGAGCCAAGAGATCTTTCTTTGTGCGAGCATGTTCTCTCTTCTCTTTGAGTCGGTTCGTGAGTTCAATTGAGCTGATATCTGGGTTTTGTTCCTGCATCTTCATGATGGGCTCAATGATGCTATTGACAATGGAATTGCCAATGCGGCCCACCTTCTTGTTGCTCTTCCCCATGGTGTCGGGTTTTGTTTTTGTTTTTTTTTTTTTTTTTTTTTTTTTGCGGGAATGAATAAAGAGGGAGACAAATAATGAATGACAAAAAAAAAAAAAGTTGGTAGTCACAAAAAAGTAAACAAGCTACTCGTGATCCATAAAATAATCGCACAGACCAACAACATGGTCAACAGGTGTGCTGTGCTCCTGCTCCCATCGATAGTCAAATCTGCTATGCATATTTATGTAACCATGTGTGTGTTAAAAAAAACCAAGGCATAAATGTTTAGCATCTCCATACATGCAAAGTGATGGAATATCATAGCAATTTGTCTTGCTTATTTCGGGCCATTTTAATAAATAACGTAAATTGTGAAACAAACACATAACAATGTTGTAATTAAATAGCGTCCTTTAATGATGCAACCTTATTCTTTATCCCTTTCCCTCGCTTCTTCCTCCAATTTTCTTTTTCTTTGTTTCTTGTTTTATTGATATCTCGCACCATTCATCCTCTTTCACATTTCGTTTTTTATTATATATTTCAGCAAACACAGTTCACTCTCTCTACAAAAAAAAACCGCCTATCATGGCATCCATCCTTAAAGACCAGGCTAAAAAGGCCGTCGATGTTCTCTATGATCTCCTCTTCGATGCTCCTAAGTATGATCCTTTCCCTCCCGCATGTACCGACTCTTACTCTTTCGACGGAACTAAGAAATACTGTATTCGCCACAACAATGATGAATTGGACAACAATATCTACGACACTATTATGACCACCACTAGTATTGTTGATAATGCTGCCCCAACCTCAATCGGTAGTAAGCATCATGGCCATGGACAGTCAACATTTTTCTCCTTTCACCACCTCTTATTAGAGAAGTTACAGGCCATGACAAACCTAGAATATTGGCGTGAGTTCCATCCTTCGAATGCATGGAACAACTTTGTCTCACATATACGAATGGACATGCCAGATATTCAAGAAATGTGGGCTCGTTTTGCATTGGATCATTGGGCAGAACATCTAGGTCTCAAACCCCACATACTGTTCTTACTTTGCTTGCTGCCATTGGTGGTGATTTTCTTGACATTCTGTATCTACATGGGTCAAACTACGGACTATAATGGACTAAGGTCTGGACTCAAGACTAATTTGGATTCATCAAATAGTACTGAGGGCAAGGAGGATCAACAAGCACCTGCTTCTGCCTCCATCTCTTCTCCTTCGCCCTCAGAACAGGTCAGCGAAGGAAACAAAAGTCCTCCAAGATCAGAAAAGGATGAAGTCAAAGTCAAAGGCAAAGGTGAGAAAGACATGTTTACATGAACAGAATGCATTTTTTGTTTTCTTTAAACTATTGATTGATCAATAGTTTCCTGAACTTTTTTTTTTTTTTTTTTTTTTTTTTTTTTTCTTCCCTATTTTGGGTCCCTGCTTTCTGGCCTCTGAATTATCAGTAAAGAGCACCGACCACACCATGGAAAAATCAGGTTCTGATGATGCCGACACCAGTCAACGCGACTCACAGGGCTCCATGCTCGCTGCAACAGGCCCTCGTGGTGAAGACAAAATCAGCCATCAGACTCATCACCATCAAGATAGTCCTCATACGCAAGGTATGTAAGATCCTACATCAATATAGCTGGAAAAAAAAAAAAAAAAAAAAAAAAAAAAAAAAAGCTCTTAACCGCTTTATTGTTTATAATTTGCCCATGGTGTATGGTGCATGACAATTAAAGAAGGTATTATATAAACGATGAGAACCCATACCAAATTATGGGAAAGTAGATCAGAAAGCAAATAGAAGTCTAACTGAAACCCTTTTTTATTAATCATTTTTGGTCCCTTGACTGCAGAGCATGGAGAAAACGAGAGGGATACCCATGCTGGTGATGTTTCTACTGTCACTTGCAAGAATAACAAGAACAATAATAAAAAGGCGACAGGAAAGAATAAGAACAAGAATAAGAAAAAGTCCAAGATCAAAATTACGGAAAAATCGGTCTCGGATTCGTCAGCGCCTTCAAAGGAGCGCACCCCGTATGATGATTCCAAGGAGATGGAGCACAATCGTCATCAGTCCCATACATCACATCGCGAGCAATTAGAACAGCCTCAAGCCCTTAGTGCTAGCGCTAAACTCGATGATGCCATGGATGTTGATAGCCCTAACCAAGACCAAGGCATGCCTAGTCTTTCAAGCAAGATCATGGACTTTGCTCAGAGTAATAAAGTCGTAAAGAACTTGGATGGCCTCTCGGGAGGGGCTTTAGGTGCGACTTTTGCTGCCATGGCAGCATTGACCGACACAGCTGAGACAGCAAGTAATACCTTCAAGGAAAAAATCCCTGCTTCAATCCGTGGTAAGCGTGTGGGCATTTAATGCTATGATGGCCATCAGACCCATCATCCGTATTTCTTAATCGCCAGGCACTAACGAATAATGCTTTATAAAAAATGGAACCTCATCAATAGGTTTATCATCTAGAAGGCATTCTAAAGTTCCAACCATGACAGCTGAACAAGAGGCTACGTTTGGACAAACTTTTACGTTTGTCGTGGGAGAGCAATTAGAAAATGAAACCGATAACAATGCAGCATCCGACAACACAAAAAAAACCACCAACTGTCAAGCGAGTAGCACTAGAAGAAAAAACAGTCGAGATGTTATTGATGAACAAACCCATGAATCCAAGGAAGAATCGTCACCATCACCATCACAGCCCTTTGAACATACTACAGTCGCTAACCCTCCACGGCTTCGTCAACGCAGCCTCGATCATGATCAACAAGTCGCCACCGCTACCGCTGTTGCTACTGCTACAGCCAAGGCTCACTCAATGAAGGCTTCCAGTTCTGTTCATCATGAAGCAGGCAATTCATCTAGACCGTCTGGTGCGATCAAAAAGTATTCTGTTGAAGATATCTCCTGTGCTCGACCTCACTCCGCCTCCTCCCACTTAACTTACAACACAAAGATAAATGTAGGCGAAGGCGTTCATCACGGCTCTATCCTTCAATCTCGCAATCCCTTATTTTCGGCTTCGGATACCACCAGATCCGTCCCCAAATCTTCAGACCCTATAAAAAAGGTGAACAGATTTGCTGAATGGAAGCCCAAGAAGTACGACATTGAAGATATATCTGTTGGACCCAAAACTTACTTTGGCGCTCCGGCGGATCCGATCAGACGCGAGGATAGGGAGAAAAAACCAAGTCAGGATCATGATTCCCTCTTACAACACCATACTGACAACGTTAAAAATAGTAAGAAAGCCGGTGGAGAGGAAGGTGGAAGTAAAACGTCGGGTCAGTCTAAGGTGGATAAAAATGCAGAACCATCTATGGATCTCGGTAGTGCTAAGCTCTCTTCAGGTGGAAATAGTAAAATAAGCAAGCGGCATCAAAAGCTTGCTGCGAAAGCAGAAAAGACTGTTGATGCAGGTGGCTATAATGCATTCATGAACCTGCCCATTGGTGAGACTAGTTCCAGTCACACCAGCCGCACAAGCAACAACAGTAGGAACCACCACAATAAGCTCTCCATGGTTATGACTCCTCTTGACTCGGATTGGGTAGGCACAGAGGATAACACATCAGATACCAGCAGCGATATGCCAAACAGGGGTAGTGGTGGGACTGATTGGGGCTCAACTGTCAAAAAAGCTACACCATATGGTTCGCCTGAAAGCTCTTCGAAGATATGGCCATCACCATCCAACATGGGTCCTCGAGTGGAGGAGGCTGTGCATAAGATTGAATCTTTGGGTCAAGAGACGGGCCAAGGTATGAAGAACGCTGCCCAAAGAGCCGCAAGCGATTCTTTGAATATGGCCCAGGCCCTAAAACAACATCTTGAAACAACCACAGATACCGAGGGAAGCATCAAACATTCAAGCTCTTATGAGAAAGAGAAGAGCATGGCTGAGGTAAATGAATGATAATGATTACTCCTAGCGACACGAATAAAAACTGCGCTGTTTGAGCTCTAGATGTTTATCTTCTCACCGCCTAAATCTATTTAAAAATAGGACACTCCAAAGAAGTCCTTTGCAGATGCTGTACGAGCAGATATGGGAGCTGATTCTGCTTCACAGGACCCGACGAATTCCAATGAAAGCAACTCAAGAGCAAAGGAGGCATCAGTAAACACATTGAATACGACGATTGAGCAGAATAACAACAAACCTGCCGACCCCGAACCATCTAGTTCAAAAGCACCCGGCTCCGCCACGTCCAGTGTTGAAAATGTAGTTCAGGATACTAAAGGATCTACTGACCTTGCTCCCGTGCATGACCACGGAACCAAGGGCAATTGCGACGCAAAAAAACACAAGACAATGGTCGACAGAATCGTAGGATTCATCCCTACATTCGCGCAGAGACCTAAGGGCACTGCTTCGAGTGAGATCCAAGTCGCTTCAAAAAACGCAAAAGATGTCGCCAACAAAACCGCCGACGGTGCTAAAGGAGAGGCAAACCCCCCCAAAAAGCTTAAGGACACTGCCACTGCAATAACCCAGTCTACCACCAAGGAAAACAAAGGCGCCACCCAAAATACTGCAGTTGACACTAGTAAAACAGTTGATTCGGATACAGATGCAGCCTCGAATCCTGAAGATGCGGAAGTTGGGGGGGCCTACATTACTGTTAAGAGTATTAAGGATTCTACTCTCAAGCTTGCTGAAGAGACGAACGAGATCATCCAGACAGCTGTCAAGGATGCACAACAATCTACCCTTGATGCAGCTGTTGATACCAAGGAAGTCATGGATGCAATGGCTAGTTCTGTAGTTAAGGCTAAGGATGCTGTCATTGAAGGAACAGTAGCCAGTACTGCTGATGTCAGTGAGGCTGCTCATAAAGCGACAGTTGGCACAAAGAAGATGATTGACGAAAAAATTGATTCAGCTATTGAGACCAAGGATTTCATTGTTGGTAAGGCCCAAGACGCTGTCAAGGGCTCCGGAGATGCTATCCACAGGGCTTCGGGCATCACGAAAAAGATCGCCAATGATACAATCCTCTCTGTATCCGATGCAAAGGATGCTCTTGCTGATAAAGCCCACACCGCGGCCAAAAACGCAAATGATGCTATCCATGAAACTGTTATTGATGCCAGTCAAACTGTCGGTACCAAAATCGACTCGGTATTAAAGGCAGAAAATGTAGCCACAACAAGCGTTAAGGGCGCTATCAATCAAGCGGAAACTGCTGTTCAAAAGAAAGGCAGAAAGGCTAAAAAGACAAAGAGTACTGCCAACGGGTCTAAAGGCAATGCAAATGGGAAACCAAAGGCTGCGGTCGAGGATACTGCAGCAAACTGCAAAAATAAGGGCAAATCCACTGCGGACGCTGACAAGGCAACGTTGGCTCTTGCTGGAGAGGACGGTATCCCTACCAAGGACCAAACTGCTAGAGGACTTGGTCAAGGAGACAAAGCTAAAGAAAAAGAGACAGTCAGTATGGCTGCCGATAAAGGATCGAAGCAGGCAACCAAAAGCTCGTCTTCAACCGATACCTCTACTAATGCAACCGAAAGGCACCCTACTTCAGAGGCATCCCGAGACATACTCTCCTCTGCCAAGCACTTAGCTGGGGGGTTGGGAGATACCGCGGTCGAGATGTTGACCAACGGTGCTGAGATTGCAACTGAGTCTATGATCAACGCCAAGGACACCACGACCGCATATATGAATGCTGTCAAGAACGAACTCACGGGCGAGACTGCTACGGATAATAATAGTGTACTGAAAGATATTGAGAATGATGTTACGATCAAGCGGGAGTTCCATGGTATCAGTGCCTCTGATTCGTCCGCTGCCAAAAAAGCTAGCCAAGTCGCTAGGGAATACTATGAATCACTCGATAACCCTACGGCTTCTTCTGCCTCCACGACTGCAGCTTCGACCTCTTCCCCCAGTTCTTCCCATACACACACCGCAGAGAAAGGACACGACACTGCAGGAAGAAATCAATCGGCCTCAAAATGTGAGAGCGGGCATCGTACTAAGCGAGGCAGTAGAATAATCCTTGATCATGACAATTATGTATTCAGGAACGAGGATGGTGATGAGCTCTCTGCAGGAGAGGTGGATACCGATAACAGTGATGACGACGAGACTGGTGAAGATAATGCTTCTTCAGCCGACAGAGAAGGTGGCACCCATTACGATAACACTAACCGGGATCGTCAACGACGGGAAAGTCAAGATTTATCGTCAAAAGCGCCTGGTATCCTTGAATCTGCTAAAATGGCTGCGTCTGCAATGGCAGCCCGGGTGGCTGATGTCTCGTTCGAAAATCTGGATATTGCAAAGAACTCGCTCACAGATGCCGTCAGCACTGCGAAGAGCACTTTGACTGGAGCATGGAGCCCTGGAAGCGAAAGTAGAGCTGATGCAAAGTCAAATGAGCATGAAGATCAACAAGTATCGACATCATATCCTAAAATGGAGACACGCCTACCAGATTCGTCGGTTAAGGAAAATGATGGCCTTCTCAAGGGCAGAGGCAAGGAAATTGATGAAGAAAAAGTCAAAGGTAAAGAAGCGATCAAAGGAAAGGACGCTACTCCTACTGAAAGAGACACAGCTCCTGCTGAGAGGGACACAACTTCTGCTGAAAGGGACACTGTTCCTGCTGAAAGAGACACAACTTTTGCTGAAAAAGACACAGCATCTGCTGAAAAGGGCAAAACTTCTGCTGAAAAGGGCACAATTTTTGCTGAGAGGGACACAGGTTCTACTGAAAAGGGCACAACTTCTGCTGAAAGGGACACTGCTCCTGCTGAGAGGGACACAACTTCTGCTGAAAGGGACACTGTTCCTGCTGAAAGAGGCACAACTTTTGCTGAAAAAGACAGAGCATCTGCTGAAAAGGGCACAACTTCTGCTGAGAAGGGCACAACTTCTGCTGAAAAGGGCACAACTTCTGCTGAAAGAGACACAGCTTCTGCTGAAAGGGACACTACTGCGGAAAGGGACGCGAACTCGAGCTCGAACATGACCAACTTGAAGGAGAGTCGATCTGCTGCTACTTCTGCACCTCTTTATTCTGAAGTTGCAGCAACAAACATTTCGGAGACGGCCAACAATAATAAAGCCGGTTCCTCGAAGAAGAAACAAGATGTTCATCTTCCAAAGGCGGTCCAACGTTCTATTACCACAGCCCAGCCCGCAGCCCCCCTCACCAATTCAGCCCAGGTTTTTGCTCAGTCGCAGCAGTACTCACCAACACAGCCAATCGAGCCCCAAAGCTATTCTCGTCAACACTCGATCAATGAATCATCTAGTGAGTTAGGTGCCTCTTCACCTACATCTCGGAGCCCAATAGCTGCTCCTATAGGCCGAGGAGCTCTGAGTTACAGTGGCGCATTAAGGAAGAATTCAGTCAATGATGGCCATGCTGTCCGCATGGGTTTGGCAGACCCTCTTTCCTCGGATGATGACTCCTCTATTTATCGCTTTCAGTCTAGGTCTCCTTCGTTATATTCTTTACTTGAGAGTCAAAACTCCGTTCAAGAATATGGAAAGTCACCTCCAACAACCACAGTGTCATTCAAGCATGGTCAAGGACAATCAACTCGAGGATCAAGACCAGGATCACTGGCAGGATCTTTTACTGAGGAAATCAACTGGCCCTTTCGTCGCGGCAGTAGCGGCGTTGCACCAAATTATCCAAGCGACAAGAATGACAGGGACCAAGAGAGTATAAACGAAGAAAATGGGGATGGGGTTCAAATTATACCGGACAATCAACGCGACTATGGAATCAACATGTTATCATAAAAAATGTAAATAGCCACCCATCTCCCACGATATTCATCTCATTTTTGCCAGACAACGCCGGATTAAAATAAAATAAAACTCCACTAGCCATGATAAATATAAAATTTTGTTTATTCTTGATTTACAGATTTACATTGCAGGTGTACACAGTCTCTTGATCTTCAAAATATTATTCCGCCTTTTTTTTGTTGTTGGAAACTATATAGAGAATCTAGACGAGGCCGGTGTCGAAATGTTAGGGAGAAAACATACGGAATGGGGATGTTGACGCTCTCGGACTCTATATCTTCGTTATCAACTGGTATTCAAATTAACACCATACGAGCCTCCCTTATTGGGGAATTAAATAGAGATAAAATCAGAAAATACATTGTTAAAAATTTCCAATTCCTACTAGAGATAAATGATTTTCAAACGTACTTGACTAAGGACTAAAGCTTTTGTCCTTGCTGGGAAACCTTTTCGTAATACCCTTATGGGAGTGTTGAGCGGGAACTCTTTTGAGCGATATCTGAAGGCAATAGTCTTGTTGATGTTGAGATAGGTCTATGGGCACAGTATACAATAACAACAACAAAAACTTTGCTCATGCTGCAAATGAACAAGATCGACCAAAAAAAAGCAAAGAAAAGAAAAAAAAGGATGTTTTGGGAAATTCTATTTTGTTTTCTTTCTATTGATCTATTCATTTATTTTGAACCAGCAAAACCGAGATAATCAAGATTGCCCCGGCTAAAAGTCTGATACTCTTCAGTTTCTCTCCAAGCCTTTAAAGAAGGAATCGAATCAACAGTCTCCTGGACCTTCAAGAGGGCGGGGGTCTTCTCAGGCGAGATCAAACCTTCCTTCGCGGAAATATATTGCAAAAGAGGAATCCAGTATGCAACTTTAATATCAGCTAAAGTCAACTTGTTGCCGACCAAATGACCATTGGCTCCATTGTCTTGCAAATGACGTTCATGATACTTGATCCAGTTGGAGATAGGGCCCTCGACCAATTGCTTCCTAACCTTCTCCTGAGCCTCCTTATCGTCGTCTGCGGAGTAATAGCGCGCAATAACCTGACCGGTTACGGCATTGGCTTGAGAGAGATATGTGTTGATGATAACCTCTTCTAATGCATTAGAGCCATAGAGATCAAATTTGCGAGCCAAATAACGTTCAATTGAATCTGACTCTGCAATTTGGATTACAGTCTTGCCATCAGCTGAAATCTCCTTCAGTATAGGTACGGTCCCGAATGGGGCCTTGGCCTTATCCTCCTTTTCCCAGTTCTCACCAGGAAGGACATTAGTAAATTTGGCACCAGAAGCAGCGAGGATGACACGGGTGGTTCCACCCATGCTATGGATGTCAAAATAGTGCACTTCAAATGTGCTATCCTTCTTGAGACTGAGGGCCTGAAATTCAGCAGCCTTAGAAAGATCGAAGAACTCGTGAATCATTTTGAGAAAAAGCTTTCTTGTTGTTTGTTATTGGGATTTTTTTTTTTAAAAAAAAAAAAAAAAAAAAAAAAAAAGTTGTTAATTTTGTTAGAGGAATATGGAATGTTACATTGATGAGGAAATAAAAGAAATGGAAAGTCCGTCTTTTATATGTGAGAATTTTGATTCTACAAGGGAGGAACTAAATAAAAATCTATCCAGGCGAGGATTCCATTTTGTGGGGCTGTAAACAGCCTAAAACAAAGGAGGACATATACATTTTTAGCTTTTTTACTTAAGCATCATTTTAATCTGAAGTTGTTGGCTTCTACATTATGCCATGCCATTAGTAGTAAGTAGGATTAGTCAATGATCCCTTCTATAAAACAAAACAAATTGAAATGGAAAGAGGGATTAAAGGCATCAAATATGATGCCCTTAAAATACAGAAATTATGGAAAATCGATCTTTTCATCTTACTCAACATACATGATAGTTTAGTAATGGCATTTTGGCCCTTTTATTACTCAGTTTAATAAAAGGGTATCGGAGGTTTGCACAATCTTTTTTTTCAGCAGCTTTAAGAGAGCAATACAAAGATGCAGTGAAATGTAAAGGTCTGGAATGGAAGCGTATATTTTACTCTTTTGGGAGTGTGTACAAGAGATCTTCGTACCTAAAGGGTCTACCTGTAACGCTCATGATATTAACCTACTCCGCATGTGAAAGTAGATGTTTCTGTTGGTTAAAGACAACTGTGAGGCGTCTTTTCTTCAATAATGTTTGCCCTATTTTTGTCTCTTATTTCTTTTTATCTTGCACGCGGCAGGGCAATTTAAGATAAGAAATGAATCCTCAATCACCGCCCTTTTATTGGACCCCGAAAGCTCCTCCAGGAATTTATCCTGGTAACACTTCGTTACCGTTTCCCATTCTGAGCGAGTTGGAAAGCAATATTGTGAACCAATTTAGTCATCGACTCTTCGCTACAACTTCCACCATAGCAAAATATTCGAAAATAGTGATAAAGTTATATAACACTATAAGAGAATTGATATTTCACAAAATCTATCCAGGTTTTTAGCCAAAGCTCCATAGACTTTTTTTTGCTTTATTCGACATTGAACCCTTGAGGGAGAGATTGGTATAACTGCGGCGTATCAAGATACTGAGTGGTGCAGTGATGAGCTTTTTCCCTAGTGAAATCACTTACTGACATCAATATTAAGCGATAAAAACTGCGCAACTACCCGAGAGTGCTGCGTAGACGTCATAGCCAACAGAGGAATTTTATCACTCACCATGTACAGATAATTATTGGAGGCTTTACTAATTTATCTGCTTCAGCCCATCATTATTCCGCAAATCTTAACCTTCATGCCTTCAAATTACACAAACATGGTAGTGTGGTCCCGGTCATTTGGTCATGCACATATTCTAAAATGTATAATTATTGAATTGATTTGGCCGGCGCAAGATTTTAAATAATCAAGTGAATTGGTGGCCAAATTCAGGCACTGATTGAATACCTAGATCACATTCAATGTGGCACGTTTTTCTTGGAGCCAATTCAATCATTGTATTTTTACAATATATGGATGGCCAAATGACGAGAACTGTATGACATCTGATAATATTTGTGTAATCCAAAGCTGCTTAACAAGACTCTTCACCGTGGGGGTGCTGTGAACCCCCTTCTTCTTGCCATGTTTGGAGAATAAGGCTGTTGCGGCTAAACTCAATAGGTACTGACTTGCCACCTGTCATTTGTTGTCTCATTTCCACACTGGTCCCCATTTGATTACGACCATATTCTAAAAATTATAATTCTATATGGGTTGGTGGCAAATCGGCTACCAATTCAATAAAATATTTAATCAAACTTTAATCCGAACGTTTGCTTCGCCAACCCCTTGATAAATACTTTTTTCGCCGCCAATTTTTTCCTTTCTTTCCCAGTAACAGCCTGCCTCTCTCTTTTTACCTCTTATACCATCGGTTTCCCCTCATTGCTTTTTTACCCACAACTCATTCGCTTTCTATTCGTTTCCTATTCACATGGTCAACGGTATTTCCATATGTGCCACAGTTGGGAGTGCCGCAGTAACGATGAAAGAATAATATGAGAGGCACATGGAGAGCGTGTAGCGTGTAGCGTGTAGCGTGAGCATGATTTATTCAATTTTATTGATTTCATTGGATAGAATTTGAGTGTTGGCATTACGCGTCAGTAACACAAAAACCACTGGGGAGGTTTCGGATGTGCACATTTTTGGCTTGGAGCACATCGGTTTAATTTACTGCATTCATTCGCCGCAAATGCCTCATGTATATACATGTATAATTTCTGCTTCGTCAAATCTTATAGATATTCCTTTTCATTCCTCTCTTTGTTTTTCCTTCTCTCTTTTCAATTTTCTTGCCACCAATTCGTCTTTATTAATTTTTACCAGGCACAAATCATCTATAACCTATCCACATTCATCTTTAATACATTTCTTCCCCCAATTCAAAATGGACTTTTATGCAACCACTGTGATCGGAGGTGCCGCAACCATGTTACCCAGATTAATTAATGGTGACACGAAGAAAGAAAGAAATGTCGAAGATGCACGAATGGAACTTCAGATGCAAGGAGAACGGATTCTAGCCTTAGCTCCATGGGTGGATGACGATTCATTTAAGCTGTTGTTAACTCTCATTCAGAGACGAAACCGTATTGTAAAGGATATCGACAAAAAAGAGTCCGTGGTTTAAGCAATGGAAGAAACAAGAGGCCTCTTTCACTAAAATCCGGGATGATATTGCGGGAATTAACGTGGCTTTAGCAATCATATCACATTATGGTCTTCGTCAAGCATCCGAGTAAGTTGCCATTCGTCAGTTCGGTTATATTATGATTACTTGTCACTAACATCGTCTATTTTTCCGTAGAATGGTCAATCCGCCCGGCCTGACAAGGATGTCCTGGCCTTTGGTATCAAGGTTATCCTTACCGATCCCAGCAGCACTCTCCGCAAACTCTCTTAGACCATTGACATCAAGATTATCCTTAATGATCCCAAGAGGGCTCTCCGCGAACTCTAGGGTGTCTTTAGCAATTATGAGTCCTAGAACACCTTCGACGATGGAGAACGTCGTGCTCCAGCCCAGACGACCAACAACCACACAGTTCGCCAGGCACCGAAGGCTTGGCGCGACTCTAAAGGAGAGGCGACGTAAGATTGTTGTTTTGGACCGCCACTTCAAGGAGCCGGAAGGATCGCAAGATGGGCTATAGAGATAACTACCGAAAAAAAAAAAATCAATAAAAGTTGACTGTGAAGAGGAATACTATATTAGGCAAGCTCAAGCTTGGATCTGTCTGTGTAAATAGTAGGTAATACTTGGTTGATAATCGATAGCGCTCAGTGAAGCCAGCAAAGGCGTTTTACTGCGGAGCCCCCATGCTACTTTCCACAGGTTAGCTGATTTGGATTCATAAACAAAAGGTTGGAGAATATATGGTTCAAAGCCATGATTGCTCCATGCCAAATGTCGTCATTTACTTTTCCGTCAAAAGCGATGATTTAATTTACTTGGAGCTGAAGTTGACTGAACATGTTCATTTGTGCAAAATACATAGAGTCCTCGCCAGAAAGTCATGAACTGGATATATTTTAAAATACTCAATTTGAAATATTATTTGCAAAAACACAATTTTACGTAAAAGCACATATTTTTTTTTGAATTAGATACAATAGAAAAAAAAAAATTCTCAAAATTCTTGACGTCCAAAAATGGAAGTATTCTATTCAATTTAAATGCCTGAAAAATATATCCAGTTCATGACTTTCTGGCGAGGACTCTTTACCTCCCTCGCTGTTGTGAGAATGATGAGAAAGGAAAAAATTTTTGTGGACTAAAAAATAAATAAAATAAAAAATGGTGGTCCCCGAATAGGGAATGATCTTTTTAAAAAAACGATTTCAATAGTCCTAATCAAGAACAAAGAAAGCACATGTACATATCCATGAGTCCTGCATGTCTCCCCCTTGGAAGGACTTAGGGTCCTGGTGAGTTTTTTTTTTTTTTTTTTTTTTTTCTTTTTGCATGGGAACCGTTTTGACATTATACTATTTGCTTGTACTCTAAACCAAAATATGCGATCGGGCTCAAATCTGTAAAAATCGTCTTCGCCAAACTCATTCTCGAGAGATATTTGGTAACGCCACTGTTCCTTCTCATTCTTCTCAATCCCAACTTTCTTTTCTCTCTTTGATTTCTCTTACTACCAGCTCGTCCCTATTAACTGTTCTCACTTTCGGCTCGTACCTAATCTATCTATTTTCATCTGGTTTGCCTCCCCCCCTCTCCCAAGTCAAAATGGATAGCAATTCAAGCACCGTTGAGAAGATAATCGAAGACATGCGAGCAGATTTAAACTGGCAGAAAGAGGAGGCTCGAGCCTTGGATGTCTCCCTGGCGAAGAGCGGTCACTCTCGCACTTCCTCCAACGCTTTCCATGACATGTTAAGTCTGATCTTGAGCGAAACAGGCCGTATTACAAAGGACGTCGATAATGCGGCGTTGGTTATAGAGAAAGACAAAAGCCCATTTCGGAGTCTATTGGGGATGAAAGCGGACGTTCCTTTTAATAGAATCCGGGATGAGATTACAGCTAATAACATGGCTCTAATGGTCTTTTTAAGATATCATCATGGGGGTCTACTATCCCGGTAAGTTGCTATTCGCTGGTTTGGCTATGCTGTGGGGATTGGCTACTAATTATGCACTTCTTGCTGCCTTTTTTTTTTTTTTTTTTTTTTTTTTTTTGCAGAAATAAGAAGCCCATCTTGACAGAGCCGGTTGGACCTAAGTCAGAAAGGTTGTCCAGACTGATCTCAGAAGAAGCTTCCGAGTCCCAATCGGCAGAACCAAGGAACCCACAGAGCAATGGAGGCGATAGAAACCTACATCGCAATGGAGGTGGAAGAAACCCAGAGGGAATTGGAAGCGGAACGATTAGTCCACCACAACGAATGCCGCCCGAAGTGATTACTGAATTAACAGCTTATTTGGAATCGAGGAAATTAAGCCAACTGGAAGAATGAGCTATTGAGCATATTCAGCGACTTTAAATAATTACTAGGGAAAATATATATATGAGTATATTATTCTATAAAAAAAAGATAAAAGGGGTTGATAGTGAAGAGGGATCTTATGTGAAGGCAGGATTGTTCGCGTTCATACTCTGTCTCGTCTCAATTGTGGAGGAATTTTCCATAGTCGCAGGGATTGTAGCTTTACAGATGTGTCTTGCTTATTCTTTCTCGAGTCCCCCAGTCAATTTTTGCAGACAGAATTCACCACGATCAAGGAATCCCCAAGTAAAAGATAGTGAATAGATCTTGGTACAGAAGAATCGTGTACCACTACGCCCAAAGTGCTCGGAAGCATTTTCTTGTACGGAAACAATCCCTCCTCTTCGTGCACTGTTGTATATGACTGCAATATTCAGCTAGTGATCAGTAATGAAATTGTCTTCAAGCAAACCCCTTTTTCTGATGTCTCTCGTCCCAGTATCAATCACAAGGCCGATGACTGCTGGGAATAATACCTTGGACATCGGAAAACAAGATAAATTGTTGAAGGTGTACCTGAAAGAGCTCTGATCTATACAGTTGACCAGACTAAAAAAAGGTTGGAGGATAGAGAAAAGGTATGAGAGTGGGAAAATAGATTGACATGAATCAACTGGCCGTTTTTTTTTTTTCTTTTCGCGAATGGATTAGTCCAAGGTTCCTAAAGTTTTTGATTGGTGATACCTTCATTTTATTAATACTTTTCAATATTTTATTTCGACTTCTACATTGTCAGTGTGTGTTCAGCTGGAATATTTCTAATCCTTCAACTTCAAGAAGGTATTGATACCGCTTGTAAGTGTGGTAATCTCGGCTTCATAGTCCTTCAACTTGGCAGCGTTCATCTCTCGAATCTCTGCCTTGACCTTGGTCAAGTATGTGGGGTCCTGAGTCTTCTTAAATAGGTCATCATGTGCCTTCTGGACCTTGGCTAGTTTCTTCTCGATCTTTTGGACCTCCGCATCCACGTCAACCATACCCTTGACCAATAAGTAGACAGAGCATCCCTCCTGAACAGTCTGGGAAGCACATCCTTCAGGGATAGCAGCAGCATCTGTCACGACCTTGCAGGATTTACTACCCTTCGCCAACGTCACAATGCCATCTTCTTCTGACAACAACAGCTTAGCAATCTCAGCTGATCCATGAATAAAGATTTGACCACCCTTGGTCAGGTTGTAATCAGCCATCAGTGAACGAGCGCTACGGACAACGGCAAAGACCAATTCAAAGTCGGCATCGGCCTTTTCGTCCACATACGAGGGGTTGTGAACGGGGAAAGGAGACTTGACGATCGTAGGGATCTTGTCACCATCGCGACGAGGAAGACGCTGATACAACTCTTCGGTCAAGAAAGGCATGAAAGGGTGCAGCATTCTCAAGGCCGCCTCCAAGCAGGTATAGAGAGTATCCTGAGCAGAGCGCTTAGCAACTTGGTCCGAACCCTCAGTGATGGGTTTAATGATCTCAATATAGACATCACAGAGTTCGTACAACCAGAACTTGTAGACCGCATCCGTAGCCTTCATGAAATTACGTTGACTGAGCTGCTCATTCAACTCCACGGCAGCAACATTGAGCTTGTTGAGAATCCAGCGCTCTGCTAAGCTCTCGCGACCAGATTTGGCTGCAGTGGCATTGGGCAAGAAGCCTTCCTCAAACTTTAAGAGTGCGAACCGAGTAGCGTTCCAGAGCTTGTTACAGAATTTGCGGTAACCATCAACACGCAAGATGTCTAAATTGATATCTCTACCAAAGGCAGAGTAGGCACTCAGGCAGAAACGGAGAGCGTCTGTTCCGCACTCGGGAATACCGTTGGGGAAGTCCATCTTTTGACCCTGCTCAGCCTTGGCAATCTCGCGAGGATCCAAGTTTCCGATACGCAACTTATCATGGAGGGCTTGGAGAGAAATACCCTCGATAACGTCAATGGGATCGATGACATTACCTAAAGACTTTGACATCTTGCGACCCTGGGCATCACGAACAAGAGCGTGGCAGTACACTTCTGAGAAAGGGACCTCGCCAGTCATCTTGATACCAAGCATGATCATACGAGCGACCCAGAAGAACAAAATATCCCAGCCGGTCTCAAGCATAGAGGTAGGATAGAATTTCTTGAAATCCTCCGTCATCTCAGGCCAGCCCATGATGGAGAAGGGCCAGAGACCTGATGAGAACCAAGTGTCGAGAACATCGGGGTCCTGCTCCAATGTAAACTTCTTGCCAGGGAACTTCTTCTCAGCATTCTCACGTGCAGCCTGTTCAGAGCGTCCAGAGACCCAGAACTGGCCATCAGCAAAGTCCTGCTCCACACCTTCGAAGCGCACAAAGTAGGCAGGGATACGATGACCCCACCAGATCTGACGGGAGATGCACCAGTCATTGATATTCTCCATCCAGCGATAGAACTCTTTTTCTGAGGTCTGAGGTCTGATCACCACCTTGCCATCTTTGACGGCCTGAAGAGCGTCAGCAGCCATGTCCTTGCAGTTAACCCACCATTGGGGCTTCATTAAAGGCTCAATGATATCACGAGTCTTGGAGCAGAGAGGAACAGTCATGGCATTGTCAACAGTGTCAACATAGAGACCCTTCTCCTTAAGCGCCTTCAGAACAGCAACACGAGCATGGAAACGCTTCATTCCAGAGAATTCACCGCAGTTGTTGTTGAGAGTGCCGTCATCGTTCAGAATGTTGATAAACTCAAGATTGTGACGTTTTCCAACCTCATAGTCGTTGAAATCGTGAGCAGGAGTAATCTTAACAGCTCCAGTACCGAAGGCCATGTCAACAACGATGTCATCCAAGACAATAGGGATCCTACGCCCAGAGAAGGGGTGAATAACATATTTGCCATGGAGGTGCTTGTAGCGCTCGTCCTGTGGATGAATGGCAACAGCAGTATCACCAATCATGGTCTCAATACGAGTGGTGGCGACGACAATCTTCTCATCCGAGTTCTCAACAGGATAAGCGAACGAAATCAAAACACCAAACTCAAACTTCTCGTTGGGCTCATATCCAGGAACATTCAAAAAGGTGCGTCCAGTCAGTTCCTTATTGTCGACCTCCAAGTTGGAAAGGGCAGTGTTGAGCTCTGAGCACCAGTTGACAAGACGGGTGGCGCGGTAGATAGTACCCTCCTCATGTAGTCTACAGAAAGCCTCAGTGACAGCATGCGAGAGCTTATCACTCAGGGTGAAAGCCTCACGAGACCAGTCATTAGAGGCTCCAAGGCGTCTGATTTGATTATGAATACGTGCCTGGAAAGTATCCTTCCATTCCCAAACTTTCTTCACAAAAGCTTCGCGTCCAATATCGTGGCGTGTCTTCTTGCTCTCCTTCCAGAGTTGCTTTTCGACAACCGATTGGGTTGAAATGCCTGCATGGTCGGTACCAGGATTGAACAAGACAGTCTTACCCAACATCCGATTCCTATTTGGTGGAAGTCAATACATATAACCATGAATAACAAATCCAGTATGTCCTTGACACCTTGGTAATAAATTTATCCTTTTTTATCTTTTTATCACATTGTTACTTACCAGCGGCAAAGACCATCTTGGATAGTGATAGCTAAAGCGTGTCCAGTGTGCAAGCTTCCAGTGATATTGGGTGGAGGGGCAGGGATGACAAAGACACCCTCTTCCTTGATTTTTCCATCAGCAGTCAATTCAGGCTCAAAGAAACGTTCCTTCTCCCACCAGTCATTCCATGCAGCCTCAACGGCCCTGGGGTTGTAAGTGGCAGCCATCGGCTGAGACATGTCCTTCTTTTGACCCTTGGGAGTTGTGTTCACAAACTCAGGCACAGGAGCAGCAGCAGGAGTAGAAGCAGTGACTTTCTCAATCTTGGTCTTTCCCTTGACAGGAGTGGCAGCAGTCTTTTCTGCAGCAGCCTATTAAAGTATTTTCGGAAATTTAATACTGTGCGCTTTTAAAATAAGTCATCAATTGCATACTTTTTTAATCTGCCCTATTGTCTACAATTTACCTTCTGCTTCGCCAGGAATTTTTCCATCTTTGCAAGACGCTTGGCCTCATTCTTGTCAGCGTTCTTTGACTTCTCAACAGGAGCCTCTGCGTTAGCAGCAGCAGCAGCAGCAGGGGGCACAGCAGTAGCGTTGTTGTCGGCCATTGTTTAAAACCTCGATTATCTTTTGGCTGTAGTAGTAGTTATGGTAATAGCAGTGATGATAGTTGATATTTCGGTATTGTTGGTGTCGTTGTAATAAGTAAAAGTATGCAGCAAAAAAAAAAATAAATAAATAAGAAAAGAATGAGTTCAGTCAAGAGTTTTTTTTGTGAAAAGCAATCGTGGGAAAATAGAGAGGAAGCAGTGCCATGTATGAGCCTTTTTTATATGAAGCAAACTTTTAAGAGACAATTCCATTCGACCATGCACTAATGCTGATGCCATGACTCACCGAAACAAAGGACGAGCAAGGGAGGAAGAACGAACAGAGACTTCAAGTGTCTCGACTCAGTCATATTACAAGGTAAACAATATCACGTGGTTCGCTACGCCACTTCCCCCCTTCCCCCACACTTATATTGGTGGCGAAGCTAATAACAAAATAAATTCTGTGGCAATGTCTCAAGAGATGAGTAAATTGACAGTGTCAAAATCCAGTTGACTCATTTTACACATTGTTATTGCTTTATTAAGAAAAGAATGGAATCGAGCTATTAAATAGCATTGGCTACCTTAACTGATGGCCCATATCCTGTATTAATAGATGCTCGTGCTTTAACCCCAGTGGGAATAGAATGACCATTCGGGCTAAATCCACCTCCGTTATTTGCTCCAGCTTCCCCCTCGCCTGCTTGATTGGCAGTACTATTACTAGCCGGCGCCGCATTTCCATAGCGCCCTTTCATGATCCACATCATGTATGCATCATAACGGGCTTTAGTACCTGAACTGGCCCCCCAGTAAGGATTGAGGCTAGTCTGCCCCACAGTGTAGAGAGTCAGCTTAGGCAACTCAACATGGGCATGGTATAAGATCATTTCGGATTCGCTGGGCGGTTTGATGGTCACCTGCGGAGTTGCCAGCAAGATGGGTGGGTCCGGCAGGTAATCCGAGATATTATAACGATCTTCCTCCTCAGTGCCCTGTTCAGCATGCTGACATTCTGACTGCTGTTGTTGAGGTTGAGAGCTTGAGCCATCGACATCCGTAGGAAATGAAATGACTGTTGTTTGTCCAGATGACTCTGCTGAAAGAGGGGACAGCGCGGTAGGCGACGGATTTGAGGCTCCATTGTCATTGAAAACATTACTAGTCTGCTTTTCATTAATTTTTGAAGTCGTTGAAATGTCCGTTTGAAGAGGTTTCTCGACTCTTTTGGTGCTAGCGCGTAATATCGCATAGTAATACTCATCCTCTTCATTAAGTTCAGTCGTTCCGATGGTTGTTGTTGAAGTCGATGATCCTCCGCGTTGAAGCCTGCTCAGGGTTGGCCTTGTTGTTGGCATTGAGTTGAAGGACGATAAGGACGTATTTGGATACTTGCTATCAACATAATCCCCAGATGAATCTTGTTGCATCGGGCTGGTTCTGCTTGAGAATGATTCATGCTTAGGTATTGTAGCTGTAGTAGTGTTGTATGGGGTACCAAGAAGCCAGCTATTCTTATGGCGCCCTTGACCGGATGCATTTCCTTTGGTTGAGACAGAGTCGAACCTGATCGATTTGAATTGCTTGGCATAGCTGTTAATAATAAAAATGATTAACAGTAGCGATGATAGAAGGGGGTGTTAGTGGTTTTGCACTATAATGAAGTTCCATCAAGTTAATATAGCTATGTGTTTAGTATCAGTACCGTTTGTACTCATTAAGCTCATGGGGTGATACATGGGACTTCAGTGATCGTCTTACAATCTCCTCCATAGGTGACCGCCCCTTGGCTCCAACCTCAGTAGAGGCTACAGTTGAGGCTCCGTCTTTGTGAATATCTTCAGCCCCAGAAGCTCCCTTTTCATCCACCAGATCTGACGGCTTGTCCGATTTAGGTACAAAGGACGTGTCATGAATTGCATATTTGGGCAGATTCGTTGAGACATTCTTCGTAAGCTCAAATACTTTTTCTTTGGACAATGGGACATGTGCCGGTAAGCGGACTTTTTTAACTTGACCCTGCTGTTGATCGCGCGCCCGGAGAGCCGCTGCCGTCGCTGATTTTTCGTCAAACTCATGGGTTATTGATGATGGAAAGGAAGTGATGGACAGACGGCTCCCACGAGCATGTCGTGCAACGCCATCCTTGTGCTCATGGCTGTGACCTTTTTCTTGGAATGTAGGGTCATCGTCCAAGCTTGAGATAATTCCCTTTCTACGCCCACTGCTCACAGGCAACGTTTTAGAGCCAGCTTTAGCATTTTTGTTTTTGTCGCTGCTTCCAGTAAGCCAGCCGAGCATCGACCTCCTTTCAGATTTCGCAGCAGCCTTTGCACTATGGTAATATTATTCGAATATTAAACTCCGTCTAAAAAAAAAAAAAAAAAAAAAAAAAAAATTGGTTGCAATGCTTCTACATGAGGCACATACTTAATCTCCGTTTGCGACGGGGGGTTATGGATCTGGCGCACTTCGAATGGACTTTGTTCTGATGTATTCTTGATGCTAATATATTATTGCGATAGGTCCATCTTAATTATGAGGCTTTCAGATGAATGGTGCATCGGCTGTAAAAGAGAACTAAAAACGATCCTATATCTTACTTTGATGGCATAAGTCGACTTGTCGAGGTCATGTTGTATGCAAACAGCAACTGAAAAGACGTTAGCGCCTTTGGCCGATAATATTCGTCCCAATACTCTTCCCATTCTATCGATACAGGATCGCCATTGAAATTATCACAGGACTCGACTCCATCATATACAAGCTTTTCTCCTTTTGATAATAATGCTGAAGAACTTGATCTGTCTCCATAGCCTATAAATGACGAGGAAAGCGATGATCTTGATGCAGACGCCCTCAAGCGTGGATGCTGGTATCGTTGCATGGACAACACTGAAGACGATGGCGACTTTGGTTTACTTTCCTCTGAGATCTGTGGATTAACGTGCATAACAAGGGGTGGAACGACTCGCTCGCTGAAATCTAGTAAGCCTTCATCTTGCAGTGAAGTCTGCTCCGAGCTTAGTGACTCTCTTTTGCCTTGCGAGCCCAGGAGAGAAAGGGTTGGATCCAGCTTTGTAATTTGCGTAATGGGTTCAGATTCATCCTCCTGTTGCAGCGATCCAGAAAATCCGACAGTAGAATTTACAGTATCAATACGACTATCCTTCTCAGATGTTTGTTTGGTATTTCCAGAGAGGTTTCCTTCTAGTTCAGATTGGGGTGCTTTGATTTTCTGATAATCAGGGAGACCCCCTGATTCAGTGGAATCATAGCCAACGGTGTTGTTTTGATCTGATTCCATGAAAGGCTCATATTGATCATCAACATATCCGTCGTTATATTCATCTGCATATTCTGGGAAATAATCATACCCAGAATCATATTCATAAGTATGATCATGAGTTATTTGAAAGCTCTTTCGTGCCAAGACATCCTGAGGAAGTAATGCATCAGGACTCCACCATCTGATATAGCACTTCCGAATGCTTTTAAGCTCAGGAACGGTAGTATTGTGAAGATGGTAGTCTCCCGGGAGCTCCCATAACGCAGGGCCAACGCCTTTCTGAACACGATAGTTCCCCAAGAATAAGTTCATAGCATCCTGTTTTTCCGCATCTAAAAAATAGAATTGAAAAATATCTATGAAAATCTTGACCGCAGGGCAGAGACGCGTTCCATTTCTGATTTAAAGCCAGGCTAAAAGTTCATACCCACAAAGCTATTGCTATAGAATCTCTTGATGCTCTCGATCATATCACGACTATTGCTTGTCCATTGATTAATCTTCCGATAGGTCTCCATAGTGTTGACTAAATGTGATCCACCATACTGTAGAGCAATTGTATCACCATGGTCGTGATACATCTCAGTCAACATGTTGACTGCATCGCAATCAAAAGGCACTACAGGCTCAGAAATCAGACCTAGTGAAAAGAGCTGGAATCCACATACGAAGTCAGAGGGAGAGAGTGAGAAAAGGTATTTTGTCCGCTAAATTCAACTGCTTCTTATTCAAGAAAGATATTTGTTTGATTACTTGGTGTCCAAGTGCGCACTTGGCAATGATGAATTGCGCTGCATTTGTTCGATCCAGACAATCAATACAGTTGGTACGAACAACACCGTTTTGCCATCCTGATCCAAAAGGAATATTTTGTTTGTGCTTGCCTTCCGGGTCTTGACTGTAACCACTGTGGAAAAAGCCTGTTCGGGCGAACGTCTTTTCAGCAATGATTTCTAAAACCGAAATGACATTTTCGTCCGGACTAGATTATTTTAAGAATTCATATCCATATTATATACGTGTTTGCTGCTGTTAGTGGTTTCTTAAATATCCATGTTGTCCATGTTCGCCATTAATGATAAAGCAAGCATACCTTTTGGAAGCTCTCGACATGTCCCATTTTATATGCCAGATTTTTTTGTCTTCGGGCAAGAACTGGTTCAAATACTCAATACAGTCGGTAAATTCACTCAGTAATATCGACTCTCGGGGAGTCTTCTCCTTAGCTTTGATAAGATTCAGGACAATGCAGGGGGCACCATATCGTTTGAACATATCGTCAAAGTGAAATGCAGCAGCCGTAAAGTATGGATCGATGACATTGAGCGCTATGGCAGGTTTGGGAGTCATGTTGGTTGAATCCTGGGTCCAGTACAGAGGAATAGATCCACGGTGTTGAACAAAAGAGGTGTGATTGGGATTTGCACTTAAAGCCCCAGCAGCGTAGAATGATGTTACTGACATTTCCGAAACTATTTGCTCGGTTTCAACATCGTTAGCTACATATCCCTATTATCCCAAAATTATATATAAGGTAGATGTCATATTGATTAAAGAGCAATTACTCTTGAGTAATAACATAGACCTAAACACGGAGCCACACACATATAAAGATAATGCACATACTCTATCGTTGACCCCACGCTTCAAGAAGCGAGCTCCAGCAAAGTACCTAGATCTCCGGGCAATCAACGTAATGAAGACATTGCGTCCGAGGATTGAAAGTTCTATTTGAAAAAGTTCAGTCAGATCTTTATAAGTTTCTAGACGTGCAACAAGATGAAGATGATGAACAAGCAAAAAAGGACCTACTTGACTGATCCACAAAGCCATACATGATAGGTAATGCCCATTGGCTCTCAATTCCGGACTCTCCGAATCCGTTCTCTAGCAAGTACTGATTCCACACAAACATCCGGTTGCGGCCCTCGGCCTGTGGATTTCTGCTCATGTTCCATTGTAGGGTTCTTGTGATATCGTACGAGTATGAGAAATAAAAGTTTTTTGACAAATCCACCATTTGAAACATTTGAAGGTACCGTGCTTCGTCCGAGTTTTTGTCTAATTTCGAAGTTGGTGTTGTGGATGAGTGAATAGAGATGGTCATGGTGGCCTCGATATGAAAGACGTAATGGCCCCCAATTAACGCGACAGGGCTTCGTTTGGTGACCAAGATGATATAGTAGCCTTCTGTAAATCGGACAAAACCGACAATGCCATAAAATTTGGTAATATCACGCCTTCCACCTGTAGACTTGTTGGCATGTTTAATCATCTCGAGGAGGTCATCGACTTCGGGTTTTGTGTATTCTCCCTCATCCTCTGTGATGTTGAGTTCATCTCGTGGTGTAGTTCTGTCAATTTTAAGCACACGAAACTTTGTCGCAGCGGGCGCATTCGTTCCTACAATGTAAAATCTCTTTTCTCAAAATGTTTCCCCAAACGAATCTAGTCAGCCATTGACACTGACTATTGCGTTTTAATAAAAAAAAGAAAAAAGAAAAAGAAAAACTGTAGCATCATCATTGTCATGGCTGGCGTACATGTTTTGTCTCATATAAGAAGAAGCTGTTGAGAATTGTTTGACCTGACTTTGCGGGCGGAGGTGGAAATACAAGTGGGGGAAATTCAGTCATACTGGCATGACTGGGTGTCGATGGCTTTTCTGGAACAACCATGTTGGTTACAAACTAACATGGGCTCTTTTGTGGTTCCTTTTTTCTTTATTCTCTGATGACACAAGCACAGTACAATTGAGCGATGGTTTGATGCAATGTTTAAAAAAAAAGAAAAAAGAAAAAAAAAAAAAAAAAAAATAGGGAGTAAAGGTTTTTAATCGCTTATTCGAGATTTTTTATGGACAACATGATTGATGCACCTGGACGTAATGCCTAGACGCGTGTCTATAGAAGAGGTGCGTATGAGGAATAGGAGGAGAGTCGAGTCAATGCTAAAAAGGAGGACATTGGCATTGCTCCCCTTCTTTCAATATGCACTCCGCAATTTGTGTATCATATTTTCTTCTCGCTTGAAGATGTTGAAGATCCGAACCGGGTTTTGCAAAGCAAGACAAGATGTTCATGGGTATTTACACAAGAAATAAATATATATATATATTTTTAGTCTAGCCTTTTCTGATCGTCTCCATGTCCAAGAGGGTCCTGATGATTCCTCAGAATAAGACACAGGTTGGATGTAATATAAATTGGCATCCCTTGCAGTAAAAAGAAGTTTTTTTTTTATTACGGTTGATGTACATCTTTGCAGAGTCCCCAGGAGAATGCTCTCCTCTCTCTTGTAAAATCAAATCCAGAACCAATAACATGGGGTGCTCTTTCTTTCTTTCTTTTCATTAATTACTCACAGCCCTTCTTTTCACCTTCACTCTTCAGTCTCTCCACTCTCACTCTCACTCTCTCGTACTTTCTCATATTCTCTCATAATCTTTCATCTCCCTCACCCTCCCCTTTCGTATATACTCTACTCCATCCACACTTTACAACACTGACATCTGTCCTATCGCAAAAGGAAAAAGAATTAAAAGCACAAAGCACAAGGAGCCACTCTTTATCCCATCCCCAGGGTGAGTTTCTTGTTATGAACCAATCCACTTTGCATACCCTTCTTAAACAAGCCTTTTTCACCTTTTTTTTTTTTTATTTTTCCTTTTTATTTGTATACACAGTACGCAAGTGTGACAACTGCATGACTTCCCCATTGATTTTCTCACTCTTCTTCTTCCATTGCAAGACCATTCACAGTGAATTGGACCTCGAGTTGAATTCTAATCTCTTTTCTTTTTCTTTTTTTTTTTTTTTTTTTTTCTTTTTGTTTTCTGTTCCCAGCAAATTTTGATCTTTACTCATTATTAAACATTAATTGACAAAAGAAAACCATTCCAACTTCAACTCTTGAACCTGGGGCGGTGTCTCTGTGGACCTCCGCGGCAGTGAACATGGTAAAATCACACTGGGCTATTAACAGAATAGACGAGTCTTTTTTTATTTATTTCAGGGACCAAGGCAGTTTGTTGCCACAAATTGTTCATTAGTTGGTACCTTGTTGGCCCTGACTCTCTTCGTCTTCTTCTTGTTCATTAGACAGCTGGCTGTGGATCCTCAACTGATATCGAGTCCTGTTCTCCCTTCAATATCCAATCGCCACATCTTGATGTATGTTGTTTTATTCTTTTCTTTCTTTTCTTTTCTTTATTTTTTTGCTCATATTTTTCTTCTCAACTGTCGGTCACATTTCCTGTTAACCTATACCATATCATGACGGCCTCCTCCACTCTGGGTCCGGACAATCTGACTCAACTCTCTGACCCCAGTTCTATTATTTCTGTCTGTTTTTTTTTTTTTTTTTTTTTTTTTTTTTTTTTTCTAGTTCTCGTTTTTGTCATCGTATGATACAGCCAAGGATCATTACGTAGGTCCTCTTTTTTCTTTTTTTTTTTTTTTTTTTTTTCTTTTCTCTTTTATTTTATTTTATTTTATTTTTTTTATTTTTTTATTTTTTTTTACCTACTGAACATCTTTCCGGTTTTCTCCAGATGATTGCGGGCAAACTCTCAACTTTACATCCGTTTTGTACCCACTTTATTCAACAAACACACCCATTTTAAACATTATAGGTACCGGCACTCTTCAATGCCACATCCTCGAACGATATGACATCTCTCAGCCATGCTGGGGACAACACCTCGGATACTTCCCCAACCACGGACCAAGTTGCACCCAGAAAAAGAATGCGTGGTGAACGAATCGTCTGGACTCCAGAAGAGGACGAACACCTGCGCAGAGCTGTTCAAATATATGGTGACAAGACGGAAAAATGGGCAAAAATCGCTGCATGTGTTCCAGGAAGGACTAATAAGAACTGCCGCAAGCGCTGGTTCCATTCATTGGACCCTAGCCTAAAAAAAGGAGGCTGGACTCCAGAAGAGGACCAGCTGCTCAGAACAGGTGTTCAAAAATTCCGTGGTCAATGGAGCAAAATTGCAGAACGTATCCAGGGCAGGACAGACGATCAATGCGCTAAGCGCTGGCGAGAGAGTTTGGACCCGGACATCGACCGTGCAGCGTGGACACCTGAAGATGACCTTTTGTTACTACAAAAGTTTGAGGAGTACGGGACTCAATGGCAAAAGATAGCCGCAGTATCTTTCCCAGGCAGACCAGGACTCCACTGTCGAAATCGATGGCGTAAGATTCAGCGAAGCTTAAACCAAATGCAACGAGCTAACAAGCGGCGGCGAAATCCGACAAAAGATAGTACATCGGGGACAGGGCAAAATGCAGATAGTCAGCATGACCATGATAGTACATCAGGAAAAAACTCTTCCGAGTCGGTTCTCCGACAGACGCCTTCTGATGATTATAATATGAGAAATGGATGTATAGACGGCGATGATCTTACAGAAAATAGAAGCGATTCCAATCCAGATGAAGAAAAGCCATACGGATGTGCTATCCCGGACTGTGGTTATGAGAGTTCGTCACCCTCGCTACTTTACTATCATTTCAAGGCTTCACACCATGGGACAACAGTTTTGAAGCCATTTCGGTGCACTATGCCTGGATGTGAAGATCGTAAACGATACAAAAACATCAACGGGCTTCAATACCACGTCAACCATGCAAAGAACTCACTTGGCCATTGTGGGCATGGTGGTGAAATTTCAGAGAAGGATTCTCAGCCTACGATGCCTGAAACTCCCTCGGCGTCAGCGTCGCCGTCCTTCACTTCTTCAGTAACTACTCCAACAGGAGAAGTTTTATCAGCTATTCCAAAAGACACTTTTACAATACATCCTTCAGCCATTACCGGATCCATTAGCACCTCCCATACCCTGCTTCCCACTCCTGTTCAACGTCAATCGCTGATTTCAAACCCTTTCTCGCCACCTGTGATGACACACCAGGCCTTTAATATCCCGCATACCCCCGAGTCCATGGAGGAAAGTTCTGTATCGCCACTCATCCCATGCGATATTTCCATATCCCAATCCCATTCAGCTTCTTTCCAGTGCCCTGAGCTCGGATGTGGACAGATGCTTCATTCATTACCAGGTCTGACATCACATATGGCCAACAATCATGGGCATCAATCTATAACCATGGAGAGTAGCAATGAGACTTTGGCCCCTACGCTCACCAATACATTTGGATCTGAATCAATCGCAATTCCTGAAAGCGACTTTGATGATGTTGACATGAACATGGATATGGATATGGATATGGATATGGATATGGCGTATCTTGCATCCACAGGCTCATCGCCTATCTTAAACCCATCCAATATCCTCCTCATGAACGACCCTCAATATCAAATAAAGGATTTACAGGATCAGATGGAGAAGCTCACACAGGACCATGAGGCATTGGACCTTGGGGATGATAATATTCAATTACTACCATCTATGCAGGATATGGACATCCTTTCATTGAATGAATTTTTATTTGCCAATTACATCACAAACTCTCTTAACGCCCTAGATAGCGCTAGTATCAGCACCGCCTTTAGCAACAGAATTCATTTTGGAACACATATCAACATTAGTGCAAATGACGTGTTGACTTTACCATCAACACCAATGACGTCTGCAAATGTCAGTCCAAGGCTGTCCGCAGCTGCTGTCAGTATACCATCCGCAGCCTTCGTTGGTGCGTCCTTAGTAGGCAAACAAGGCGCTGCATCCGTAGCTATTGCCAAATCTGATGCTAATCTGGCAACCAAGAAATTTCCGTGCTTGGCAGCGGGCTGCCCCAAGACGTACGGAAGCACTAGCGCAATGAGAGCACATATGAAGAACGAGCACCCAGATCTCTACACTAAATCTACAAGAGCAAAGAGTGTTAACGCCACTGTTTCAACTCCTGGGGTAGCTTCATCTATGTCCCCTAATTTCTGTGCAGGCATAGTGATACCATTGACCAATGACAACGACATTCATGGAGACAATCAGATCAAGCAGAAGCTAGCCAGAAAGCAGGATGACAGTTTGGAGAAACTATTCAAATGTCTGGTACCCGGATGTGGCAAGGCATACAAGAACATCAACGGTCTCAAGAATCATCTTCTGCAAGCGCATGGATCCACTCCATCTAAAAAAGCCGCTAATTGATCCTTTATTCTTTCTCTCTCTAAAATCCATCCATTATTCTGAGCATTGCAATCCCTAATGTACATAAAAAATCGAGTTTAATAATTGCTTTTGCTTGGAAAAGAAAAAAAAAAAAAAAAAAATGAAAGTTAGAGAGTAATAAATTTTTTTATTTTTTTTTTTTTCATCTAAAAATTGATTCACCGCATTGTCTTCTGTTTTGGGTATCCTCAAACTCCGAAGGTATCACTGGGCCCGTGCATTGAGTCATATGAGCTTGCCCTTAAAATTGTAGAAAAATGATGGTAGCGATTACAAAGTGCTAATCGACATTCACTCTTTTGTGTATTCCTTCTTTTAAAATAAGCTTCAAGACAGGGAAAGATAATGCTCCAGGTCGTTATGTTAGCTAGCTTAGTCAGTAGCTATTGTCGGGATATGTTTAGCAACGCTACTAAAAAAGAAAAAGAGGGGATGTGGTGCCTTTTACCATCGTCAATCTGAGCTCACAATAAACCAACCACTGTGGACCATGGCATTAACCATCAACCATATTTTAGGCACTGGAATTTTGACTAAAATGAAGGTCAGTGTAAGTTATTATTGATATTAGTTTCCATTCCCTCGCTTCTCATAGTTATGCAGAGACGACCTTGAGGTGTACACTTTGGCCAAAACGTGGTAGGTGAAGAAGGTGCCAGGAACAGGCATTGATTGCCTCATTCGGATGATGTCGGTTTTTTTTTTTTTTTTTTTTTTAATAAACGACAATGGAACTTCTTCCTGTGAATCGCGCCATCGCTTGAATATTTTTAACTCTTTAAAAAGAAGTACTTTAAACCTCTTTGGTAATATCAGTAGTAGTATATAAAAAATAAAAAAAATAAAAAAAAAAGAAGTTGCCCATTTCCTTACATCAACTTCATTTACACAATGCGATTTGGCCTCAGTCGCAAGGCATTCAGAAATGAGCAACGAGACCGAAATCGTTCTGGAGGATATTTGTATCATGAAAATAGGTTATCAAAAATATCCAGCGAGAAGCTCCTTTACGACAATTTAATGACTACCACTTCGACTCCAATAAGCTCTCAAACTCAGAAAGCGGTAGAGGGCAGCTGGAGCCCCACTCCGAACAGGCGTGTGCTGCCGAAAGCATTGATCAATCTAGGCGAAAGACTGTGCCGGACTTACCAACCACCAATCAATCGTCATGTGAAGGAAAAGAGTCAAGGCTATGATCAACATTATGTCTTCACCACTATGCTTAAAAGGATGCGGCGGAAGGATTGTGATGCTTTAGAAGAACCACGGGGGCAAAGGAGTCATCAGGACCTTGGACAACGCAACCCATTTCCACAAGTAATGACTAATGTACCACCCATATACGACGAGCGCCTTTATCCCCCATACGTTACAAGCAATATTGTAGCGCTTAAGCGTCAAGGGAAAGTAAACTGGTCAGTAGAGTTGCCACAAGGGACAGTAAAGCCAAAATCTTTAGCATCATCGCTTTCATCAGTGACCCAATATGAAATGGAGCTAGAGAGCAACCTCAGTACTATCATTGACGACCATTCTACAGGGATTCCACCAGCCTTTGGCGGAGGCTCGGGCTCTGATGAATACATGCTTCGAAGGCATGAATATGGGGTGGAAGGCTACGACGAGGCTTTTGTTATATCTCTAGATGGGGCCTTTGAAAGAATTGGACAAGCGAATCCGGATGATTACATTGATGAAGATGCAAAACAGAGTGCCTTACCCGCGAGCCTTGCGTTTAAGAGTCCTGTGCTTGACTCCGTACCACTGGATAGTGGTTGTAAGGATGGCCAACAAAGCTCGATTAAAAAATACTCAGGTGCCCTTACTATGACTAGAATCAATGGAAGTCAGCCTGACTACGACGACGTTGGTCATGGAGACAAAGATGATACATCACTCGACGATATCATAAAGCCTCTTGAAGGAAATGCCACGCCTATGCCAATCCTTGATCGATTTTCGAAAATTCAGCCATATATCTCTTTATTATACTCTCTCTCTGAGGTACCAGCTAGGTCTCATAAATTTTATTGGACGCCCTCAGGCTCAGATATAGCCATTGATGGCATGGATCTTGGCAGCTTTGATGATGCAAAGTCCCCGTTGAGTAGGGGAAGCGGTTCTTTAACAGCCGAAGCTGAGGGACTATATAATTTTGTATCAAGACGCTGGCAACACCAGAATTGTTCGTCCATGTCGTCATCTTCAATCTCATTCTTACCAAGGCCATCATCATTGTCTCCGTCGGACTCACCGCTACTACCTTTATTAAGAACAGTAAAGCCGTTCAAGACGTTGGCTGATAGAGATGATGATTTCAAGATCTATCAAAGAGCAGTGCCGCAAGAGCATACTAAGATACCGACACTGGCTTCCTTTGCAGTTGACCTAATAACGTTTGCAGCAGTCTATCGGATCGTGAAAGATCCAAGGATACGGATAGTGGATCGCTGGTCTACCAACTAATTTTATCAAGAGTACCAACACTTTAAGGCACTCATCTGAGATAGAATTGCTGCAAATAATTATCCATAAAAAAATAAAAATTATCGTGTTTGAGTCCATGAAGTAACTAAAGTTGCTTAGCAATCAATTGAGAATAGTATACAAACAAGCAGTAAGTTTGCCAACTGATTAATTGAAGGGCCTTGATGGGAATTAACAATTGAAAACACTAATCATTTCATTGGGGGTTGCCTAATCATGTTGAAGCCCGATCACTAATCTCCTCCTGTTAGGAGAAGGTATGTATCGCTCATGTTTATTACTTCAAAGTCCAATACCATAGACTACAGCTGTATGCCTTTGCATATCAACAAAGAAAGTTACCTGCTAATAATAATAATAATAAAGGTTTTTTTTTTTTTTTTTTTTTTTTTGGCTTCCCGTAAGATGGCCTTTGCCAGTTTAATGGTGCCCTAAGAGCTTCACTTAATGCGATCTTGACTTGGCGAGAAGGCTTTTTAATGTATCCAGTGCTATTTCCTAAAAACAAAGAGTAATTCTATCGTTGGTAGTGAATTAATGCTTTTGTTATATATGTTCACTGCATTTTAACTTAGTAACTTCCATTGTTACTGTAACCCAAAATAGTGGAAATACTGCTTCATAATATAGATGCCTCTGATTTTAGACACATATGATAGAAATGCAGATGGGATTCTAAAAAAAAGAGAAGGTAGTAGTGAAAATGAAAAATATAACAATGCTCCATCTGAAATATTAAGTACCTTACGTGTTCTTTAGCTTTCTGATGACTTGGAGCAATGATTCCACTGACGACTAAATTAAACAGGGTAGCATCAAGCCCGCATACCATATAGCATAATGCGAATCAATGGTAGCTGGTTTTGCAACTTCTCTATATGGGCGTAGACCTTTCATAAAGTTAATCTTAAGAAAAGTATTAAGTCGTACACAAACACTAGTGTAGAAAAGCACACAAGCGTATGGAGAAGGAACACATGCCCACATTCGAAAAAAAAAAAAAAAAAAAAAAAAAAAAAAAAAAAGATATTCAATTATATAATAACAAGATCAAAATAGAAGGCTCTCTCTCTCTTCTCTAAAATTGCGAGTTGGCCCACTTTTCCCATTCAGGGTTTTGTCCGAGGCCTAATAGAAAGAACTTGGCTTCTACAGCTGGAATTCAAATGGATCATTTTATCTTGAGAGCAGCAAGAGTTTATTTATTATTACAGGTTCTTTTTCTTTTTTCTTTTCTTTTCTTTTCTTTTTTTAACCCATCAGTAGGTTCTATTGTCTGATGTAGGTCGTTGTAGCAGTACCATAGTCATAGCACCCCAAAAGCTGCTTGCCATACACTGCTTTGAACAGTTGTGCCTCTTGTGACGTTGTCTTTTGGCGGTGAATAGGGGTGTCAGTCGGGTAGTCAAAGGCAACATCAAGTCCAAATGATGAGGCATTCTCTGAAGTAAAGTTGGCACAGTCTGGAAAGTCAAATACGCAAATATCGTTGACAGTGGGCTGGTACAGCTGGATGTGAAGCGTGCAAATGGCTTGGATGGCACCGACACCGAGGGCGGAGATCAACAAGAGGGTCTTGATGGCTGACATGACTGTGTGAGTGTGTATTGAGTCTTGGGTGTTGGGTGTATGTGTATGTGTATGTGTGTGGAGGACTGGCTAGCTTGCTTGACTTGTAGGAATGGCTGTTGTGATTTGGACAAGAACTAGTTGTATGGGACCTTTTTATAGAAAAGTTTGCAGAGGTGGGGTGGGATGTTCTGTTTGCAGGCGCAGTGTCTAATTGCAGGCGCAAGAAATCATAAATCAGGGCTCTTGGCGGGACCTCGTTTTTTTTAACCTTTTTTGCTCTGTGTCTACTTTCAAACGTTCTTTTTAGGCCCTTATGCTTTATTTTGTCATGAGCATATTAGCATGTTCATAAATGGATCCCAATTGTCTGTCAACTGTGCCTCCAGATTGTAACGCCCTGGAGACCTTTGGAGTTTAAAGGGGAAACCTTTTGGAGTTTAAAGGGAGCCCATTTGTCTTGTGAAAAAAAATGTTCTCATTTCTCCCATCGCTGGTTGAAATAGTATGTAGCCATTGTTCCTATTGGCAGAAAACAAGGTTTGACAAAGTGACAAAGTCGAAACCATTTTAAAGAATGAGCCAAATTATAAATGTCTATATGAGGACCCAATCGGACCACATTTGTGCGCAAGCTTTTTCCGACTTGAGCGTTGGATGCATGCAATTAAGAAACTTTGATTATATATATATATTCGTACATGTAAATACACTTCTGTGAAAAGCAATGTGAATGGGCTCCTCTGTTCTGGAAACAGGTTTCTGTTTCATTTAAGGACATTTAGAACACTCAAATATATATGTATACATATAAAAGCAGGCGCTCTTCGCCCCTATAACAACCTTGCTTTTCATCCTCTCTCTTTCTCATCCTCGCTAAGACTCTCACAAACACTCATACAGCTACACGTTCTTCAGAAAAGCAATACAAGAATACAAGAATACAAGATGCATTCAAAGTCCTATATCACACTTTTAGCCTTGGTCCTGGTCCTGCTCGTTGGCTCTTCCATGGTCCATGCTGCCTCTAACATGTGCCAAGGGTGCGTGGATGATATGGCACACGCAGTTCCAGGCTGTAATGGGATCGATACCTCGAAGCAAGCATCCTTCAATGAACTTTCCAATAAAGAGCAGCAGTGCTTTTGCAACCTTGGCAAGGATGTCTCCTTCCTCGCGAAATGTGATGCTCTGTGTCCACCCGGCAATATTGAGGCCGTCCAGACAAGTCTTCAAGCGGCATATTCGGTCTACTGCAACAACACCAAGTTTGAAAATGGTGGGACAAGCGCAGAGGGAAGCTCTAATGGCTCTGGCCTCTCAGCCTTGTCTTCACCATCATCGGCTTCCGTCATGTATGCGATCACCGCAGTTGTGCTCGCTGCTGTTGCATTAGTGCCTGTTTAGACAAAGAACAGAGAGAGTCTTTATACACAATAAACACATACACACATACATGTATTAGGCGTCAAAGAGTAAAAGGATGTCTCATATAAAGAATGACCTACCCAAGAAATCATGCATGGATATTCAGCAAATAAACAAGAATGCAAGAATAGCAAAATGGTGTCTGTTGGACAATGTAAACACTTTAAGGTTTGGTGGTAAATGAGGTGCAAACATTTTGATGATGACTGACATGAGGATTGGAGCTGTGTGTCACCAAGGAGTACCCACCATCCCGCCTAGTGCAGGTTGCTGGTTCACACAGCAAGATAGTGCTTACTTTGAGTATTGCTCCATGGGTGCTCCTCATTTATACTTGTGCAGGAGACAATAGAAGTGCTTCCATGGTGAAGAGTCCAAGGAAGTGCTTCTCAATATATATATATATATATATTGAAGCCTCTCTTCCAAAGCCAGTTGTTCATAACATAACAATAGGCACCAGAACCCCTCATTTTCGGGGCAGTACATTAATAAGTTCACCCTCCTATCATCTAAGCAATGCCGCCTCTACTAAATTTTCAATTTTCGAGACTGCATTTTAAAGCTTTTTTTTTTTTTTTTTTTGTGTGAATACTTTTTATTAAGAGATTGCTTGCTATCTAGCTATCTAGCTTACCTGGTTATTATCCTAAGCTACAAGAAGCCAGACTCTTAGCCACCTTGGAAAGCGCTTTTCTTTGTCACCATCGAAAAGACTCTCCAAGATGTTGTCCGGAGCACACCACGTGGAGGTGGTCTGGCATATCGTGCTCCGTTGGTCAGGCCCCATGGCCTTGCAAACGCCCGCACACACACACATTTATTAACCCATTCCCATCCCCATCCCCATTCCCTTTCCCATTCTGGACCGAAGGGCTCCGCCATCGCAAGGCTCGTTAAAGAACCAGCTCAGGCTCATGCCCGTTCGGACCTACCTTAGATATGCATTGGTTATTGCACCTTGGATGTGCATTGTTGCTATGTTAAAGAGTGCTTTGTGTTGTGTTAGTAAGAGTTTTTTTTTTTTTTTTTTTTTTTTTTTTGGCTTTCTTATGTTTTTAATTGGTTTTTTTTTTTCTTTTTTTCTTTTTTCTTTTTTCTTTTTTCTTCTTTCTGATATGAGATCTTTTTTTTTACTTTTCTTTTTTGGGGCTTTTATTGAGTCTTTTTTTTTGGTTTTTTTTTTCTTTGGTTAATTTTTTTTTAATTGTGTTTTTTCTTTGGGTTATTTTTTTTTTTCTTTGGTTTTTTTGGTTTATTTTTTTGGTTTTTTTCTTTGGTTTTTTTCTTTGGTTTTTTTCTTTGGTTTTTTTCTTTGGTTTTTTTCTTTCTTTTTCTTTTCTTTGGATTTTTTTTTTTTTTTTTTTTGGTTTCTTTTTTTTCTTTGGATTTTTTTCTTTTTTTTTTTTTTGATTTAGTTTTTTTTTTTTTTTTCTTTTTTTTTTTTTTTTTCTTTTTTTTTTGAGGCATTTGTTTCCGGAGGCGTTTGTTTTTTGCCTGGATGGACTGTTCGGCCTCTCTTTGGTTTCACCCTTCGCCTAGTGGCGTCGAGCTTCGGTACCAGTGCCTTCCAGACCACGCTGTGGGAAGTGGTCTGGTTGCTATGATTTAGGATTATTCGTGAAGCCTTGACCATCATCCCAAGATGGGGTGGGCTGGCTATACGGCCGTGGAGAAGGTCTGTTCGTTTGACTGCGGCAGACTGGCCTTTGTACGAGGCCGTTTAGAGCGTGGCTGTTTAGAGCGTGGCCATCTGGAGCGTGGCCGTCTGGAGCGTGGCCATCTGGAGCGTGGCCAGTTGAATACGGCTTTTCGTTGGAGTGCAGCCGTTCGAGTATGGGCGCCTGAGTGTGGCAGCCTGGCTGTGCGTTATGAAGCCCCAGTTGCTTTAGCCAGCTTCATGTCGTTGCAGTCTAATCGTGGAATGAAAAGAGAGACACAAGCAGAAAATAAATAATCAGAACAAGGACAGTGAAGCACAGAGTGACAGTGTTGAGAACTTCAGTAAGAGTGATTGTTTAGGGAGTGTTGCTTACCTTTTTGTCTTGGTTGAGGAGGCCGATGGTCGAGGAGACCGAGGAGAAAGAGAAGAGAAAAGAAGAAAAAAGAAGAGAGTCAAAATTAGTCCTTTTTATATTGGTTTCTTATTATTATTATTTACGTTCGCGCAAGAAGAGGAGAAGGGCCGAGGAGTGATTGGTGTTCAAAAGCGCGCTGTACTAAGTACCTTGCTTGCTGTACGCTCAAGAGCGACCAATAAAAGATAAGCAACAATTTAAAAAGATAAACAACAATATAAAAAGATAAAAAATAAATAAATATACGTGTCTTTGATGTCATCTGTCATATTTCATATGATAAAGAAGAGACTCTCACGATTGAAAGTGGGAATAATGCTCTGTCCTCAAGACTCATAAGGAAAACCTGTCTATAAACAACCAGAGCATGGACTGTATTGCTCTCGAGCTTGTTTACTCTTATTGATAAAGGAGATTATCTTCTTTATCCTCTTCTTCTATTTCCTTTCTTCACTCCTAACAAGAGATGGGATAGACTGTCGTTGGACCTGTACTTTGGCAGCTTGCCGTTTTTCCAGAGTGTGGTGGAAAATAACACATGACATTCGTAAGAATACCTCTGCGCCTTTTTTTTTTTTTATTTTTATTTTTTATTTTCATGCAATACAATGTAGAATACATTAAGATTTGAAGGTGAAACAAAGTATCAACGTTTATATATCGACCAGTAAAAAGCACACGATCGTATCGAGGAAATGACGTGTCGTATCTCTTTGGCTCTTTGAAAAGGAAAATAAGGAAAAGAAAAAAAGGAAAAAAGTCTGTTTGAACAAAAACTGCCGCAGCACAGTTCCCACGACAATGCATCCTATTCTTTGTTAAGGATGAAGAGAAAGAATGGGAGAAGAGAGTCAAATAGCAAACTCTACTGACAGTACCTGATGAACCCCATTGCTAAAGAAAAAAAGGTACTCGAGCTTAATGCTGGCGAAAAATGGGAGTATGCGAGTGTTGATAAGCTTGTGCTCTGAATCCTGTCCTTTTACTTTAGTCGCGTCACATCGCTCACTGTTTTCCTTTCTCTCTTTGTTGCACACCATACAAAGAGAGCATTGTGGCTCGTGCTCTTGTTGTTGTATGTATATATGACCCTGCATATCTTTGAGGATGGTTATCCCTCCACCTGTAAGAGTTTTCTCTTTCTCCACCTTGCGAGCATATGAAAATTGACGGATGATATCACAGATGCGCAGATTATCCATTTTCAATTCCCGCTACGCCGCTTTCTTTTTTATTTTATTTTATTTTATTTTATTTATTTTAATATATTTTATTTATTTTAATATATTTTATTTATTTTAATATATTTTATTTATTTTAATATATTTTATTTTATTTTATTATCCTCGTAGCCATGGTCCATATGTGTGACCTCTTTTTATTCCTTCTGACCGAGAAAAAACTAAAAATAAAATAAATAAAATCTAGCGTTCGCTCTGATCTACTCTCTATCTTCTTTTTTCTCGCTCAGGAACACATCCAGCGTATTGAAGTTCCAAATGAGCGAGTATGACACTTCTGATCCAATTATACACTCTCTCCAGAGCCAGCTGGCTACACTCACCAGCCGGCTTGAAGCTCTCTCGACTAGCTCTGAATCCAGTCGATCGAACCCCTACTTGGTTCCAAAAGAACCAGCTTACGAAATTACACCTGACGACTCCATTCTCGTCCACTACCCAGCAATGGACGGGAAAGATTTTTTCAAACATAAATCTGGAAACCGTGCAGACGATCTTGCATATGCAACAGAAATGGCTAAAGAGATGCAGTCTTTTGCCAAAAACACAACCCAAACCTATTCTGCACCCAAATCGGCACTCATTGACTGGCCCGACTCTTCCTCTCACCACAGTTCCACGGACAAAACAATCTCACGCTATCAATCACGATTGGCAAACCTTACAAGACCACTTGATCAATTTGCCACGGAAATGTTTTCCTACGAAGTTGACCCTGCGGTCGCACAAGCGTGTTTACAGCTCGCACAGACAATGCGTGAACATATTGCACACCTTGCACAGCAAATGTCAAGCGACAGGGAGGACCTTGTTTACCAAAGCGCACAAAATTTCAGTCACCAAGGACACAGTTGATCCACCAATTGTCTCTACTTCAGACTTCATTGAAGCCAGCAAATTGGCAAAGAGTGTTCGTCAGGCTACTAACCCGACAAGACAACGGGCGTACAACAGGAGGACTCAAAACCGGAGTTTCTTTAGCGCAAATACTTACAGACCCACTTCTAATTCTAGCCAATCTCATCCATCGGGTCAAACTCAGACCGCCCACTATCAAAATGACAATGGTTCTTTTTTTGGGCGAGGCCAAAATCCAAGGAGAGGGGGACGAGGCCGAGGCCGAGGCTACCAAACCCCTCAATCCAACCAGACAAGTCAGGCACAGACTGCAGGCCAGCAGTAGGTGGCCGTTTACAGATTTACAGAGAAGCATGGGCTCTCATAACCGACAACGAATGGGTCAAGTCGGTCGTCTCCGAGGGATTCAAAATCCCTTTCCACAAACGGCCACCGATATCCAGTTCAACAGCGTACCAAGCTCGAGTAGCAGCGGAGGAAGAGAAGGCGATCGATCAAGAGGTAATCGCACTCTTAGCCAAAAGAGCAATAGAGGTCGCTTCGGGCCCTGGTTTCAAGAGCCGAATATTCACTATCCCCAAGAAAACCGGGGACATTCGTCCAGTCTTAAATCTAAGACCGTTGAATGCCTACGTCTCAGAGCGGCACTTCAAAATGGAGACGATGACGACAGTATGCGCAATGTTACAGAAGAACGACTTTATGACAAGCATCGACCTATCAGACGCATTTCTTCACGTACTAATCCATCCAGATTATCGTCATTATCTACAGTTCCAATGGAAGAACCGGAAATTTCAATTCCGTACACTTCCCTTCGGGCTCTCACTCTCTCCGCTAGTGTTCACCAAAGTTCTCAAGCCTTTCCTCAAATGGGCACGACGACGAGGAATTCGCATATCAGCGTACCTAGACGATTTGATAATCCTAGCCAAGAACAAAGAACAATCAATCCAGTTCACTCAACTAGTGCAAGACAAGTTGGCAGCGCTAGGATTCCTCATCAAGGAAGCCAAGTCTACGTTGATCCCGTCACAGAAAATAGACCATTTAGGCTTCACCATCAACTCCCGGGATATGACTGTCACAGTTCCGAAATCCAAAGTCAGGGACATACGGCGCGAGGCAGGAAAGCTACTACGAAAAGGCGCCACTTCTTTAAGGGAACTTTCTTCGTTCGTCGGGAAAGCAATGGCAACATCTATGGCAGTGTTCCCAGCGCGATTCATGACACGGAATCTGCTTCACCTCAAGAACACAGCACTAAAAGCCAAGGGAGCTTCTTGGTCGGACACGGTCACCCTCACGGAACCAGCCAAGGAGAACCTTCAATGGTGGAAGGAGCAATTGACGTCATGGAATGGTCTGTCATGGATTCAACAACAGACACAAATGGACATATACACGGATGCATCGGACACCGGATGGGGGATCGTGATCAACAATCAAACATGGAGTGGCAAATGGACTCCACAAGAGAAAGACCACCACATCAACTGGAAGGAACTACAGACAGTTCTTCGAGCTGTTCAACTACCAATAACACAGGGCAAAATGATCAACATCATATGCGACAACACGACAACGATTGCACACATCAACAGGTTCGGAGGGACGAGGTCTCCGGAACTAATGAGACTAGCGGACACGTTATGGCGTCACTGCCTAGCAACGGGGACTCGACTTCGGACGACATACATCCCATCTGCATTCAACCCAGCGGATGCACCGTCACGGCGAATGATATCGCAATTGGAATGGAGGATCAGTCGCCCATTCTTTCAACAACTGGAACACCAATGGGGGCCACATCAGGTGGACCTATTTGCGTCGGCACAGAACAAACAGCTACCGACATTTGTCTCATGGAAATTCCATCCAGATGCTCTGAAGATAGACGCCCTTCAACACAACTGGACAGAGATGGGCAACCTTTACATTTGCCCCCCATGGAATCTTCTATCAATCATCTTGGAGAGGATACAGACCCAGAAACTGACAGCAACAGTAATAACCCCATGGTGGCCGAGTGCAATATGGTTCCCAACCATCAAGGAGATGGCAGTAGCACCACCAATCCCGATCCCTCGGGAAGCAGTCCTACCAGCCGTCGGAAGCGCAAGCGATCTCCTCAGCAAGAATCCACTCTGGTCATTGACAGCATGGAGAATAAGAGGCGACGTAAAGATCTAGATGCAGGACTCTCACCATCCGCTATCACTCTACTAGATTCAGCAGGTGCCAACAGCAAAACACGTCGACAATATCTGCCAACTCAAGAGGCTTTCGCAGTATGGGCTCAACAAGAAGGCTTCGACCCTAGTACGCCAAATGCAATTGCTGTAGTTAACTATTTATGCCATGCGCGGATTATCTATTCTTGGAGTAGGAATACCACTCTTAACAAAAAATCAGCCATCTTAAAGCTTTACGACGACACATCCGTGATCACAGGCAATATCTACTTTCAGCGGTTCATGGCAGCAATGAAAAGTACTGGCGTATTTCAAATGGAGCACGTATCCGCACTCGACATTTCACCCATCCTTTCATACTTCCGCATGGAGGACAATGTGGATCTTGATATGCCTAAGCTCTCTCGCAAGCTCTGCTGGCTCTTAGGCGTTTGTGCGTTTCTCCGGCCAGATGATATCGGTTGCATTGATGTGTCAAAGTCAGATATCAATGAAAGGGTCTTCTCCTTACCATAGTCTTCCCTAAGGAACGGCGCGATGGGCAGCGCATCATAAAGTCGATCTTCGTAGGTAGACACCCTAACGACAAGAAAATTTGCCCAGTCGAGGCCTATACAGAATACACCAGACGGATAGCGGACACACCTCTCGAAATCGAGCACCACAAAGATCAGGATTATAAATTCAATCCTCTTATGCGTTTTGTGAAAGACAAGTCCAAAGTCCTTAGGGTCAGTACCATAGGCACTTTTATGAATGAAATCACACGTCGGATTCCAAATCTTCCGTCGAAACGGCCTCCTCCAAAGCCACGCGCTATAGGATCAACCTTGGCAGCCATCGCTGGCGTATCAACCCAAGATATCATGGTTCAAGGGAATTGGTCGTCTGACAAGGTTTTCAACAAACACTACCGTGTTTCCCGCAAAACCCATTCAAATTTGACGACATCGGTTTTTGGTTCGCTCTGAAGTCACATATGGACCATGGCTACGAGGATAATGATCTGGAAGTGCTACGAAGGACGCACTATCCTCATTATCAGAGTAGCCATGGGACATATGTCCCTCCCACACCTCCCTTTTCTTTTCACTCGTTACTACAGTGGTCATCAAAGTCATTCAATGATTTGAATTTTTAACATTCTCATTCCTTTTCTTCATTCTCATCTAGCATGTGGCTAGTATATTTGGGGTAGTGCATTTGTTCCCACACCTCATGATTACTTTCATGTCTCATTCCTAATTATGACTTCATTGTGAAATAAAACCAATTTCAATTTGACCTGCCTATTGAATGACTTCTGCTGAATTTCAATGTTGATTGCAAAAAAAACTTTTTCACTTCTCTTTTTTCTACCAAGATTACCTTCAGCTATATCTTCATACACCTCTACTTACAATTAACATTCCACATCGTTTAGTATTTATTATGAGGACGCTTTCTATGGAAAAGGTACAAAATGCTCAGGCCTTACTTCGACAAGGGAAGTCTACAAGCGAAGTGGCAAGGCAACTTGGTATCTCTATTTCATCGGCAATAAGGATCAGGAGGGACGTCAAGGACAATATTCCTAAACCCAGAATGGGCAGACCCTCATTGGTTTCCCCTGCTACCAAGAGGGTTATTGCACGCGAGGTTGATACGGGGAAACTTAGATCCATTCTGGCAGTTCAAGAATACATCAGATCGAGCCATGGAGTGCATGTCAGTGTAGAGACTGCCCGACGCTATGTAAAATCAGAGGGTTTGAAAAACTATGTCCGCCCATTCAAGCCTAGGCTGACAAAAATGCAGATTGCGAAAAGGAAGAATTTTGCCCTCAACCACCTTGACTGGACTGTTGATGACTGGAAGCGAGTGATGTTCTCGGACGAAAAGCTTTTTGAAAGGCTAGGGTCCTTAGGAGGAAGAACACAATATAGGCGACCCGGCCACAGGACTTTAGAAGATCGAGATGTTAGAGAGAGATCAAGGGGAGCACATAACAAACTTATGTGGTGGGGCTGTATCACTTATCATGGTGTAGGCGATGGTTGCAGGATCCCTGCCACAGTTGATTCCTCTTTATATGTTGATGTTCTACAAGATTATGTCCTCGGCTCATGGAAGTGGTATGGCCAGGACCCTGAAAAGTTAATTTTTCAGCAGGACAATGCAAGTGTTCATACGAGTAGGATGGTTAAAGAGTTCTTAATTAAGTCACACATTACCACTTTGGAGTGGCCTCCAAATTCTCCTGACCTCAACCCTATCGAGAATGTATGGGCCTACATGGATCATCGGCTCAAGGGATATGAGAAGGTACCAAAGGATCTGGATGAACTATGGGAAAGACTACAGGATATCTGGACATCTATTCCACCTGACTTCCTTGATGAGCTATATGAAAGTATGCCACGAAGGGTAGAGGAGCTACATCGCATGAAAGGAGGTCGTACACATTACTGAAGAACAGAAAAAAAAAACAAATAAAGCAAAGCTGCTGATTTTCTTCAAATGTCATTCAATGAGATGCCAATAATTGGCATTCATCTAAATTTTCAATTAGCAACAGGAGCTCATTGACATTGTAGTAGGAGTGACGTTGTCGATGGTCAAACTCGCTACGTAAGTTTCATTAGCGACAAGCAAGATCAAATTGGAGAAAGGAATGAGAATGTCGAAATTCCTAATTCATTGAATGACTTTTGATGACCACTGTAGATAGAGAGTAGAACGCTAGATTTTATTTATTTTATTTTTAGTTTTCTCGGTCAGAAGGAATAAAAAGAGGTCACACATATGTCCCATGGCTACTCT